TCTGGCCGCTGTCCCAAGTTGGGTTCTGGGTGTCGTGGAATAGGCTTGTGGCTTTCATGAAAGCCATGAACTCCCAAGCCACCTCAGATGACATGCCTACGGAAAGTGGATTAAAGTCCCCCAGAACTGTAAATGTGGAGAACTCCAGTGCCAACTCAGAAGTGGTCAAGATTAGTCAGGGAAATTGTTACACAGTAGGGAGCAACAGCAACAGTAAGAATCCTAACTGATTCCTTGAGCCCAGTTTAATTAACAGGGTCTCACAATCAGTGTCTTTGAAAGCCGTAAAAGATTCTTTGATGACAATGACTATGCCTCCACTGCTGCCCTGGAGTCCCAGCTGATGCCACATTTAAACCAACCCTAGAATATGTAAATCTGTCAAATACTCTAATCAATTAGACCAGAGCAACAGATTAATGTTTAAAAGCCTAATTATTTCAAGTAAAGATTATATCTAATTAATTAAGCAGTATGTTTGTTGTTTTAAAGTAATTAAAATGCAGCAGATGGCAAGCATTATCTTTAATAAGTGCATCATTTATTTTATCTCAGATAAATGTAATGTTTACAGGTTTATGCAGTGACTAAAAAACAATTGCCTTGCTTCAAAACTCATTATTGCACCCAGCTTTTCCTCAGCCTAGTGCAGTGGTGGCGAACCTATGGCACTCGGAGGCCTCTCTGTCGGCACACATGCCGTTGCCTCGCCTCTCCCCGTGACCCACTCCTTTCCAGCAGCCCCCCTGAAGGAGATTTGCCCACATGCAGCACAGCCAAGGACATGGCAGCTAGGCAGTGTAGACAAGACTCTGTCCTCACACCCCATTGTGCACAGTTGATGCTGCAGGGCGCGGGACGAGGGGGACCGCCATAGCGCTGCTGGGTTGCCTGGGCGATTTGTGGCAGGCCCTGGAAGCGGTGAGTGGCCCTGCAGGTAGAGGGGCGGGGGATGGGGGTATGGAGCAGAGGTGGGGCAGGAGGTGGAGCAGGGGCGGGGCCAGTTTTTGGGCACTCGGTCTCTAAAAGGTTCGCCAACACTGGCCTAGTGCCTTGCTACGGTCTGAGATTCCCAATCAAGAAACTTTTCTGCAATGTTTCAGGTAATTCTAAGAGCTCAGATCCCTGAATACATCTGAAAGTGTCATGCCTGAATTCACATTTAAACCTGTTTAATTGTTTAAAACTTATTTAGCTGAGAAAGATTTTTCTAATAAGTTGGTAGCGGTAATAGACGATTGTGTGAAGGCTGCAACTGATTCTGACCGATTCTGTTAGTTATGTGAGTTCCCTGTTTCAGCCCTATATCTTCCAAAGTAAAAGGCCCACACTCCTAATATTGCCTGGTTAATCTGTGCCCTTTATCGGTTTTACATCTACATAGGCATTGTATCCTACCTTTACTTTTCCCTGTTCAGCCTCATAATGATGCGATTCTCAGGCTTTACTGAGATTCCAAGGACATGACTGATCACTTTGCGGAGCATACAAAGCATTTTTTGACTTCTGAGTTTGCTTACCAGAGTGAAACAGCCTCCTCCCCCAACAAATGTCACACCTGCATCTCCAGACCACATTCCTTCTATGCACAAAGGCTCAGCTTCTTTCCCCAGCAGAATTTTTTTCATGCTATTTTATGCACAGGCTAGAGTTCAGAGTTTTGAGGTTTCTTCTAATTCCAGAGAATTGAGTGATCTCTGTGTACACACTGAACATGAAAGAGTCACTGAATCAGAGGGGGCTTCCTGGCAGTGCAATGGCCTGATTTGAGCTGCTTTATCCTATAAAGATAATATTAGCAAAATGGTAGCATGTAAGACATGTCTTCACTGAATAACACCTTGCCTTTTGCCCCATACAAATATTGTTATTGTTAATGGGTCTTCATTGTTCGATTAAATGTACAACAAATTTATACCATCGTATTCTTGAATTATCACATCTTTAACTAAAACAGCCGTATATGAGACAGTACCAAAAGCAAATTCAAACTAATAACATTGTAAATTGTACTGCAGTGGCTATCTGACATTTAAATGCTATTAAAGCTAAGTAGATGACTTTAGATTGACATAGGAAATCTTTGGCTTTATTTTTTCATCCCTACTTAGCCAGCATTTCATATAGATTTACTAACCACTTCCTGAAATTGCACAAAACAGAGACAAGCTGGCAGCTGCTCCAACAGGCTTAGAGAGCTAACAACAGAGAATCTTATCTGGTGCTGCTAGATGAAAAATGTTCTACTTACGTTACTCTCTGGTTGGACCTTCAAGTGTCTCCCTGCATGAAAGACACTCTTTCTTACATGGAGATTGACTGTACTGTATATAGTAAAACTTCAGTTAAATGAACCATTTGTGAAGAAAGGTTTCTATTATATATGAATGTCCTTGGCAATCAAATTTACATTATTTGTATAATTATGTAATTGATATTTGACATCATTTGTACCAGTTTTCCAGATGATGCAGATTGACATAAATGACACAACGGTCATTGATATAGTATCAGTGGTATCACTTCATGTTCTAGCTCCTTGGTGTCAGACCCTATAGCCAGACAGCAGACCATAAGTGGCCTTAAATGCCAGGTTGGTTTGTAATAAGCCATTCTTCATCTGCGATTTGATTGTGCATGAGAGGGCTAACTTAGAATGATTTACTGAACTGGCTGGGTCCCAAAGGGAGGAGGCTTCCTCTCAGAGATGTGCCTGGGGATGTTTTAAGTATGGCATCAGCCAAGAACCTAGGCAGAGATGATGGTATGGCAATTGTCATCTGAGAATCACTTACAGCTTTCAGGAGTGCTGTTCCACAAGTCACTGGATATGACATCTTATTCATTAAGTTGGGCCTAGGGATCAGTTAGGACTGTTGCTCTTCTACCAGGTTCATTGCTGCATAGCAACCTCCCTGCCTGTTCCTTGCTTCCATCTCGAAATTGCCAATGGAGTTCCCTTGACCTGTGATCTTAGGGGACTTCCCAATTTGCCTTCCCTGAAAGTGGGATCTGAGATGACTCAGGACTTATCCCAGGTCATCCAGAGTGCAACAAGGTATCTGTAAACTGTAGCTGGTACAAAACAAATGTCACACCTCTGCTTCGTGAGCTGTGTTGGTTACCAGTTTGTTTACAGGTCCAAGGTGCTGGTATTGATCTTAAAACCCTTCATGGCATGGAACCAGATTATTTCAGGGGCCATCTGTTCCAATTTCAACTTCCCATCCTATCAGATCCAGCAGAGAGGGCATGTTGGGGGTTCTATTGCCTAGGGAGCCAACTTTGGTGGGCCCTAGATGATGGGCCTTTTCTGCTATGGACCTTGCACTATGGAATTTTCTCTCCCCTGAGGTGAAGTTCACCTTGTCACTGTTGAGCTTCCAGAGGTTCTCAAGACTTGGTTATGCTAGCAGGCCTGGGGACCCTAGGGGACAGGTGAACTAGTGAGATGATTCCACTATTTTTAACACTCTTTTGTCTATTATTCTTTGTTTTAGCTTGGTTTTCATGCTTTTTAATCTATTTATTAACTGTTTTTAGTTCTGTTGTATATCTCCCAAAGTTGCTTGTTTGTGAAATATTTGTTTGTGAGCTATATAAATTGGTTTAACAAACAAACAAATAAATAAATAAATAATAAGGCAATTTATGTAATTTAACTTGAATGACATTTAATATATCAGCTGCCTGCATTACTTTGAACACAATAAACTTTGCCTGTTTGGAAATGAAGTTGTTTGTGTCCATTGTAGCAGAAGTCCACATAGTGAAGATCCAAAGAACCAAGGTTTGACTTCATTTGTATATGGCCTCCCAAAAAAATGTTCTTCAAAGGCTTGAGGTTCTTAGGTGGTAGAGAAAACACTACTTTACGTATATCAGCAACTTTCTGCCTGGCTGAAGATTTAAGTGAGGGAGTAAGACAGCATTTCAGTCTTTTCTCTGTGATGCCGTTTCTGTACATGTAAGGAGTGTTTTCAAGGGAAAAGATAGCATTTGGAAGACTTTATTTTTACAATGGCATAAGACAGATTATAATTTACTTCATTAGTGTGTCTTCCACTGAGGATTTACAATGTGATTTTTTTTTCTGAATAAGAGATTTTAATTCTTTTACATAAAAATCATATTTATGATATTAGTAGAATGCCATAATATAACTCATACTTCTTTCTCTGTTTTTGAAATTGCTTTTGCTATAAATTTGGTTAATAACAACGATGTGTATCAAGGGGATGGAACTATATAGAACAGTAACAAATAAAATAGTGTGTCAGAACAAATTATCTCTGGCCATAAAGTGTTAGCTTCTACATGGATGGTATGGTTTGCCTCTTGATTTCATGGATCTGCTTCTAGTTCACCCCAGCAAATGCTGCTTTGATGGAAGAGTCTCACCTGTCCTCAGAAATGCTGTTTGTTTCTGAGCACCTTCAAAATATACTTTTCTACCTCTTTAAATCATGGGAGGAAATGCAAAGTTTGAGTGCATTTGAAGGTGAGACTGGCCCAAATGAACTTCACCTTGTTTGTTTAGATCACTGTGGCTGCTGCAGTTTTCTCAGCTGTTCCTCCTTCCTTTGGCCCATCTCCGGTAAGAGAACAGGGTATGGTTTGTTCTGCCTGCCTTCTTAGATCCTTGGGCGATGGCTTTCCAGCCCTATTATGCAGTGAGCAAGCAGAGAGTGTGGTTAGAGGAATATCTGAAGGCGGAAGCAGATCTCTGACTATTTATGGGTACACTTTTTCTTTTGGTTTAAAAGTTTGGAGAACGGCATACTTGTATGACAGGAGGAACAGATATTTAATTTCAAGATATGGTTTCTATAACATGGACCGAGACTTATATTGCGGTGTATTTTCTGGATTTTTATGTAATTTCTGCTGTCTTTTTGGTGGAAGGTCAAGTAAGGCAAGGGAGTTTGTTTTATTCCCAGTCTCTTTTCACTGAGTCTGTTTAATTTTTTTTACTATATCTAATTTTTTTTCCTGCCTAGGTAAACAACAATGGAATCATCTCCTTCTTGAAAGAGGTATCTCAGTTCACCCCCGTGGCTTTCCCTATTTCCAATGACCGACGTGTTGTTGCTGCATTCTGGGCTGATGTTGATAACCGGCGTTCAGGACAAGTGTATTACCGGGAAACCACAGACCATGCTGTTTTGGAGAGAGCCACTAAAGATATTGCACAGTATTTCCCAGAATTCCCAGAGTTCTCAGCCCAATGGATATTCATAGCAACTTGGAACAAGGTTACCTTCTTTGGAGGAAACTTGTTTTCTCCAGTAAGTATCAGAACCAGAATATTGACTGATGGGTAATAAGAATAAAAGAGTTTCCTCTCTGCCTTATTGTGATTAAGCTTGGGCAGAACAGAAATTGTAGTAAATTGTTGACTTATCAGCAGAGTAATCTTCATTTCAGACCCAAAAGTGCTTTTCCAAAAGGCAACTGGGTTTCTTGGTTTTTTTCCTTGAAAAAGTTTTGCTTCTCATCCCAGAAGCTTCTTCACTTCTGAACTGAAGAAGCTTCTGGGATAAGAAGCAAAATCTTTTCAAGGAAAAACCAAGGAAGTCCAGTTGCTTTTTGAAAAGCACTTTTGGGACAACCATGACCTGGATGATTGAGAATCATCTTCCTTCATTTCAGTCATCAGCATTCTATCTTTCCTATGATATGAGAGATCAGAGAATAAAATACAATACTCGTTCCATTGACAAAAGAAAAAAATACAAATTAAAACATTATTTTAAAAGATAGGAATTAGCAAAACAATAACAAGTTCAATATTCTTGGCATGCGTCTGTGTTCCTCAGAGCACTCTGACTCTCTTGCAGCCAAACAGCTCTTCAGGACTCAAAAGGGTTCAAGAATTATTGATGGAGACCTTCTTGAGAAGGTTTTACTTTAGTATTAACCAGTGCTGCAACTTGCTGAACATTGCCTATTGCCTTAATATTCTCTGTGTGTTTTTTTTCTTGCAGGTAAATACTTTCCAGATAGTCCTCATCACTGATGGCCTGCTTTCCTTCACTATCTTCAACTATGAGTCAATAACCTGGACCACTGGCATGCATGCCAGCAGTGGAGGAAATTTAGCAGGCCTGGGAGGGATAGCAGCCCAGGTAGATTACATGATCACGCTCAAACTAGTCTCCTTTCTAATACATGGCATACATTCGTGGAGATTGCTAAGGATGATGTTGATTGTCTTGATATGGCCATGGCCCAGATAATCCTTAGCCTCAACTTCTTAAATAATAATCTTATTTTTCCCATCCCTTCAGAGCTTAGACTACATAGGACCTTTAGTGAAGGAAACTGCAGCTCTTTATTTTGGCCAGTGCTTCTGAGTTCCTTCTCTTCATTAGCCACCAACTTATTTAAAAGAGTCACCCAGCAATGACTGCAGCAAGTACAACTTTCTCTTGGCATTTGTATTTCACCCTATATGTTGTTTTCTTTCTTTTAGTTGGTGGCTGTTCGGATGTGTGGATATACTATTAATTGATCTATGCTTGGCCAACTACTAGCAGTCATCTCCAGTAAGCAGGAAGTTGCAGGTGTATAGAAAATTAATCCATTTTCAGCCCCAGAAATTCAGGAGTGTAGGCTTTTATGATTGTAAACAGAGCAGTAACCACATGCTTTGGATACTGTACAGTGCTTTAGGAACACCCTGCCTTGGCTCAGCCAAAGTGGGAGAGAGAGGAAGTTGAAAAGTTTTTCACCAGGCACTGGCTTCTGACCAAATTTGTGAGAACTTGCTGCTGTAATTCACAAGATGATAGAGTGGCTCAGCAGAAGCACCTCGCAGCTCAGCATGGCAGAGGCTGCTGCTTGGCTTGAGCTAACAGAGCTGTGCTCATTTTGTGAAAAGCAGCAAAAGAGTCCAAAATTCTCTTGGATTCACCCTGTATAGATGAATGGGGATGAAAATAAGCTCAGTGTTTTGTGCGCTTTCCAGCTAGTGAGTCATGGATGAGTGGGGATTACTGGGGCCTTTTGGTGCCAAAAGCCATTTGGGAAAAGAGTTGCACTAAGTAGACCATCTGAACTCCCTCTTCCCCTCCCACCTCCTTTTTTTCCCCTTTTAATGATGACAGTTATCATGTGTTGTAGCCAAAGTCTTTAATCACAGATGACATTCAAAACAGTAGGAGATGGCTTCTAGACTATACACTGCTTATTTTCTCCTGGTCTGTCCTGAAGCAGCTGGAACAGGGGTCCAAATAAATGGTTGTCCTGGAGAAGAAATGCTTGCCTCAACATAAACTTGCAAGTAAGCCTCCAGATGTTGGTGGCCACAACAAAGTTTGCTAATTGTGAGCCAGTTTTAGTCATTTATGAACTGACGACTGTATGATTGCTTAGTCAAGAATTCTTATCCCAAGAGTCCTGACTCCTGGCTTACAAGGAGACTCAAACAGCTACATTCTGGCTACATTTATTACACTCATATCCCCTTTTCCCCCTGTGGAATCAACTTGATATATGCTGGGGTCTCCCATTTAGGCGTTGACAAGACCAAGGACCATAAAGTTCAGGCAACATGTTTCATCACAATTGAATGCCCTGGGAAGTGAATGTTTAAAAAGTCCAGAAAGTGGAGATAATCTAGGAACAAATGAAGCTGCCATATATCAAATGAGATCATTGGTCCCTTTTGCTGAGTTCTGTTAACACTAGCAATAGCATTTCAAGATTCCAGATCAGAGCCCTTCCCAGCCCAATTTGTAGAGTCAGAGGATGCTCCATATATACAAAACGTGTGATTTTTCACTGAACCATAGAACTTTTCCTTGTAAGTAATTTGTCAAAGAAAAACTTCTAGAACAGGGGTGTCAAACTGCTGGCCCGCAGGCCGGTTGCATCATATGGAGGCTGTGCCCACCCCAGCTCCGGCAATGCAAAAAAAGTCGCGATATGTCACAACATGTCATGTGACACAAGGAGTTTGACACCCGTGTTCTAGAAGAGCAACTATTATCTCCACTGAGGGAATCAGAGGAGTTGTATTGCGAGGGTTGCTAATACCTCCTATGCGAAATAGTAGCTATTTAGATGAGAAGCAGAAATATGAAGCAACATTCAGCAAAATTGGATGCTTCCCTTCCTTATGTTCTTGCAGTCCATTCCTCTGCAGGGCACTGGGCATGGTGGAAGACAGAGGTCCCTTGCATTTCCCCACAGCTGCCCTGCTTTCCCCAGCAAGAGGTTTCAGTCTCTGCCCTTGTCTTCCTAGGCAGGTTTCAATGCCGGTGATGGAAAACGGTATTTTAACATCCCCGGATCCCGCACTGATGACATTGTCGACGTGGAGATGACGACAAATGTGGGTATCCCCGGGCGCTGGGTATTCAGAATCGATGATGCCCAGGTGCAAGTGGGGGGCTGCAACAACACAAGTAAGAGGACAGCAGTTAGGTTTATTTAATGAAACCAATTCTCCCAGCCCTTCTCTCTGTCCCTGTGAAGGTTCTAGTTCTATGAAGGGCAGGAGCCATTGTGAGTGGCACATAAACTTCTGAATACTTTACTGAGTTGTTACATTAATGCAGTATAATAAATATGGGATGTACTGTGCAAGTTATAAATTTGGGGAATATGGCTATGCTACTCAGACTGAATCCCTTGGTGGCTGTAGATCTTTTCTGGTTGATTAAGAGCTACTTAATTATTTCTGAGAATGAAACTAGTAGAAATAAGACATAAATAGAATACCTCTGAGAAAGCAGGTCTTTATATGAAAGGATGATGATCCTGAAATTAAGATGATTCCATCTTTCCCCACAAAAGGTGGAGTGAGAGAACAAATTCATCCACATCTTTACTGTATTCTCAAGTAAATCCTAAACGATTCTCTAATTTTAACACTGAATTATTTGGGAGATGAGGGAAAGCTAGTTTCTTTTTAGTCAATACTCTGTTTGTTACACTTCATATCATAGCATTCATCTCAACCATGAGCTAAGAGTGGCATCTATGGTGCTTTCCTCTCCTGTTGGGCTGATAGAAATTGGCCCCCAATTACCTACTGAGGTTCATGGTGATCAGAACTCAAGTCTTCTCATTAGTTCTTACATGCCAAAGCTGTTGGTTTAGAAAAAAGACTAAAGACTCTTAAACTGTAAATTAATTCCATACAAGCATAAATCCAAGCATAATTACAAGCATAAATCCATAATGTTTTCTTAAATCAATTCAATCGTTTTTTTTATAGGACTGGGTCCCAGAAGTAGGCCAGTTTTCTCCAATCTGATGCCCCGAATATGATAAGACTGCAGTTCCCAGATTATTCCGCAAGAGCTGGAATTCTGAAAGTTGCAATCTCAGTGTAATATCCAATTGGATATATTAGATTCTATCCCAGGTTTAATTGCAAAATATTTAATGTGTGGAGCTCTGAGGTCACTAGTAGATATGTTTGCAAATCCATACGGGGAGTGAAATTAAACCTCTCCTAGGGAGGCTTAAACCATCACTAAAAGCTATCCATCAAGGCCGATATTATTCTCCTACAACGCTGAGGGTTTGTTCAAAAATTGAAACTTCCCACAATCTGTGTCCATCAGTTTTGCAGGGTCTGCATGGCTTCTAAATAAAAACATTTCAGATTTTTCCCAATCTTTGGCTCCATAGAGTTAAATGAGTTCTCTTCTGACTCTTTATCCTTAATTTAAATTTATCTATTTATCTTCGGGATATGCTTCTCTGGAGCTGTCTAACTATTGTTCCTTCTTTCTTCTCCCACCCCGATTTCCAAATTTAACAATTCTAGAGATTTAGTAGATGATTTTCTCTGCCTCTCTTTTATTTCCTTGAACACATAATTATGTTAAAAATATTAATAATGTTGGCAAAATTCTTTAATAATGGAAAATTTGTTGATATTAATGTAGTTCTTAATTCTTGGGGTTGTCATAAAAGTATTACAATATAGCAAAAGGCAACAAGATGCCATGAAGATTATAGAATTGATCAAAAGTATTTTGCTGTGAAAATGATTTAATAAGTTTATTAAAAGTTCACTTAATAAAAGGCTGAATATTGATTTATCAAAGATATTAATTTCATTATCTAGATTTTCAGAAAGATTGTAAAACTCCTACATAGATCAATAGAAGTACTGGCCTGGACAGCTGGGGCAATTGTAATTTTAAATCCAATTTAAATGTGGATAAAGTACATTACATTGTGTGGTTTTGAAACAAATGTGATACTTCTGTATATTAGTGATCTAAATTCATTATAGGGGATCATCTACAAAGACAAAGGAAGTTAGATTAGTGTGATGCTCCTATTGCCACATCATCTAACTTCTCCCTGATCGTGCTTCTAACTATTGAATAGTGGGTTTATTGCTTCATGCAGCTTCTGTATGTTTGACACTTCGTCCTTGCTTGAATGGAGGAAAATGTATTGAGGATTGCATTACGGGGAACCCTTCATACACCTGCTCTTGTCTCGCTGGTTTCACTGGAAAACAATGCCAAATTGGTGAGTCCTGCTTGTCTGCTGTGCACAATTGTACAGAGCAACTGTACTATTTCAGCAACAAATTAGACCATATATAGCTACTTGTTTTATTTTAGATGGCAATCTATAGATTATTTTTTTTCTCCCCTGGGGAAAGAGGAATTGAGTGAGTAAATCCTAATTCATAGCACCTCTCATTTTCTCTTCCAGATGTGGATGAGTGTGCTTCCAGTCCATGTCATAATAAAGCATCTTGTATTAGTGGCATCAACAGCTTCAGCTGTTGGTGTCCACCAGGATTTAAAGGAGCTACATGTGAAATTGGTGAGAAATATTGTGTAAGAGCAAAGACAAAAATCCAATAACAAATTTAAGGAGAAAATGTGATTATGATTTTACTATTAATAATATTTAGTATTTAATTTTTTGTATTGTGCTTTAATTTTTTTATCTGCCTTGGGTTCTTGCTTGAGCAGAAAGCAGATTAATTAGACACATAACAAAGACAAAGTCGTAGCAGAACTTCTTTGTGGCAATTACTTTAATTTTAGGAAAGCAGGTGCTTTAATGACATAGTATCTTCAGGGTTGTTGAATTACACTTCTCAGAATGCCCAGCTAGGATGACCAAAGAGATGAAATGGAAGTGTATGCCCCAGATAAGGCAGTTCAGTATGGCTATTGGTACCATGAAGCTTCCCATATTATTTTTCCACATAATTTTCATTACAATCTCCTTATCTTCCATTAAACAATATTAATTTCAATAGCTGGCCTGTGTGCATATTCAGAAGCTGAAAGATTCTATAGCTTATATGGTTTTCTCGGTGAAAAAAATATCTTAATGTCATAATTTAATTTTCTTTTTTGTTGTTTTTGTTGAAATATAATAGAGGAATCGCCATGTGAAACCAAAGAATGCCAGAATGGTGGGGAATGCCAAATAACAAACAGAACAGCTGTCTGCCTTTGTCAGCCAGGTTATACAGGAGAAGACTGTGAAATAGGTGAGCCAAAAATAAGCATGTGTATTTAATGTAATCACCATTTAATCTCCTGCTCATCTGATAGCAATTGCATTGTTTATTTCTGTTCTATGTTAATAAGTACTTCTGTTTATTTAATCAGTTAATTCCCTATTTATGAATAACAGCTCTTATACTGTTTGTGCAGTATAGTTTTATACAAAATGAACACTATACCTTCATTTCAAACTTAATATTTTTGTTCTCTTTCTTTTCTCTGCAGAAATAAATGAATGTGAGTCCAGTCCGTGTCTGAATGGTGGGCAATGTATGGATCTTGTCAACAACTATACTTGTGCCTGTGCAACACCTTTTACTGGACACCATTGTGAAATAGGTGCCTGATTTTATAACTGCGTGATGGCATCCTTTTTCCTACAAAACTAGTCTTGATTGTTCTTTCTCTTTCTTTGCTACTTTCAGGCCCTCAGCTTAGACCAGGAGTTTTCAAACTTGGCCTTTTCATGACTTGTGGACTTCAACTCCCAGAATTCCTCAGCCAGGCACTCTGGCTGAGGAATTCTGGGAGTTGAAGTCCACAAGTCATAAAAGGGCCAAGTTTGAAGACCCCTGGCTTAGACCCATCCTTGTATGTGTAATCTTCACTTATTCAGCTGCATTGATCTATACTGAGGCTTCCTCTTCTTCATTCTAGATCCTTCAACCTGTGAAGGCAGAAACTGCAGGAATCGACAGATGTGCAACTATATTCGTCCAGGGCGCTATGTCTGCACATGCTCACCAGGCTACTATGGGAACAACTGCCAATATGGTGAGCATATTTGGTGCTCCCCTGTACATCCTGCTCTCATAGAATGCTCCCTGCTAATTTTTTTTAATCCAGTGACTAGTTATCTTTGACATTCAAATGGTTCAGCTTCGTCTTTAGTTTATTTTTGGGAAATGGCAATTGTGTTTCATCCTCCAATTTCTGTTTATTCATTAAACAGTACAGCTCAAGGATAGGGAGCTTATTTTGACCAGAGGTTCAAGTTGACTGCATTTAGGTGACTGTCAGCATGAGTAATCCTGTTCCAGATGTACTTGCTTTGGATCCATGCTTAGACTGAACTAGTCACTTTACTTAAACCTTGCATAAAGGAATTCATTGCCCTCACCCCAAGCTCCTAGTTTTTAATGAAGCTTTGAAGTTGCCTTAAGTGATACCAATACAAGGTGAGTATTTTAAGAACTCAATGCCATACTGTATGGAAGTGTGTTTTGGAGAGGAGTCTCCCTATGTATGCTTACTGCACTTTACTCCTGATGTTCATAGCCCCCTTTGAACTTGAGTAATAGGGCATGTGTTATCTGATCATTAAAAAAAATCTTTATAAGAAGTAAGAAATATGTCATTACCTGATGGTACCAAGCTACTAATAGACCTTACCACTTTGCCTGATGGAATGAACACTGGCATCCAGACTATAAGTTTTTTTTTATTTCAGTTTTTAAATATAATATAATTCTAATTAACATTACATGAGAGAGCACTTAGGTACAAAGCCATTAAAACATCATCAATCAATAGAATATATAAAAGGGTAAAATATTTAAAATGGAACAATTAAACTACAATGAGTGATAAGTTCTACAGTCTTGGGATGACAATTGAAAAGGTCACTTCCAGGGAAGAAACAACAAACTGAGCTGAGTGCTTCAAAAAAATGGAACAGAAAAGCTAGCAAAATAAAGGACTGGCAAGAAGACTGGTTTTCATATTTCCTCTGCTAACGTGAAGAGGGTGCAGTCATGTGATGCCTCAGTGACCATGCTGTTAATAAGGTAGAATCAGTCTTTTGGGCAGAACTTTCCATCCATTATCTTATCCTTAGTAAAGCATAGCCCACAAGTGACCAAACTTTTTGCACTTCATGTAGGTCCTCCCAATATCCATGCAGTGGTAAAGAAGAGTTGATATGTAAAGCTGGACATACAGGAACTGCCTCCTAACTTGAAAGCCTACATTTTGGGGGTGCTAGATTGTGTAAAGTCGTCTGTGTTTATTTCGCATGTGTCCTCCCTATAGAATATTAAGAGAATAAATAATTTTTTACATAATCAAACTGAGTGGTTATCAGATAAATGCATACAGAACAATAAAATAAGACAGTAATAGAAACAAAGAAGAAAATATGGTAAAAATCAGGCAGCAACCAAGCAAACCCACATTGCCCTGAAGGGCACCTCAATCACTTTTGCCAAAGGCCTAGAATAGATGAACAGCAATGTCTTCAAGACTGTCCAAAATATCAGCAGGATGAGGGCTATCTGGATCTCAAGGGGAACCTCATTCTGGAGTCAGGTGCTGAACAGAGCACATTTATTTATCAATTTTATTTATTTATTGAATTTATATAGCCATTCACCTCACAAAATACAATTATGTATGGTGTACAACAATCTGTATATTCGTGATAGATAGCATTATTTAATCAAAAGAAGATGAAGCACATCAGCCCTGCCAGATGGGATTGGCTGGATGGATGCTATGAGAGATACCGGTAGGTGGTCCCAAAAGTAATCAGGCCAGATATCATGTAGGGCTTTATAGATAAAGACCAGCTTCTATATTTGATACTGAGAAGATGTTCTAATATTCTTTTTTATGCTACAGAAATATATCACTATTTGATTCATGATTCCTTTACTAATGTTTCTAGGTGGCCCCAGAATATCTAATGCCTGTAGCTCCAATCCATGCCAGAATGAGGGTACATGTCTTGAAAGCAGTCAAGGTTATATGTGTGAATGTTTAGAAGGATACACAGGAACTGACTGCAGAGATAGTAAGTATTAGAGTCAAACATACTAAACAAAATGTTTGTACTCTCCTTAAGCTTCATGCATGTATACTGTTTCCAAATTAGTAGTGGAGCGCTGCAGTCTGGGTGGGCAGTTCGCAGAAAACAAATCATTTTTTGTTTTCTTTTTCAAAGTGATTGTATCTGAGCAGATTTTAGCTCTATAAAAATTACTACTACTACTACTACTACTACTACTACCACCATTACCACCTTCTCCAATCATATTAAATTCCCAGTTGTTTTAGATTTATCAGTAATAATAATAAGATCCTGTCAGGAACCTGCAAAGGAAAACATTGACATAATTAGCAAAATAATAAGGGAATTGATGTCGCTATTTGCATGTGGTGGTACTGATGACATGGGAGATAGTGACATGACTTCAAAGTTAGATGCATGGTACAGTAGCTACTATTTCAGTTTTCTGTCATAGCCATCATACCTCCTTGCTTGAATTCTGCTCTCAGAATTTTCAGAATAGAGGTTTGTAATGTTTTTCTGCTGTCAAATTTATTTCAAAAGACTTGCAGATTTGGGGTGTTAACCATTTCAAACTGGGGATTAAAAGCCAAATGGGCTGCAGTAAAAGATTGTAAGCAGGATTTTAACATTTCACTTTTGTTGTATTTGGGGGGAATTTGAGATTTTTCTTTAACTATATAAAGTCTGTTTTAAGCTTTACACTTTCATCACCACCACCAACCCTGGTATTTTTGCCTAAAAATATTAGGAAATTGTATCAATGATTTTCAGCAATGGTAATATTAAAATTGGTGGTATGATTGAAGGGAACTCTGACTGATGTAAATAAAGGCTTTCAGCACTACATAGGGCTACCTGTCATTGTTACACAGAGAACAGAATCAGTTCCTCTCATGTGTTACTAAGCTTTGACATGCTAATACTTCTAGATGATTTTAATCCGGGGCATTTTTTTCTCGAATTTCTGGAGAACTAGTTTCTTTCATGCTCCCACTGTATCTCCTGTTGACCTCATTCATCTTCATTAAGCTTTTCCCACTCTGAAGCTTACAGGCACTAATTACTGGCTCATACCATCTTCTAGGAAGAGAATAGGCAGTGTTTGACATACCATTTTTTAAAAAAAGCAATAAAGCTCATTAGAGTTGTTGAACCAAGGACAGATACCACCACAAGGGAGCATTTAATAGGTAAAGTGTAATTACTCCTGTAGGGAGCACAACTGGTTTGTAATTTGCCATTGCTTGCGTAGTAATTAAAGAAAATAACTAATGTTACAAGAAAAGGAAGTAAAAGTTCTTCAATATAAGATGTATAGCCAACTCTAATTCTGATGTTTCCTTGCTGCAGGCTGCATCATCCTGCTTTGGTTACTGAATGGAGGTAGATTAATGCAGGTCTCAGATTTGCTGGCTCAGACAAGTCTAATTTGTCTTGATCAACTTTCTTCTTCCCTCCCTTGAATTTTTGTAGAACTCTCAGAAGACTGCGAGTGTAGGAATGGAGGAAAGTGTCTGGATGGAAATGTCACTGTGTGCCATTGCCCACCTGGATATTTTGGGCTTCTCTGTGAATTTGGTAAGAGAAATGTTTTCTAATCTATACAAAACATTTATTTCTTTAGATTCTTGCTGCGTGTATGGTAAGGTGACAGAGTATACTGCGGTACCTTTAAGTACAGTATAATCCATTTACTTCTGTGCAGATGTTTATGGATCAATTCTGAATCATGAAATCTTACATGACAATCAACTGGTGAGTCTTTAAGGTGTTATCAGATGCTACTTTTTGTGTTGCGAAAGATTACCTCTCTAGAAACTCCTAGAGTGTAATGTGATGTTATTTTTATTCTGACTGACATTTCCATTTGTGAACATGGGCAGATGAACTGTTTTCACCTAACTGCCCAACCAATGTTTTAATTCCTTCAGAGCCACTCCCTGGCATATGATTGCTAAAAGCACCAAGAACCAAGCTAACAGTCCAGATTTTGTGGGCCACAAGTAATAATCTGAGTCTTATCTATAGCTGGTACCTTCCAGTTCTTTTGGACTACAGATCATATCAAACCAGTGGCTGATAATCTGACCAAGTTGAAGGGTTTGTCTAAGGAAAATAATTTTATACCATGCAGCACTGTTCCTTCTCTATATTTTCTTACTTTGTAATATTATAGTTTTCCCGGAGCTGGATAATTAATTCTGCTGAGTATCTAATGGGTGATATTTCTCATCATTATCTGTAGCATGCTCAGCTGTGTAATAGAGAAGCATCCTATATGTGCTTTTGATCTATTGCAGAAGTGACTACTACACCTTGCAATATGAACACCCAGTGCCCTGATGGGGGTTATTGTATGGAGTATGGTGGCAGTTACCTTTGCGTGTGCCATACAGATTATGGCAATAATCACAGTAAGTAAAACAGACTCAGAAGACTAGAGTGTGTCCTGACTTTAAGAACCATGATGGGGAAGAGAGGAAAAATTCATGTAATGATGCCAATCAAAGGCTAACCTGGTTAGTGAAGGTTAAGGGATAGATTTAAAAATGAAAGAGGGAGAAATGCAATCTTGAAAAATGCAATGTAATTTATAAGGAACATGCAAGTGACATAGTGTGGGAAAATAATGGGCAAGTGACTTGTACTATCTTTGTTGCTGTTTATGCTTTCTCTTATAAATGGTAAAAATTGGTGAGAATATCAGGTGGGCTGTTAAGTTTGTGGTTTCTAAATAGTAGGAAGGAGAACCTGGTATATCTTTTTACATTCTAAAAAACAATTCTTTGAAACTGACATTTTCCAGCATCAGTTCCTTTAGAACATTAACATCAAAGAATAGAGGGGTTTTTTTTTCAGCCATGCAATATGAAAGAAAAGAGTTAGCCATCACTCTTTAGAGTATTGCAAAATCTCCAATCACACCTCCATCTTGACCCTGTGTATATTTAAGATGATGTCATTCCTATGTCTGCATGGCCTAGAATATCCGTGGGCATCTGAATTCAAAGAGATGTGTCCTCTTTTTCCATGTCATTTAATTGAGCTCCTCTCCATGGGGCAGGTGGGTTTTTCATTTAGCATCAGCCCATGTGAGGCCATGTCTGCTTTTGCAGCTGAGCCACCCTCTCCATGTGACTCAGAGCCCTGCCTGAACGGTGGATCTTGTGATGCTCATGAAGACTCCTACACCTGTGACTGTCCCCGAGGCTTCACTGGAAAACATTGTGAGAAAGGTACTTGACAACACAGAGGTGATTGAACAGAATCTACATTCTCAAACTTGTTTTGATGAGAGACAACCTTTTCACCCTAGAACAGGATTGGGTGAGAAACTGATTGCAAGGATTGGTACTTTTTCTTTCATATGATTGAATTAGTGTATAGTTCATCCTATGGCCAGCTAAAGTTGGGTGAGACCATTGAAGAAGTATACTCTCTCTAGAATAGGGGTGTCAAACTGCTGGCCCGCGACTGTTTGCATCATGTGGAAGCTGTGCCCACCTCAACTCCGACCATGTGAAAAAAGTCACGATACGTCACGCCACGTCGCATTACGTGGCAAGTTTGACACCCGTGCTCTAGAACATTCATTATAGGATCCTAATATGTCTGTATCAAAAAGTACCCGATACATTGGCCTTTGGGAAGTATTAGATTTTGGAGCTTGGTGTGTCTTAACCTTATCTAAGAAAGAAGTATTGGAGTAGTTCTTCTCAGTCTTGCCAACTTTAGGATATGTGGACTTCAACTCCCAGAATTCCTCAAATTGGCTGGGAAGTCTTTATTTGGAAAGGGGAAAAAATGGTTTTATGTGGACAATCTATATTGAAAATAATTTTGAGCATTCATAGGGACATGCAGAGTACTGCTGACAACTCCTTAAATCAAACACTCCTTTTCCTGGGGTCGGCAGACAGTTACACAGCCACCACTAGAGAGTGATCGTCTAAGTGTCGCCACATGCTCTATGAGACTTTTCCCTTTTGTCTAATGCCAGTTTGTTCACAAACCATTCTTAAAACAAAGATTGGTTTATCAATATTTGTGAACGTTATACATAGCAGAAATTGACTTTGGCAAAGTATTTGGTTTTTCTATCTTGAATTTATTCATAATCTGTATCTGTGGATTGGTTGCTGTAAGTTTAGGAATTAGTTTATTGTGATGAAAGAATTAGACCAGCAAAGAACAGACTATTCCTTTCATGCTACATGCATGGGTTTATTTTCAAAGGATATATAGCAAGTATCACTATTTTTCTCTTGCCAGCAAGACCCAAATTGTGCAGCTCTGGACCCTGCCGCAATGGAGGGACTTGTAAGGAATCAGACGGGGAATACCACTGTACCTGTCCCTACCGCTTTACAGGAAAGCACTGTGAGATAGGTACTCAATGACGTACTATTTTGTCCCATTGAAAGGCTTTGCAGTTGTACTCTTTGTAACTTAAATCTTTTATATTTATAGGTAAACCTGATCCTTGTACCTCAGGGCCTTGTCATAATGGGGGCACCTGTTTCCATTATATCGGCAAATACAAATGTGACTGCCTGCCTGGATACACTGGACGGCACTGCGAAATAGGTATTGGAATAGGAGGGATCTTTGTCTACTGGAGCTTAATTGTGAATCTGAAGACTTTGCCTGCAGCCTTTGGGTTGGGCAAGAGGTTTTTGTGGTTAGGTTCTTCACTCATTAAAAGCAACAAGTATTTCTACCCCCCAAAGAATAAAGTTAAGGACATGCCCACTTTGCATTAGTATTTAAAATATTTATCAACAATAACTGCCATGAGAGGATATTTTAAAACGGCATTTATTGTAACAGAAAAATGTGATAAGTCTTTGATAACAATTTATCTCTTCTTAATCCAGAGGATAGTGCACATCCCTTCAGTTGTTGCTGAACTATAGTTTCCAACATCTTTCGCTTTTGGCTTGTAGGAGTTCAAATCCATATTTGAAAGACAATACAGTCTCCATCCATATCCTAATCCCCTGAAAGTTACATTAAAATAAAAGCATCTGAAAAAGTGAGGGAAAGGTTATGTTCAAAAGCTTCATTAATTTTGATGTTGCTTGTGTAAAACTGCAAATATATAGTTTAACAACTCTTGCCTACTATACTTGATTAACCTCTTTGATAAAATTAATGACTTCTGCATTGAAGAGAGACAAGATATAAAATAAGTTGAAGTTTGGCTACTGTAACTCGCCTTTTAGTAAGTTTTTAAGATAATTTACTCTGTGGGTATTAATCATTTACCTCTTATATCCCCAAACAACCTGGATCCCACTTCAAAAAAGTTTACTTTTTTCCAAAAAGGACATTAATATGCTATCCTGTTCTGTTCTATTATGTTATTGATTCTTTCATCCTCAGTGTCATGATCATTATCTTCTTGAAAGCAGCAGAGAAAGGTTTCAGCCATATAAATAAATTTTGGGTCTTATGTCACATTAAACTCAACTGGATATAAGTTCTGAATAGGAACTTGATTGGCACTTCAAGACTCTACCTGCTTTATATACGTATAGTAGAAAATAATTTGATAGTTTTTTGCATGAATAGACCAAAATGATGGAAGAGAAAATAAAAACAGGTAAAGAATGAAAAGGCGATGTTAGGTCTACCTTATAAGTGACAAGTGACGTCATTATACTTCCAAGACTGAAAAAGCTATTTAATTTAATGAAATATACATCAGCTTAGATTCCAGGAAATTTTAAATTATTGCTTTGATCTGCAGATTTGAAGGACTAAGCTATATTAATGTTTAAGGTGCTGGTCTGAGACTAGAAGAGCCAAATGCAAATCTCCACTTGATCATGGAGCTCATTGGGTGGCTTAACTCAGTTCTTCATAGTATCACTGTAGTAGGATAAAGTTTCTCCATGTACAGCATATTGAGTCATCAGAGAAAAAGGGAATATACACATAATAATAACTACCTAAAAGATATATATTTGGCTACAGATTGGGTTTTCTGTGATATTTCCAATGGACACATAATATTATTGGATAGGGTCACACTAATGCCTCTTCAACAGCCAGCCCCTCCCTTCTCTTCTCTTCTTTCATGCCCTGAGATGCCCAGGCAAGTCTAATGTTGCCCTTTGTTTTTTCTTACATTGAGAAAAATGTTTCAACAGACAAAGCCTCCATCTAACCTCCAATTTCTGCCATTAGTGAAATTGTATTAGTAATCTCATGTTAAGGTCCTGCATAGAACCTTTTGTAAGCTGGGAATGGAACAGTTTACCATGCTGGAATGGAATCTGTTTTACAGCTCCTTCTCCTTGTTTCCTGCATCCATGTAAAAATGGGGCCACTTGTGAGGATTTTGGCAACAACTATGTCTGCATATGCTCTGCAGGTTACACAGGAAGACATTGCCAATCAGGTAACTTTAGAAAAGCATAATACACTCTTGAGAAGACAATTCCTTGTTGTAAAAGATAATAATTATCACCATGAGATTCATCTGTGCCAGGAAAGAGGGCAGTGCCTACATTTTTATTAAACAAAGCACCGGTTTTCTTTTTTGAATAGAAATACCAGTGTTCTAGAATATTCTACTTCACACATTTTTTTTTTATTTTTAGAAAAAAGTGTTTAAAACCTGGCAGCACAGCTAGGGTAAGGCATGCTGGAATTCACAGCCCAGAGCTTTGCAAATAATTTTCTTTTCCCTCAGAGACTAGGGAACTAAAGTTTGTATCCATACTGATTAGAAGTTGTGCCAAACTTGCATTTGTAACATTCTTTAAATAAGCATGCAAGTATGATTGCATTCTTCTGGATGCCAATAGCTGAAAGCCTGCCTGATGGCAAGCTACAATAAAATACCTTTTCTAAAATAACTCTGCACTCACGCATGAATGTGCCTTTATATTTACACCCAAAAGGCTCATCATTGCTGCAAGGCCTTTATTTATGCAAGTCAAAGATTATACTGGTATTCATTGCTTTTTATCTTTCTCCTACTCCCATTGTCTTTCTCTTCTCTGTCTCTCCATGTGTGTGTCACTCTCTCTCTTTATCTCTGTTTTTATTTTAGAGATTGACTGTGGTATCCCCACTGAAGTGAAGCATGCTCAGGTAGCATTTAATTCCACTAAGATGGGCTCCTTGGCAATATATCACTGTGCTCTTGGTTATATTCTGAGTTCCCAAAATAACCCTCGCCTATGTTTGGCACAAGGCATCTGGAGTGACCCACCAGAATGCAATGGTAATTTGATTCACTGTATATATGTGTGTACGTATGTATGTGATAGAGAAAAAAAAGTGAGCATTGTTTTTCTGTCAACTTCAAACAAGTATTTCTCTTTTGAGCCCTACTCTGTAACAATTAAACATATTAATCTTGAAAGAATGACTGAATGAAATCAATCCTCCTTTTGATTCCTATATATTCTTTAATTATGCTTTTAAAAAATATTTCATACTTAATTTATAATAGCTGGGAGAATGTAAACTAATTTCATTTATCAGTAGCACCAGGATGGACTCAAGTTTGCAGGTGTTTTGGAAGCTGGTATTTATTGATTTATTTCCATGTGTGACAATATATGAAATATGTATATGAAGTTTCCTTGCATTGAAAATTATTTTCTTGCCAATTCTCTACCTTAAGATAAAGGTAGGGAAATGAGACTTTTTAGTATAGAACTTTTCTTCTCAAGCATCTCCTCAATTTTGTACCTGCTTTGTGCTATTAAAAGAGAATATCCTAAATATAGGAGACATTGCCAGGACAAATAGTTATCCAGGACCAGGAACAGGCAATGTGGTGCTCTATACAGTTTTTGGGACTAGGTCTCCCAGCCTATTATTATGAGCCATGTAAGCCAGTTCTGATGAGAGTTAAAATGTGGAATGCTTGCAGAGCATCTGTTTGCCGTGGTCTATTCTGAGCAGTTTAGTTCAGACAAGATTCCTGCATTATGCCCAGCAAATATAGCACTTGCAAACTCAAGAAAAATATTGTGTGGATAATTCTTGACAGAAGAATAAGAAGTAAGATAATGCTGATATGGCTACAAGACGTAAAGATTGAATAGATAGGGTTTATTGTGAAGGAGAAGCAATTCCCTTCATCATCCCGTAAATATAATAGAAAACTCCTGTTATCTACTGTAATCAATGGCGCCTACAGATGACTGGTGTAATATCCTTAACTCCAAGAATCATTAAACTATTTAAAACAAAGTTTCTGGTTTGCTGCTGTATAAATCATAGCTTTATGCTTATAAAGATGCCTGTACCCTAGAAGCGATTTAGTCTAAGTTTCTGAAAGCCATACTTCATGTCCTTCATTGAAATGACCTTGTACAATTAGAGCTTGGCTGCATTTTTGGGGGGCTAGCCTGAGACTTTGCCATCTCAGATTTTGGCTGAAACACGTAGAAAAAAAGGGTGTTCCTGATTCATCACCTCCTACTAGATAGATTTTCCTCATCCCTGAAGAAATAAATTGACTCTGATGTAGCATATTGTGACTTTTCATTCCTGGCAGTATTGATGCTTGGGTCCAGATAAAGTCTTAATTGAATTTAAATAGAACTTTTGAGGTTTATAGACCTACAAAATGGTACAGTTACAATCATGCACCCTTATGGAATAATTGCAGGTTCTTCATGGACAATTCCTAGATACCTCTACAACATCTTACATGTTCCACATAGGGGATTTTTTTTAATCTTAGCTCAAATTGGCATACTACCAGATATACTAATATCCTGTACAATAACCATATGTGTATTTACTCTGATTTAAAATTTGAACCATGTATTGTTGCAATGCCAATTGTACCACCCATGATGTCTGGCATTCATAAACCTGATTTTCAAAAAAAACCTAAGTTATATGATCAAGAAATTACAATCTTCCTTCTGCAAGATTATAAAGGTTACAAGTTTCTAGCAATAGCTATCATTTGCAGAAGTCAGCATTTTTATTGTTTTTTATTTTTCTGTATGTTAAATATTGTATCCGTGTTTTAATGGAGTAAAGGGAGGAAAGAAGGAAGGAACTCATTAACTACATTTCCATAAGAAGTTTCTGCTCACATAATGACTATAATAACAACAATAACAATAATAATGAACAGTGATTCTTCCCTACAATAAAGCATTACGAATAAAATTCCAAAGGGAAGTAATCCTTCTTAAAGAAGGGATGAAGCATCCCTATTTTCTATGCTTCAAGTCTACCAAATCATCAGAAAAATCTTCCAGAATTTAGGAAGCTGTCTTTTAAAATGACATTATGTATACAGATATAAGGTCCATTTGTAACCATTTACAGTCACTTGTACTGAGTTGTAGCAGTTCTTCCTTATTTTGGATAGATCTCTTAGTTCCACTTAGGTTGTTAGGGTTTGAATCTATAACTTTTTGTATCAGATATGGCTTTTCCCAGTTATATGAAATGTGTTGGGGAGAAGAGAAGATATTGCAATTGTTTACTCCTTTTTGTCTATTTACCTACTTCTCTTAAAAACCATATTCCCTGTGTTCTGATGATTGGGAGGGAAGGTTATTTTTAAAATGCACAATTTTTGATGTTCAAGCTAATGATACTCAATATCAATACACTTATAATTTAAGAAACAAGAATGCAGCAGTCTCTTTCCAGATGCTTTCTAGACATCAGGTTTTCCATTGCAGATAGGTGATGGGTGCTTCTTTTACCTTCTTTTGCAGAAATCGATGAGTGCAGATCTCAACCCTGTCTGAATGGGGGGTTGTGCAAAGATCAAATTGCCCATTACCTTTGCTTGTGTAAAGCTGGCTATACAGGAAACAACTGTGAGTTGGGTAAGAGAATATATAAATATCTTTGCTAGGAAATTGTTTAATGTCATTGTTTATTAATGCAATACATTGCTAATTGGATCACAACTCTGTTAATACTTTGGATCCTTTGATCTCAAAAACAGGGCTACATCACATGGGGTGCCAAGGTCAGAATGACCCCTATGAGATGACAAAGAGATTCAGAAAACTCCAACACTTTCTTACCATCTAGTGCACTTCCAATTTTAGCAGCCCATATATGATAGCCATACCTGAAAGCTTTCCTAAAACGTTATATTGTAAGAACTTGACAAAAAGCTATGAAAGAATGGGCAAGATTCTTTCTGGGCAAACCACCCAGAGCCATCTGGTAGCCGCCCAGACTCATTGGACTAAGTTGGATGCCTATATAAATTGAATAAATGAGTAAATAAATACACAAATAAACAAACAAACAAACAAACAAATAAATATAAAAAATTGCATAAAAGTTCTTAGGAAATTTTTGTTAGTTTGTCTATCAGATCTTACTGCAATCAAAGGGCTCCTGGCATCTTCCAAGCAAAACGCTAATCAAAACATCTACAGTACAATTCAAAGTAAATATTTTAAAAATTTACATTTAAAATCATATCCTAATAAATCATCCACAACAATCACAATAACAAAAACAAAAAATGAATAGAATGTGGTTCCATGACATACTAAACTGAAACACTCTTCAAAAAGCTCAAACTTTCATCTTTGCCTAAAAGTCATCAGGAAAGGAGCCAGTCTAATCTTTTATAGGAGACCATTCCAAAACAACTGAAAAGCAGCATTTCTTGGCTTTAGTTCCTTGTCAACACCAGCACTTTTAAAGTATACTTAGAAACCAACCAACAACTGGTACAGGAGCTGACAGTATTGGAGTTATGTGTTCTCAACATTGGGTACAAGTCAAAACACAGGCCTCTACATTCTGGCTCAACTGCAGTTTCTGAGTGTTTTTTAAAGGAAGCTTTATATAGAATGCATTGCAGCAGCATGAGGGTATGCATTGCTGTAGTCAAGTCTTCCTGCACTAGGTAAGGCTGCATTGATTGCACCAGCTGAAGGTGGACAATGGCCCTTCTAGCACAATTTCCATTTGCTTTTGAAGCAGAGCTGTGAGTCCAGAAGGACTGTAAAATTGTAAACTTGTTTTGGAACCTAGAAGTCCCTTGGATGTAGTAGATATATTTGTTTGGAACTGCACTGTATTTTAAGTCATTATCTATCAAATGAATCAAACTACAGTTCCCAGAATTCCAAGCCACTATGAGTAATTGAACATATCTAGAGTATACTAACTTGAATAAAGCTAACATAAGTGAGAAATGTTGGCAAATTGTGTGAAACAGCTATATTTGGGGAGGGGATGCAGTGATGACAGCAAAGTATAATACTCTAATCATTTTTCATTGAGTTATTTATTTCACACAACTGTCTGTGCCTACATATGCAACTTTTCTTCTTCCTTGCTTGCTAATGTTCTATGGAGAGGAAATATGATTATCTAGAAAAGCATTCCATCATGTAATTAAATACTTAGCCCATGTTTCCTTTCCTAACAGACCTAAGGTGGCAATGTTTTATTTGCATGTATTTTAGGAAGGACATTTTGAACGCACTTTAGGACAGGAAGAACTAAGCGTTTGAGCACATCAGGTTTGGAATATTATCACCTATAGTATATTGTGAGCCATGGTGGTGCAGAGGTTAAGAATGCAGTATTGCAGGCTAATTCTGCTGATTGCTGACTGCCAACAGTTTGGTAGGTTGAGTCTGACCAGCTCAAGGTTGACTCAGCCTTCCATCGTTCCGAGGTTGGTAAAATGAAGACCTAGATTGTTTGGGGACAATATGCTGACTCTGTGAAGCACTTAGAGCAGGCTGTAAAGCACTGTGAAGCGGTATATAAGTCTAAGTGCTATTGCTATTGTGTGATTTAGCTGTAAACTACTGCAATTCCTTTCAGATTTGGATTCTTTTAAGATCTCTTGCCTAAAGGCTAGAAAGGGGCAAGGTCCTATTACTTCTCCATAGTGAGCTCTTCATATGTTCTGGAGAAGAGTTCTTCCTATAAAGAGTCCTAAGTAAATAAGGAAAACAAAAACATCACATCCCGAAATGTCCACAACAGATCAGATTAAAATGGAAAATTAAAGTGAATTCCATTTAAGTGCAATTTCACCAATCATTATGCACCTGACCTCCAGATGTTGGGGGATAATCTTAACAACTAAATTTGTGGTGTGTGAAATATCCTGGTCTCAAAATAAGATTTTTATCAGCTGGATCACAGTTGAATAGTTGTTCTTTTCGTTCTCTGCTTGGGAGAACAGCAGAACTTTTCAGATATGAAACTTCTGTTTGACAGAGATAAAGGCAAAACCCAAGCCATTAGTGCAATTCTTCTAAGAAGAATGAGAGGAATTAGTGCTGGGAGCGCTGCAAATAATTTATTCAGGAATGGAGTGATGCAAGCTTGAAATAATGCCATTGTTTACAAGGGGAGGGTTTCACAAAAAATGAAAGTAGCAAAATATTAACCAAACAAATAGAAAGTTATGTTATAAAATGATGGCCAACACATTCCACAGTACTTTTTCAAATTACAAAATAATCCCAGGACATTCCTTAACTATTGGATGTATTGAATTACATTTATATCTATTTCTTCATCGGGCTCAGTTAGCAAACTAAATAAATAAAAATAAAATCTGCCTCTTGTTCAATCAGTTCTCTCCTTATAGAATTATGACTATTGTCTTTTACCTACTGTGAGCAAGGACATCTGCTTTTGCTTGAGTCATATAAAAGCAACAACATAAAAATAGCTGCTTCCTTTGTTGTATCTGTTTATTCCTGGATAAGGTTGTCCTGTTCTTCTGTTGCTGCTGTCCCTTTTTAACATGTCATCAGACAGTGAGGAAAACAATGATGGTGCACTGAAGCACTGTGCATTGAGTGGCAATTCAGACTTGGCTCCTCTAGTATGATTTGTTTGCTTTCTATCCCATGCCCTGCAAGAGTACCACTTTTTTTCTGGGATACATGTCTGTCTACAAGTCAGTCTTGACTACTGATCACTGCCTGGGCTACACTCTGTGGTTTTCTTTGCAGATTTTCAGAAATAGTTTGCTATTGGATGCTTTCTGAGAGAGAGGGACTGGCCCAAAGTCATCCAGCTGGTTTTGTGTCTATGTGCCCCAGTGTACTCTGCAGCAGCCACCACCTGTACATGTTCATGCCACATAGTTCCATCCACCTGGGTACCCTACCACATTCCTCTGCAGCCATGCTCCTGCTTGGCTATGCTCACATCATGTCATGGTAGCCACCTGCATGCTCTCCCACACTCTGCAGCAGCCACCCTTGCCTAGCCACACTTGTGGTGCACTGCAGCAGCCATATCGTCACGGGGCTGCATTCTGTAACATTCAGCCACACACTGGCCTGCTTGCAAGCTGCCCAAAATTTGCCACTTTGTGCCAGCTTCCACGTTGACTTTGTTTGTTGGAAACCAGCAGGAAGCCCTTACTTAACAATCTACAGTCCTCTCTTAATAATGGCAATAGGGACTGCCAGGATTGCCATTGTTAAGCCATGTGGTCACATAATGTGCTTTACAACCACATTGCTTAGTGACAGAAATTCCAATCCCAATTATCTTAGTTAAGTGAGGCTACTTGTGTTCTGTTTCAAGGTTTGACATAGTATTCAAAGCTGTCAAATTTCAGGTTAGGTTCATGGCTTTTAACAACCTGTAATCATAAAAAATATGGCTATTGTATCTTATGGTACAGATACACTGCAGGATATTCTTAAAGTAAATTAGCAGTAACATCTCCCTTTTTTCTGGAGTGAAATTGTAAAGATCTGGTCCTCTCTCCTCTGCTTTTTGAGAGAAATTAGTGTCAAACGTAGTGTCAAAAGTGAGAGATTTGAAATGAAGTCAAGAAGCACAGTGCTTAAGAGAAGAGCAAATGCTAGGAGAAAAATGTCTGTAGGAAGTCTGGCTAGTTACCAGAAGGAGAGGATCTACTTGCATCTCCCAACACTCTAAAAACAACCTCTGATCACACACTGGACATTGGAAGGGGAAAGTAATACTTGTATACTGATACAGTTTATAACAACCTAAGGCTGTCTCATTCATTGACTGGGAATATGAGAAAAACAACATTTTGATGCAAAGTGGGGGATTGATATTGTCAAGGCATAGTTGTACTATAGCTATAGGCACATGACATATGAGTCAGTCATTCTTCCAGTCATAAATGACACCCTGTGGTGTTGTTTTTTGGAATTCCTCCTAGGAATTCTGTTGCTACTGCAAAATTACAATTAAGTATGACTGTACTGACACTTCTTGGCATATAATTCTAAGAAATGTATATTATCCTAAAGCATATCCTCATCTACACCAAAGTGAGGTATCTGCCAGAGCCACTTCCAAATATTTTCTGTCTCTCGTGGGCTTTTTGCCCTTTATTGTCCTGGCAAGGATTTTGCATATCTCTGTCAAGGCCACCTCCCTTACTCACTGTAGTGTAGTATTAATTATAATGCATCATTATGTTGCATATGTTGATCTTCATATTGTCTTGCTGTCCCTTTACTTGCACAAATAATTGTTTAATCTCATTAAATTTTGCACTATGTAGTTCTTGGTGACAATTCATTGCAATTCTTAAACTTTGAGGAGCTGCTGTGGCTATCAAGTATGAAAGTTATTTTGTAACTTTGCAAAAGTAAAACAGTAAGGTTTAATTGAAATGGTAGATAAGACAATTCACTTTAAACTTCATGAAAAATTATCCCATGGATGTTCAGTGGTGCTGGTTTTCTAGCACATCATTATTGTTGGGTTGAATAATCAATTAATTTTTAATTTTTCTTTTACACCTGCAGAAATTAATGAATGTCAATCTAGTCCATGCAAAAATGGTGGAGTCTGCAAAGACCAGCCAGGATCATTTATCTGTCATTGTACTGAAGGCTTCATTGGAACGCATTGTGAAATGGGTAAATAATGAATGAGTGAAAATGAAGTCTAAGAAAGTTCTTTAGAACTTCCAATATCACTTGTTACTATCAATGGAAGATAAGCATCGTTGTATTGTTTGATCTGTCTCATAAATACACTTTATTCAGTATAAATGTTAATTTAACTTACAGGAAAAATCATAGCTATTTAAAGAAGTTATTCCTTTTGACATTGGAAGGCCGGGTGTTTTTTCTATAATTAGTTTTTTCTATAATTAACCTTGTAGCTGATCTGTGCACAGCAGTATAAATTAGAACATATCACTGCTCTAATTCTTTAAAAATGCTGTTTAAAAATTTACAGATTTTATACATTCTGATAGATATTTTAGATGGCGTGAAGTAGTCACATAATCATCTCACTGATGATTATGATAATCTGCAGTGATTAGGCTATGTTGAGCCAGCTGTGATGTATTTCTATTACTTTTATATGTTTTTGTACATTTCCACTGTCATGATGCTATTCATTATAGACAGATTGTCATTTCAGATAATCACCCAAATGATATATTTCTTAATGAAATAGAAAACCTCGGAAAAGTTTGCTAAAAAAACAAATCTGAAATTGCAGTCACCTGGGCCCTTTAAGTATTTTACCCTTAATGTTTTCTTGAATAGATATAATGTTGTCATTATCTGACATAATTTCCCTCCACCAATTTCATGCTTATTAAAGAGAAAGTATACAGTGTATTCTCATTAATCTACACTTTTTAATAAATTTACAGATATTTCTAAAATTCTATTTTCACTTTGTTATTATGGGGTACTGAGTGTAGATTAATGAGAGAAAAAAAGAATTTCAACAAGTGTAGAATCAGGGTACAGCATAAAAAAATTGACAAAAGTGAAGAGGTCTGAATATTTTCTGAATGCACTGTATATTATCTGGATCCAGCCAAGGTGTGTTATTCACTGCATTACAGCAGGCATCTTTATAAAGGGCTATCCACCAGAAGCAGAGTCATCTTCTTAATTCCATGTGACACCTTCCTACAGATATCTGAGTGAGTGTATTTATGTTCCCCAGAAGTGGATGCCTGTAAATCAAATCCATGTCAGAATCGAGGAAGTTGTGAAAATCACAGTGGTTCTTATCTATGTGTCTGTCCAGAAGGCTTCTTTGGCTATCACTGTGAGTCAGGTAAGGTAACATGAATGCAAGGGCATTTAGTAAACTCAAAGGTGCTTATTTTCCAAGACAGTAAAAGGAATAGATAAATACTTTTTAATGAACTTCGGTCTTCCCTTACAAACATTTTCACTTTCATCTGTATAAACTGTGTTCCTCAATGAATTGTTTTGTTCTTCTGTCCTAGTTAGTGATCCCTGTTTCTTCAATCCATGTGGAAATAGAGGCTACTGTCTACAAACTAATGAATCTCACATCTGCACCTGCAAAGTGGGCTATACTGGCAGGAATTGTGAGAAAGGTAATCAAACTCATGCTCATCCTAGAAAATAGTAATTGTATGGATTGAATACATTTTCCTCCTCATTTTTTTCTTCATTTGGGAAGAAAAATTGACATCCATGTCAACAATTTAAATTGCTGGATGGAGTTTCATTAGGAAAGTGTCACTGGTTTTAGTATAGATACTGTAATTGCAAAAAACATCTTCTCATGATATTTTGTTGATTCTTCTGAGATAGCTAAATTCTATTATTTTATTTTTGTTTCCCAGTTTTCCTTCCAGGTATATTGTAATGTTGGCCAAGGAAATACGGGAAGGAAAACCTTTTCATTAAAAGGGCACAGTGTTAAAAAAAGTCAAGATGATCACCACAGCACAAAGATCCATCTCTTTATATATACATGTTATACTGATGGGCATATATATTGACTGGGACTTTGATTGCATTGCTACAACTGTTGTTGTGACGATTTACACAGAGAGAGAGGGAGAGAGAGAAGTGGGGAGAGAGAGAAGAGGCTCCTAGTATGGCAGTAATTTGAAACAGTCTGTCATGAATTGTAACAAATGGCTATTCTCAAACTAGGGTGCCTCCAATATGGCTACATATTCTGGAAGTTGTCTGAAAGAAATTAGGCAGTGGGAAGCCAAACTAACTCATTTAAATGAGTTATATATTTTCTTCCTTCTTTTTGTTGGCACTGATACGATGAAGAGCTGCTGCCACCAATGTCATTAAAGGTGGAAAAAGTGGAGGAGAATGGGTTGTCAATCTCTTGGCGCCCGCCCAAGGACCTGACTGCCAAACATATGATTGATGGCTACGCCGTGACGTACGTATCCTTCGACGGCTCTTACCGCTGGACTGATTATGTGGACCGAAGTCGTGCTGCCCACCATTTGCGGGCACTAGCCTCCGGCAAAGCCTACAATATTTCTGTCTTTTCAGTCAAACGCAAATCGAATAACAAGAATGATATCAGCAGGCCCATCATGCTCGTCACTCGTACTAGTGAGTAGCTCCTTTAGAGGAATAGAGTTGTGGGTACAGAAATGCCTGGCTGCAGTAGCTAGAATGCCATGCAAGTGTGCTCAAGGATCCTCAAGGCATTTTGCAAGATCCTTAACATATGTAACAGCCTTCCAGAACCTGGCTATTCTCCCTTAGAGTTCCACAATCTACAACTAGCATGGACAAAGGGCATTTGATTGGGGAAAGCTGTACAATAAGAATAGTGGGACACCATTCTTTAATTCATAGTAGAAATTTCCTCTATACCAAACTAGCATCATCACATTTAGACATGCTGCTTATCACAAGAATATCAATCTATAACTAGAGGGAAATGAATCGTAGCATAGGAATGAAAGGAAAAATGCTGCATTAATTTTGTCATCTTCTCCAAATATATTACCTTATAATCACAATCTGTAAAAGTCAAAGTTGCAACAAATAATTTGCAATGGCAGTTACAAAACTATAATCAGGCATTACCATGCTCATTGTAAATATTTTTTATATATGATGTAATCTTAGGTTGAATTAGTTCAGATTAATTGCATTTTCAGACAGTGCTTAAAACGCTTCCAACAAAGATTCAACTTGCTACTGCATGCTAGCTAGCTTGTAATATTTTGATTTCTTTAATTGTAATAAACAAAAAAAAATTAAAAGAACCTGAATTATTATGCTTGATAATTTATTAGTATCCTTTGGATATAGAAAGTGAATTAATTTTGATTATTACTCTTAAAGATATAGAATGTGTAGACAAATTATTTACAAGTTTATATGTGCTTTACTGTTTCCTACTTGTCTTTGATTTGGGATTTTTTTTTCCAAAGAAGAGTCCTAAAATAAATAACACTGAGAGTATTTAATAATCCAGGTGTATTAAAGAGTAGAATTCCATAGAATGGCAGAGAATAAAATGGTTTAAAGTATTTTAATTGGGTAGAAACAATTGATTTGAGCAAAATGACCTCTAGCCTATTAAATGACCTATTAATCTGCAATTCTTCCCTTCTTTTGTCCTGGTTTTTAGCAATTCAGTACATTAGGATAAATTAAGTGCAATTGAAAGACACCATATCATACCTTATTAAAAAAAAAAAAAAGCATGTGAAGCCATAGACAATGAAATATCCTAGGCCAGTGGTGGTGAACCTTTTAGAGACCGAGTGCCCAAACTGCAACCCAAAACCCACTTATGTATCGTCGGGTGCCGGGTGGGCGTGGCCCATTGGCTGGGTGTGGCCAAGGGTGAATGTGGCCCATTGGATGGGCGTGGCTGTGGTGGTAATGGCAGACTCGGTTGGACTAAAAAGTCCAGTCAATCAATTCCAACTTTGCAAGATCATTTTTTTCCCCGAGAAGTTGAAATTGATTGATTGAACCTTTCTTTTTTTTTGCACACGGCAGCGGAGGCTTAAAGTGAAAAGGTTTTATAAAACCCAGCTGAAGGCCTAGAACTAGGGCGATGGTGCGCGTGCCCACAGAGAGGGCTCTGCGTGCCACCTGTGGCACGCATGCCCTTGGTTTGCCACCACGGTCCTAGGCAATGCTGCTAAACTTGGGGTTCTTTTTTTAGTCTAGGAAAACAAGAGGAAAGTATTTCTTCCTCAAGTATATGAACTACAGTTCCTGAAAAGAATTGCTCAGAAGGAGGAGCCATAATATTTCTTATTATTATACAATGGTATCATTACTAATGTTCACAATTAAAGAAGACTTTTGCTTTTATTTCTTCTAAGAATTGGGCACTGCATCTGATACTTAATAAATTCCCACAGGACCATGCATACGGTATATTCCTTAAACCGTTGAAGGAACTGGGAGCTTAAGAGAAGACAAATGTCTTTCTGCAGTATTAAAAATCTCTAAAAATCTCCAATAGTTCTGTTGGAATTGTATTGAGCTCTAATGATACTTCATGTGAACAAAATTTATTTGCATTGTTCTCATACTAACTTACTAGCATGTATTGATCTCACTAACTTGTATCGATCTTCTACTTAAAACATTTTAAAGGGAAAGGCTTTTTCAAGTTTTATGTGCGCTGCTTTATAGCCATAATGATACAGATATTTTTCTTATTTATTTTATGGCTGTTGCTATTTCAAAAAGCAGAATAAGAACCAGTTGGATTACTAGAGTTGCTATGCCAATGAAATATTTGGGGGACTTATTGTTTATGAGTGATGCAGCTAAAAGTTTGAATATTTTTCTATGGGATTATGCTATAATATGAATGCATAAGACTTATAAAAGTCACATGGCTTTAGTACATTTGTTCCAGGGACTTCCCTACTAATATGAATTACATAGCACTAAATTAGCTCTGAAGAAAGTTGCTGAATAGATGGTGCTATTGTTCATGGACTTACATTTTCTATGCTCTTATGTTCATGAACGACTGGTGAGAGTATCTGTCCCATTGGTCCTCTCCAGAAGTTTGGAAATTATAATTCTCAGAAAGTCAGGAATACTAGCCCGAATGTAAAGTATCAGGTTGGAAGCAGCAGAACTAGAGCTTGCTATGTAAAAGGAATAATTGTGTGTATTCCTGAAGTATCTTTATTAATCACATTTATGTAGCCTCCCATCTCATGAAAAGTAACTCTGGGTAGTGTACAATAATTAAATAAAAACAATACCATTAGTCCATGACTTACAATCACAATTGAGCCCAAAATTTCCATTGCTAAGCAAGACAGTTGTTCAATTAGTTTTGTCCCATTTTATGACCTTTCTTGCCAGTTATTAAGTGAATCACTGCAATTGTTAAGTTACTAAGATGATTGTTAAGTGAATCTGGCTTCTAATTTTTGATCATGTGACCATGGGGATGCTGCAACAGTCATGTCACTTTTTTCAGTGCCATTGTAACTTCAGATGGTCACAAAACAAATGGTTGTAACTTGCAGATTATCTGTACATATATAAAAGCATTTTAAAATATTTAAAAATCAACATTTAAAAATTAGAATTTAATTTAAAAAAAATTAAAATATATAAATCCCAGGCAGAGAAGGATATCTTGCTGCTAGTCTCAAATACAAGCCACAAACAGACTTTCCTGGATACTGGTGTAAATTGCAGCTTCATCCTTTCTATGCCATTCACTTTATTTTTTTATGGGATGTTTCAGTGCTTTACTCTTTCCCCACTCTTTTTTTTTTTTTATTGAAAATTTTTAAATTTTTACAAAAACAAATCCCCTTCCCGTACCCCCCCCAACCCTACCTCACCCCCCTCCTCCCCAACCTCCCAAGCCCTCCCCTGAACTTCCCAGAGCTAAGTACAGGCTTAATTAAGAAAAAAACTTAAAACACTTTTAAAACCTAAACAAATTTAAATACAATCATCATTCTATATAAACTCCCTCCAAAAACGCAAATTTAAACATTACTTTCTTTGAATATCTATGCCTATAATATAAAATCTAATTTCTCCCTCTTTCTTTATCCTAATACAAAAAAATAAACATATAAACCTTTGTTATACCATTAAAACTAAATACTCTTAGAAAACTTAAAATAAATACATATTTCCTTCAATCTTCATAATCTTCTCACCTATCCAAAAAAAAAAAACTTAAAAATCCTAAACAAATCTAAGCAAATTATTTTCTCTTAAAAATATTAATAATAATATTTAAAAACTTGAAACACTTTTAAATCCTAAACAAGTCTAAATACAATCATCATTCTATATAGACTTCCTCCAAAAACACAGATTTAAACATTACTTTCTTTCCTAAACAAATCTAGACATTTAATTAAACAAATTATTTTCTCTTAGAAATATTAATAATAATATTTAAAAACCAAATTTAAGCATTACTTGAAACTTAAACAAGTTATACTCCCTTCGAAACACAAATTTATTAGAATCCCCTCACTGAAATAAACAAATTATAATCCCTTCAAAACACAAGTTTAAACAATATTATCATTAAAGGTTTAAAACTTAAAGCTGAAATATATTATTATCCCAAAACACATGTTTAGACATTACATAAGACATTTTCCAAAAACGATATAAGTTTTACTTCTCCGACAATCTCAATAGTAAACTTCTTGTCTAAAGTTCTCATTCAATGTCCATAATTTTCTGTCCAATAACCAGTTGCATCCACTATAAACACAAACTTCTTATCTAAAATTTTCATTCAATATCCATAATCTTCTGTCTGATAGCCAGTTGCATCTACTATAAGCACAATCCATATCAGTCTCTCTTGCCCGCAAGCATCGAAAAGAATGCGTGGAATTCTGCCCTTGAAGATCGCTCCAAAGAGTTTGTAAGTCCTGGTTGACCCCCAAGCTCAGGAATCAGTACCTGTGAAACTTCCTCAACCTCCTTCTTCTGTTGGTCTTTCTCTTTACATTTATATGTTACTTTTTCTTTACATTTATATGTTGCACCAGTCTCAAGGACCGATACCTGTAAAACTTCCTCAGTGAATTCCTCCTTGTGTTGATCTTCACAATTATAAGTTGTACAAGTTATCCTCTGCCCGTTCCTCTCTTGTCGGTGCCCCTCAAGCTGAAATTTCCCAATTTCCATTTCTGAAGATTGCTCCAAAGACTTTGTAGGTCTAACTTCCGAAGCCAATACAGGTAAGGATTCCTTAAATTCCTCCTTGTGTTGATCTTTACAATTGTAAGTTATACAAGTTATCCTCTGCCCGTTCCTCTCTTGTTGATACCCCTCAAACTGAGATTTCCCAATTTCCATTTCAGGCAGCAATTCCACCCTTGAAGATTGCTCCAAAGACTTTGTAGGTCCAACATCTCCCAGAGATTCAGAGACCACTGAATATGAAACTTCCTTAACCTTCTTCTGTTGCTGCTTTTCTTTGGAATTATGTGCTACACAAGTTGTCTTCTGCTCCTCAATCTGGACTTGTTGAGACCTAATAGATGGCGATGCACATACCCCCAGGACCGAAGTATAAAAATCTTTTGCTTGAGAAACAGTATTAAGTCTATGACATGTCCCCAGGTAGTTCACCACCATTCCAGTCGGAACATCCCATCTGAATAGAATTTTTCTCTTTTTAAGTTCATTTGCTAGAAAAGCAAACTCCTTTCTTCTTCTTAAAATTTTAGATGGGATCTCCTTAAAAATTATGACATCTTGTGAAGCAATTTGAAATCTCTTCTTATAATAGGCTTGCACAATTTCATTGCGTAAAGATCTTTTACCAAAGTAAATTACCACATCTCTTGGCAGATTCTTCTGTGCTGCCACCACAGAGTTAACCCTAAATAATTTTTCAATTTCACTAAGTATTCCCTCTTTTTCTTTATTCAAAATCAATGCAAAGTCCTTTGCAACCATCTCTTTCAAATCTCCTTGCAAAGACTCTTCCAGGCCTCTGATTCTTAAGGCATATTCCATTTGTCCATATTGAAGCATAAGAATCTCATTTTCCATTTCTTTTTCCATACTTTCAATTTTCCCCTCCATTATGTCCACTTTTTCAGCTACCTCTTCCACATGGGAGTTCACCTTTTCAAGAACAGAAGCAACTCCTTCTAAAGCCAAAACAAAATCTTGTCTCAAGATCTTATTATTTTCCTCTAAAATCTTTTTCATTTCTGCCCTAATTTGAATTATAACATCTCCCATCATGTTTTGCAAATCCTTCATAGTTATTAGCTGACCCCCAGAAGAGGGTGAAACTGTTGATTTAGAAGCTGTAGAAATCCCTGGACGCTTTGGAGCCATCTTAAAGAAAAACCTTTAGCCCTTCTTAAAAAATTATAAAAATTCCTTCAAAAATCATAACTCCCTCCAAAGAAGGTCATTATAATAAAAAGAAAAAAGGGGAAAAAAAAGGAAGAGAAAAAGAATTAAAAAAAAGCTTTACTCCTTCTTAAAAATTGCAAGAAATTAAACAGAAAAAAGTCCTTCAAAAAAGGGTCATTACCATAAAAAGAAGGGAGAAGGAAAAAAAAAAATTAATTAAATAGAAAAAGTCCGTTCCAAAAAAAATACTTAGAGATACCAAAAACAACCATTCCAATCATAAGAAAATAAAAAGGGAAAGAGAAAGGAAAGAAAGAGAAACACCAAAAAGCCTGCCGGTCAGCATTCTAACTTCAGAAAAAAAAACACCGAGAGATTTGCCGATCGCCATTTTACTTTCCCTTTCAACAAAGAAAAAAAAATAAAAAGAGAGAATAAAAATAGAAGCAAGTCTTAAAACTTAAAATCCAAATAAATCAAAGAAAGGAAAAACTAAATCCTCTACTCAGCTCTGTCCGTTTATAAAAAAACTCACCAGTTCTCTTTAAGCACGGAGGTGTTTGCAGCGGCTCGTTTTGTCCCTGAGGACAAAAACAGCTGGGAAGCGGAGACAAGTCTGAACTCCGTGGGAGCACTCCTTTCACCCCCCCCCCAAAAAAACTTGGGGGGTGCAAAAGAGGCTCTACCACTATTCAGACACTCTCTACCCCCCCCCTTTGCCCGGGAGGGGGATTTTGAACCGCTGAACAGCTGGTGTCTGCTGTTCATAGCGGTTCTTACACTTACCCAGGAGAGACGGCTACAAAGTAGCCGCCATCGCGCGCGCAAAATCCCCCCACTCTTTTTTAACATCTATATGAAGGTGCTGTGTCAGATCATCTGTTGACACGGGGAATGGTATCAATATGCTAATGATACTTAAATGTACATCTCTACTTTGACTTTACCAGGTGATGCACTCAGTTCTTTTCCATTGCCTGGAAGTTCTGAGAGTTTCAATAGAGGAGATATAAATGAAACAAATAGTTACTTGATAACTGAGCATGTCACAACTCTTGAGGGAGTCCTTTACTATAGAATAAAATGCTTTCTCTCCAGTACAGATGCAAGATGCCATGTCGTTTACTCCCAAAGGGGGGGATGCATTTTGTTGCAGAAATCCTGTCAAAATCCCAGAGCAACATTTGTCTTAGTAGAAAATAAGAAAAAGGTTTCTGATAGGACTGCTTCTTGAGGAAGATCAAGAGGGTGTGTTGTCAATTGCAGTGAGTTGTAACAATCTCTTGTACTTCCCTTCTGTCATCTTAACAGGACCTCACCCAGTAGAAGGATTTGAAATAGCCAATGTGACTTCCACAAGCATTACTGTGCAATGGGCTCTTCACAAACTCAAACATGCCACAGTCAGCAAGGTGCGCCTGTCCATATGGCAGCCAGAGGATGTAGAGGATCATGCTGTAGAATTAAACAATACTGTGACCAAATACACATTTTGGTGAGCAAGCAGTAAAAGATATATTGGGGTGGAAGAATGGAGGTAGTGGTGAATAAATAAAAGTAGTCCAGAGAGGTTTTTTGTAACATGGCTAAATAGCTGGCTTGATAGAGCAAAGATTAGGCCTGGGTAAACAATTTAATGAGAAAAACACTCATATAGATCCACTCCTCAAAGCTCCAGAAGAGTGATTGGAAAATTGGCATAGCTGTTTCAAAGGTCTCCTAAGCTTTTGGGGGCACTATCAGATTATTTACATAGGCCTAGCTGAGATTAGAGATTAAACAGTTGTATTTCTTGCTTAGATATTTTTTTTTGAAGCTTAGGAACCTCAGTGTACAAATGCTTTATCAAGAAATTAGCTCTAAAATTAGTTGTTCAGTCCATCATAAAGATGGGGAAAGGAAGAGAAATCAAGAAGACCAAGTGGCAAAAAGAAAAGGTAAGTTTATGCTTTCTGAACCCACCTTTATTTACTTCCATTAAATATAAAAACTTCTCAAATTAGAAGGACAATTGAAGCACATATGTGGCAGAAAATTGAAGCTGGCAATGATTCAAGTATTTATCTTATATTGAACAGCTGTGTGCGCATACATCTGACTGGGTTGTTTAACTAAGTTTCTGATTCCTCAGTAAGGAATAGTATGTTTTTTTCTCCCAAAATCCTAACCCTCTGATTAAGATTTATTCATCGTATTTAATCTTCCATAAGGGACCTACAACCAGGACAGAAGTATCTTATCCACATGTGGACCTTGAGTGGCCTTAGTAGTGAAGATCATCCCACAGAGAGCTTTCCTACATCTCCTTTTTACGTCTGGACCCGTGAGTTTTATTGAACATTTTCTGCTTACTTTTTGCTTTGCCATTTTGTAATTTATAATTAATAAATTATAATTATTATAATTTGTAATTAAAACAACAGAGAAAAACAGTGGTATAACTGTTTGTAGTCCCCTTGCTGATGCCATGGGAGAGCATCTGACCAAACTTTCCACTAATTCTGATTTGAATTATCATTTATTTATAAAAAAGGAAAGAGAGTTTTTTTTTCAATTCTAGTACATTTCTTTTCACATATAAAATGACTGAACAAACTGAAAGAGTGAATGACTTACCTTGCATGTCAATGTATACAGCTGGAATGAACCCTTACTATTCAGCGTACATGATTTTCTGCTTAATATTACATTATATCATTAGATTAGCTGATACAGAAGGATGGTTCAAATATTACTTAATAATTCCATATGTAATGAATTTAAAATCCATCTCTAGTTTAAACTACTTTGAACATTGTTCCTCCTCTATACTTCTTGTTATGAAAATTAGCAATCAAATAAATGCAATACTTTCATAGTATACATGGGACGCCTTCTTTTCTATGAATGGAATATAATTGGGGGAGGAGAGAGGATACAAATATACAAGAGGACACAAAGGTAATACAATCACAGGAGCCAGATAATTAGTGAAGTCCAAGAAGCTGCTTGCTCATTTATGAAAGCAGAGAAGTGAACCTAGTACTAATTTTGAGAGTTCCCCCATTTTCATAACTATTTATTTGATAGGCAGCTGAAAAGAATTCCAATCAAATTTCCTTCTTCTCTCTAAACAGGACCTCTTTCTCCTAGAAACCTCACTGCATCCAGAGTTGCAGCCACCTCTGTCCAGATGACTTGGGAACAACCCCTTGTGGGCTCAGTGGAAGGCTACATCATCAATGTCAGTACCAGCCAGAGTGTAAAGAGCCGCTATGTCCCCAATGGAAAATTGTTTTCCTATACAGTGCGTGACCTGAACCCAGGTCAAAGGTATCGCTTATCTGTGATGGCTGTTCAAAATACCGATCAAGGACAAGTGATGAGTGAGCCTGCCCATCTTTATATTACAGCCTGTAAGTATAGATCACACATTTTTCTTCATACTGCTATTGTTGTATGCAGAGGCAGCAGTAGCTTGTATCTGTCTATATCAGTGATGGCGAACCTTTTAGAGACTGAGTGCCCAAACTGCAACCCAAGACCCACTTATACATCGTCAAGTGCCAGGGGGTGTGGCCAATTGGGTGGGCATGGCCCATTGGGTGGGCGTGGCTACAGTAGTAATGGCAGACTGGGTGGGACTACAAAGTTCAATCAATCAATTCCAACTTTGCAAGATCTCTTTTTTTCCCGTGAGAAGTTGAAATTGACTGATTGAACCTTTTTTTTTTTTTTTGCACATGGCGGAGGAGGCCTAAAGCGAAAAGGTTTTATAAAACCCAGCTGAAGGCCTAGGACTGGCGCGTGTGCCCACAGAGAGGGCTCTGAGTGCCACCTCTGGCACTCGTGCCATAGGTTCGCCACCACTGGTCTATATCCTTCATGCATTCAATGATCAGCTACGTCTATTCTCTATGATCAAAGCAAGATGATTTTTTTTTAGCAAAACCTAAGAATCAATGTTTGCATCCTCTTTCCTTTGCTGTGCAAATGAAAGGCTTAGATAGCTTGCTTATCCTTTTGATTTAAAGCAAAATCATGCTGATACCAAGGAAGCAAAAATAGTTGTTGGAAATCAATTTTTGAGTATCTTTTTATAAAAAATAAATAAATAATTGGGAGGGAAATGGAATAAATCTGGCTGTGACTGCATCCCCAAGGAAAGTTAACCTATCTGTCCAAGATTATTTTTATGATGACGAATGTCACCCTTGCTGAATCTGTTCTATTCTGGGAAGATTTTTATTGGGTAAAATGGCCTAAAAGGAAAGGCTTAACTCTACCATCTGCACAACATCATAGTTACAATTAACATTCACCAGCATACTTTGAATTTTTTTTTTCCAAGACTGTGGCATACCCTGCTGAAAAGGAGACAGGCCCGGAGTTTTTTACCCAATTTTTGCATTGCATTCATCCAGTTCTGTTACCGTGTCTTGTATTTAGTGCAGAAAGATGGCACCTCTGAAAGACGCTGGAGCCAAACTGTGCATCCGCGGGTGCTGAGAAACAGAGTGCCCCCAGCCTTAATACCAGAATTGCATGTGCTTGCTGAGCACTCTGTCCCCGAAGACCCTTCACTAACACCCAGGTAAAGAATGAAACTAGATTACAATAATGAAACTAGAATAAAATAAGTATAGATGCACGGCGTGCTGAGTCTGTGCACATCATTTCAGCTTTGCAAATGGGAATGTCCGAATGTTTCTCTTTTTAAAAGATTTACAGAACTGGTGGATGGCAGAGGAAGGATCACTACTAAAATCAGCAGCTCTCCAAGTCGATCAGTTTCTGTGAAAACACGTATGTACTGTTCACCCTCCCTTCTTGGCTTTCTGTTCTGTATCATAGCACAAACTTTCTGGTTAAAATATCCTTGCCTGCTTCTTCTAGAACCAGAAGCTCCCATGAAAGTTGAAGAAAATGTGGAGGAATCAACTAGTCGGGCCAAACTAGCACTGCAGCTGTCAGAACCTGAGAGTACCAAGAGAGAAAGTATGTTTGAAGAAAGGAGATAGAGATGGTCCAAGATTACCCCCTTGCCTCTCCAACCTTAAGTAATGTTTGATTTGTACTGGATTATCAAGAATCTTAAAAATAGCCAGAATATTACACCCTTCCCTTTGCATTACCAGGTGAGAGGCAGAATTGTTCCATAAACTTCTGCAAAAATGGTGGGACCTGTGTTGCTGGCTTAGAGTCTTACAATTGTGACTGTACTCCAGGATTCAAAGGCAGATTATGTGAACTAGGTGAGTTAAGAGAATAGTGTGCTTTTCTGAACAATTTTGCCACGTGCTACTAAGAGGGAGAGAAAGAAAGGAAAAAAGGGGGGGGGGTTAATAGGAAACTGCCTGGAAATGCAAGCGTTGCTCCTCTTTTTAAAAGGGATGAAAAACTTACATACAGAATTAAAAGTGATGTTTAGCAGTGTACGATAAAAACAGCATAGATGTTTATCCATAGGCTGGAAGGATATCCTTCAGAGTCGAGTTAAAAATCTGCATGGGGAAATAGAGGAAGAAATAGATTTATGGGCTGTAGGAAAAATATCCTGCCGTACTAAAAAAAAAAAAAAAAACCTCTTTCTGGCCTAAAGAAGAAAAGTGCCCATGCCCTTGTCGTAAATGTAATGTTCATCTGTCTTCAGGAGCTAATAAAACCATTAATATAGGCCACTAATCCTTGCAAAGTATTGTTGACATGTCAGTCTGCTACATGGCTAAGGTTTGCCCCATGAACTGAAAAAAATATATTCTTGGAAGAGGAAGTAGGATTTGCGTAGTTATAGATTCTACATATAGAATCTAATTATGATTGCTACAGATGCATAAAAAATATTGACCTTGCAAGCTACGTTTATTCATGAAATCTATTTCTGGCCTATAAATTAACATTAAAAATCATACATGGGAGTACCAGTTTGGGGCATGATTGGAAAGTAATAATAGATATTGAAAAGATGAAATAAGGTGTGTATATAAACTTATGACAAATCTTGTCTCTTCCCTTACAATTATTTCCCAACTCTGCCCTTTCCTTTGTGTTTTTATATTGTCTATAAATCTGTTTAATGAAATTATGCCAAGAGTAGTCTAGAGAAAGGGGTTGTATTTAAACTAGATATAATAGACATCAAACATCTTACCTTAGAGTAAGTCACAGTTAATTAAGGAGGCTACTGTGAAGATTATGGAAGTGTTCCAGTCTGATAAAAGTTCAGATTACTCATTTTACAAAATATAGGTCTCCATCTTTTTTAATGGAAAAAAGAGACTATAGACATAGCTACTAGTTTGCATAATTAAGTAGACAGATATATGGATAGAAATTGAGCAAAGGTCGAATTGCTGCAAGCTTGCTTTATGGAGTGGAATTTATATTTCAGTATTGCCATTAAGAATAGGAACTACTGTATGTCTGCATTGCACAATTTGTAATTGTGTATCTGTGGCCAGAACTATAACTGGGAGGAGAGATTGAAGTTTTCATGGCTGTGTTGATTAAAATAATGCATAATTATGATGCTGAGGTTTATTAAAAATTCTAAACTTATGAGAGCCAGTTTAGTGTAGTGATTGAGGCATCAGGCTATAAAACAGACCTTTGTGTCTTTGGGCCAGTCAACATTCTCTCAACCCTAGGAAAGAGGTAATGGCAAACCACATCTGAAACACTTTGCCAAGAAAACTGCAGGGACTTGTCCAAGCAGTTTTTGAGAATCAGACATGATTGAACAGAAGAAAAAAAGAATTAAAACAAACATAAGGATGTAGAAAGCACCAAAATTCTTCATTTGAGATGACATTCACATGCTTTACAAAAGCTGTTCTTGCCTTGTTTGCTACAGAAATTGCAAGGTAATCCCATACAACTCTGTTGGTATAGCATATTTTATTATCCAAGAGCAAACTGCACTAACATATGGTACAATCAAGTTGTATCATGTATTTCTGTTATTGGTGTTTTCCCTCTTCATATCTCTTTCAAGATATACTTCCCCCCCCCCCACATAAGAACAGTTTAATTCCATGGCACTGCTCTAAATAATTTATCTGATTTGTGCAAAGAAAATTAGATCCAAATATTTATCTCTATTTATTGAAATGTCCTCAGTACATGTTTTTCCCGTTCAGCTTGTAAAAAGGTGCCTCAGCCTTGTACTCGGCTATACTCTGAAACAAAACCTTTTCCAGTCTGGGAAAGAGGTGTTTGCCATTATCTGTAAGTATTGTCTTGAGCATTTTTTTTTCTTCACATATCAAACTTCAGATTTTAGCCTGCTATCCCTGACGCCTCTGTTTTTTATTCCAACCCACCTGTTTGCTTTTTTCCATAGGAGCCCAGGGAGGAGGGGGGAGACATGTCTTTTACACTGAATTAAGGGTATTTTAGTTTTATACTAGAAATATCATTTTTCTGCCTCAAAAATAGCAATATTTTTATTTAACTTTCATCAGTTGCACCATCAAAAATTGGCAATATGGTTTTGAGGAAACTGCAGGTTGCCTAACTCTGCTGAGGCTTTAGGGGAAATGTGAGCCGTGTCTTTCTGCTAAGTGGTTTTATTAAGGCACTGGGGGATTGTTACTCTTGCACAGTAAAAAAAAATCCAAGAGATTTAAACTCTGGGATTTAACTTACAACCGACACTATATTTCTTTATGGTCAAATTTGCCTTCATTTTTTGATATATGTTTGTTTTCCTATCAGATACAAGAGAGTCTACAAAGTGCATCAGGACATTTGCTATAAGGAGAGTTGTGAGAGTACTGTAACAAATAAGGCACTCAGCAGGTAAAACAAATGTAGTTTTTATAAGCCATCATTTGGGAAGAAATCCTAAGAATGCCTAACCTCCAATTTCTCATAGCACCAATTACAATTTTTAACAGTATGGTGAACACCATACAATCTGGATGCTAATTTATGGGGGACTTCAGCCAATTTGGGTATTGTAAGCCAGCTGACCTTGAGCCAATCACTCTTTCTCACCCCTAGGAAGGAGGTAATGGCAAACCACTTCTGAAAAACCTTGTCAAGAAAACCACAGGGACTTGTTCAAGCAGTCTCCAAGAATCACTTATGAAAGATCCTTAATACTTTAGTCAATACTTTATTTGTTGTTTCTTTGTCCCTTCCTTTGCCTAACACACTGTTGGAATTAAGTAGCATCAGAATAATGAAGTTCTTAGAAATAAGTTACTGTGCAAGATAAATTGTCATATATTAAAACTTCTCTTATTTCAGAAAACAAATCAACAGGCACTGAAACCACAGTAAGTATCTTTATTGGGTAATGGATGGGAATGAGGATTCCATTAACTGATATACCAGTTAAACCATGGAGTTTAGATATTTGATAAATTAAGAGTTCCTTGGACAGGAAGTGTCCAGGCTCATTTTATAATTCCCCATAACTTAAACCATGGGTAAAGCATCATTGACAAGCAAATATTTATATCTCCTTTTTGAAGAACCTCTAAGATATTGATAGCCTGCCAAACACTAGAAGGAAATTGTATTTATATTCATTGAATGCCACAAAATATCTTGTGAATGGAATGGAATTAGCAAGGAATGCAAATAATGACTGTTTTTTAATTTAAAAAAATCAGGAATAAGAAAATTCATGAGAATATATTCAATATTTATATTTATGTAACATTATATATATGATACATTACATTTATATTTTATGTATTATAGAGCTAAGCAAAACTGAGCAAAATGAGGCTTCATAATATATAGGAATGTGTCTTTTCAAATCGGTAAAGCAGCCAAATTATTCATGCAGTTACTCTGAAAGATGCTCCTAGCTGCATGCATGTACTTGTGCAGACAGCTAGGAACAGCTCACAAAGTAGCCATGTGAGTCTTGCTAATGATTCATTGGTTCTGTTTGAAAACAGGTGCTTTGTATGTTCTTATATGCTGCAAATCACTTTTAAGATTTATTCACCCATAGTATGCCTCACCTTTTTAATATATTATATTACAGATTTTATTTCTGCTTCCCTATAAAGAAATGAAAAGTTAGTGCACATTTGATAATGGCTGGTGGAAAACAGTTTCTCATTTTAAGGTTGTTTCTCAATCCTTAAATGGAAGAGGAAGATTCCCTCCATTAATTCTTCTACTGATGAGTGTCAGAGTTGTTGTGCCAACAGAATTCCTCACCGTGATCCTACTTGCTTTTGGAGTACCAAGGAACTGCCCTCAAGAAACGCTGAATAACAGTGATCTGCTACAGATTTTAATTGCAACATGAATAGAGAACAAATCCATTTATTAATTTACAATCAAAATGCAAATATTTGGCATGAAATTGAGAATGATTACATCAGTATCTGCAATACTGAACAATCTAGATAGTCTTCAGCTATATATTTCATCCCAAGGATACAATAGCTTCATCATGTCTGTTGACTGATTTTTTTTAAAAGGGGGGAGGAACTTAGCTGGAACAAAGGACTTTCTACCTTTTTTGTTCAAGAGATGTTTGCCATATAGCCCCTTCTCTTCAGCAAGATTATAATAACACTTTCATTTTCAGCTTCTTTTCATCATAGGATTTAATTTCTTTATATAAGTTGAGTAAAAGTTCTTTTGCAAGCTACCCGCAGAACAGTACTCAAGCTTCACAGTATTTGAGATTTGGGCATATAATCTGATTAATGGACTGCCTTAAATCTGAGTCCTGGGAAAAAAGTGTTCTCTTTATAACCTAAAAACAAATCTTATTGCCTCAGAAATTGACCCCCTTGGGTTTTTTTTTTTGTTTGTTTGTTTCTTTGCAAAATTAACGTAAATGAAAAATTATCCCATTTTTTTCAGCCAACTCCCTCAATTCCTTACTAACAAATTATTAGCACTTCATAAGTTAGAATAATGAAGAAAAAACTGGCGGCGGCAGCAGCAGCAATAGAGCATGCTACCTGTCTTTTAGAAAAGCCAAACAGATTTTTAGTTGTTCTGCCTTCCAATGCTGTTTATGACAGTTTCTATGCTTTCATAAAGAATTTTCCTGAAAGCCTTAATGTTTAATAGGTAAAGTATTTCCTTTGATATTCTTAAAAGACAAAATTGTGATGCCAATGGGGGAAAAAAGCTTTCATCCATCTTCAGTGGTGTTTATTTTGCAAAACATGATGACTAGCCTTCAAAAAAGCCTTACTATTACCTAGCCTTTGTGAACCGTATGACTAGTTAAAACTATAAGGTTGTGTTTAAATAGACATATATTGTATTTTATAAAACAATACAACTAGAGAGTCATAGTTTTAAATTACTCTTCTGGCAGGTATTGGATTATTGCTGAAAAGGTGCACCCGTTGCCTGCAAAATAAGTCATGGCAAATTTTAAGAGCTGTAAATATTGTTTATTTAGCATAGAGGAGCATATTGAAAAGGGGATATTTTTCTAATTGGAAAGACAATAATCCTTGCTATTGGCAGAAATACCGTAGCACAAAGTGGTTCCAAAGTTCCTTCAATCTTTTAATATTTTAACTAGTTTTTACTTGTCTTATAACTTTTAAGCTGCCCAGAGTCACCTTGTAGGGTAGATGGGTGGTATAAGAAATAAATTTTAAAAACCTGGTAAGTCATCAAGAGATGCTTAGCTGCATTCCTATATAAGTTATTTATGTGTGTTGTGAGTAATGGATAATACTGTCCATTTGTGATTCTTTTCCCTGATGGGGATGGCACAACACTAAAGGGCTACAGATTAAAAATGTAGAATTACAACTTTTAAAAACCCAGTAATCTTCTGCTACAATCAATGTAGCTAGCAGAAATATTCACACATTTATATTACCTGGTTGAACTGGTGCATTGTTCCCTTTACTTCTGATGTTTAGATGTGCCCTACAGTAACATAACTTGCACACAAGAGAGCCAGCACCAGGCTTAAGAGAATTACTGTGTAAAAACTTAAGATTGTGGCAGAATCTGGAAAAAAATAACCAAATGAGAACTGAGTATGGTCAGCAGAAAGTGTGTGTTGGGAAGACTACAAGAAGGAAGAAGGAAATCCTTGAAATTTTGAACAACTACTTTAGCACTGCAATTACGCTATGTATTTGGCTTATGAGAACCATCTCACCTTTTAACGAGGATATTAAAGTTTCCAAGAATAAAGAGAATGAAAGGGTAGCACCAAAATATTACATTTTTCAAAATCCAAAGTAAATTTTTAAAATAGTATCTGCAAAAGACAAACGGTATGAAAGATCTTTATTGCTTGTTCCTTGTTTGTCACAATTTTTCCTAGAGACTGTCTTAAGGCAGAAGAGGACCTTTATCAATCCAGTATTCTGTAGTCAGATCAAGGCATATGTACTGCATCAATAAAGTAAAAAGGTTTTATTTTATTAAAGTTACCTTGTTTTTTTCTCATTTTAGACTAAATATATAATTTATTTCAAAATCATTCTGCTTTTTTTTTAAGAATGAAAGGATTCCTGGAGTTAGCTATAAAAATTGCATTTAAAAAAACATTTCTTTTCAAATAAGGCTACCATTTAGAAACTTTATTTAAAGCCATATTTATGAATTGATATTTTGAATTTGATTTCCCTACCTGCCTTTTATTTTTTAATCTCATTTAAAAATATTCATTTCTCTATTATCAGAAGTATCCATCAGCTCCCTCCTTCCTATCTTAAAAAGGCAAGCAAATACTACTACTACCAGATAGCAAAAACTTTTAATTGCAAAATTATTCAGAATCAGCTCCATTATCGTTCTCTGAATCTGATAATTCTTCCATTGTTTCCTTCTGTTGCTTCCTCTGCTCTTCTTCATCAGCCAACAACTTCTTAAAGACCTCATATTCTTCAATTGAAGAGCAGGCTATTTCAGTCACAAAATCCTGTTCAGATGCTCTAATAATTCTCTTCAGTTTGGGATTGACAATTTGGGTCTGTCCTTTCTTATCAGGAGTTTGATAGTGTCCTAAGCGCTCCAAAAACTGTATTCGTTTGTTTATTTCAGCCAGTGATGCTTGGAAGAAACCAGACTGCACTATCTCTGCATGTTTAATTCCCATCCTGAAATAGGCAAACTAAAAAACAGAGATTATTAAGTGAAAGAATAAACACTAACATTGTAGTACAAAGAATGTAAGTCAAGGACACAGTTCAACACAGAAGTACACAGAATTCAAGAAGGTTGTGCTCTTAATATATATAGGCACAACTTGCAGCTGCAAGAAAAATCTTTCTTTATTCAGGCATGAAATGTGAACAAAACAATTTGCTCTAGGGCAGGGGTTCCCCCCCCCCAGTCTGTAGACCGGTACCGGACCATGGCATGCCAGCAACCAGTCCACACAAACAAGCAAAGCCCCATCCATGGGATCAGGCAGCACACAAAACCACGCACTCTCCAGACCATGAAAAAACCTTTCTCCACGGAACCAGTCCCTGGTGCCCAAAAGGTTGGGAACCTCTGCTCTAGGGGGTATTGTCACATAAAATATACTTTTATTTTAAATCTGAGAATCAATTGGGATCTGGAGGAATTGAAACTGCTATATGTGTTAAAATCCAAGCATTATAATTAGTTATGATAATTGGTGCTAATGGAATTGAAATCCAAGTAACCAATCCATATTATGGTAGATTATGGATGAAAAATGGGGGGGGGCTCTGTTTTTTAATTGCAAACTTCCTCTAGCTGTATTTTTCTACTATTCCTTAGTATTCCTTACTATTTTCTGTATTTTGCCCCACTATTTTACAGCAAAATCAAGCAAATAACCAGCTTTCTAACTTCCAAGGCATTTGAGTGTTTATGTTCTAAAACTGAAAGGGAATTTGGCAATTTTAATTAAAAAAAATGGCTGTGGAAATAAAAATGTGAACAGAGTTAGCCATCCAGGAGAAAATGGGTTATTGTAAAATTTCACAGAATTAGTAAATCATAAACCTGGAAGGAGTCTGAGAACTCATAGGTTCCAACCCCTTTCTCGGTAGAGGATGTGCTAAAGCATTTTAGGTAATCAAGTCTCTATCTGAAGATCTCCAATAGGAAGAATTGTGCCACTTCATGAGCAACTAGTTCCATAAGTATAAAGTCTGACCAAGGCAGAGTAGAGTGGGACAATTACTTCCTATGATCTGGACTTTATGACTCATGTACCATTTTCAGCAATTGTTAGAAAAAAGGTGTAATAATGGAAGGTTCTAATTTTAAAAAATGACAGAAGGAAAATACAGTTAAAGTTTGGTGAAATCAAAACATTAGGAAGCAAGCTTCCCTGAAATAAGATATGAGGCCAAAGTCTTCAGCATTATATCTTCAAAAGCAAGAAATATAACATAGATATTTCTCAGAATCCATATAATAGATTTTAATAAGCAAAAAACAAAGTGCATAGAAACAAAATTTTCTCTTAGAAAATTATTTGAAAGAGTGGTAAATGCAACTATTAAAAAAAATCACATTCTGAAAACATATTGAAATTTCTTAATATATAAAATCTCTTAATAAAGCCTATTTATTTTCTGAATTGATCAAATTCAGCAATGGAAAAGTGTACCACTTTGTGGAATCTGACATCAGCAAAGTTGTTCTGCAAATACCTGGAATTTGTATTCTACATCGTCTAACTCTTCTAAAAGGAGCTGTGGACTTGTTCGTAGAATTTTTGATACTTGTGCCATTGTGAAGAGACATTTTTCTTTAAGGAGACTCTCTAGGGCTTTGATTCTCTTGTGTGGTATTGTAAAAATACTTGGAAAATGTACTGCCACATGGTTAACGCTGCCTATTAAAATAGGAGAAAAGAAATAAGATAGTGCTGACTAAAATCCTCTATTCTTTCTCTTTAATCAAACCCATGTATCCCTAGCAATATTAAGAGCAAACTAGTGTATTTTTAAGATATAATTTTTCCCATGTGTTTCACATAACGCCTAAGCACGTTCTCTCTAAATAACGCATTTGGAGTACTTCTGGGTCTATATTAGTAACATTATCCCAGTTATGTACTTAATTTACTGCTCTTCAGTGCAACAATAGCAATAGCACTTAGACTTATACACTGCTTCGTAATGCTTTACAGCCCTCTCTAAGCAGTTTAGAGAGTCAGCATATGGCCCCCAACAATCTGGGTCCTCATTTTACTGAACTTGGAAGGTTGGAAGGCTGAGTCAACCTTGAGCAGGTCAGATTGAACTGTTGGCAGTTGACAAATTAGACTGCAATACTGCATTCTAACCACTGTGCCACCATGGCTATTTCATGTGAAATATTTCCACGTTGGCCATTGCTTACAATTCCTTACTGATATATATATAGCACAAATGTTCTTTGTGTGTGTGTATTTACAAACAACCAAAAATAGAACTTTCTTTGATTATTCCATTAAAAAGAGCCTGAATGAAACACAAATTATTCTTGAAAGATGAATTATCCTTTTTCTATTTGATTTTAAAAAGATTTCACTGAGCAAACATTTTAAAGATACAAATCATTATTTTAATGATTTGATTTTCCCTTTTTTATAACCTATGCCATAAGCATTTGAAAATGTATAATTTTACTCTTACCTTTCAAATGAAGCTAGTAAACAAATCACCTTCACTAAGTATCTTTTTCCCCTATAGCCCCAGGACATTGGAGCTCAATCTTTTCACCACTGAATTTCAACATAATTTCAAAAAACAGCAAAAATATCAAAATAGATGTTTAAGGATAACAGAAGCTTAAAGCACTTGTTCAGCCCAATTCTAGGATCTCCCCCAGAAGTGTGTGTATGTGTGTGTGTGGCAAAATAATCCCATTTTGTCGCGTGACAGCACTACTCTAGACTCTTTAGTCCTCTGAGATGTCCACTAAACCTCCAAATGTTTATTCTGACAGCAAAAAAGATTATGCTGAAATGAAAGATGGTGGGTGAAATATCCTAATATTCTCTTTTGGCAAGCAATTGGCACTTATATATAAGAAATTCAGTGTAGGTTAAGGAATTGATCCAGAAACGTATGTAGCTATTTGGAGCAATTTGATGAATATCGGTTGACTGCGTATGATTAACTGAACATGAACATTTTCCTTAATATAAGGGACAGGAAAACTGAATATATTGTGGACAGAATCTAAACAAATTAGAACTAAATAATCCACTCAATTCAGTGTATAAATTCAGTAACTGTACAATTCAGGGAAAGCATTACCTGCATCTAAGCCAAATCTCCTCAGAAGATCTGCACGTTCCTTCAAATGTTTTGGTGACATTCTCAGCAGTTCAGGCTTCTTTTCTAAGGTCTTCAGTATTGTGGTTATGCTTAAACCCAATAGGAGTAATTCTGAAATTGCAGTCAATTTTGACTGAAATGGTACATCCAGCTGCAAGCTAAATAGCTGTGTTATCTGAGCAGGACTGAATCCCAGGTTAACATAAGCACTTGTGTCCTCTTCTAGTTTCAAATAGTCCACATCAGTTGCTTTTACTTCTTCTACTAGTATATTATTTAAAGTTTCTTGGGGCTTTGGAGAGCATTCATAATTTGACCTATAAGGGGGCAGACCTTTTTTGCTTTGTACAAAAGATCTGGTACTAATCAATCTGCAATCTAGGTGTTGATGAGACCACCAAAATGTAACTGGTAGTACACTGACAGACGTTAAATGGATATAGTCATAGGCAAAGAGGGGAAAGCTGTATTTCTCAAAAATCTGCAAAAATAGATTTAAAAAAGCAAACATAATTGTATTTTAAAGGAAAGAACATGTATAGTTGTCAGCAGATCAAAGGTGCTTGCCAAAACTAAATTAAAACCACTCTCACACCATAATTTATCAAATATTAAAGTTAACTGCCTCCCAATTTACCTTATTTGAGGTATTTAATTACAGTATCCCTGTATTTCAGACCATTAAATTTGTCACTACAGAAACAGTTGTTCAAAAAGTGTTACAGTTTATATTGAATATAACCACTTTTAAGCCTAATTTAAATCACAAAGGCCAAATATGTTCACAAATAATAGGTGGGAGAGAAACCTCTTGGTTTTGATCAACAAAACAAAAAGAAAACTTTTCTGCATAAATTATCAAACATTAAGTAGTAATATATATATAAAGTGCTTCATTTTGGGATATTTCAAAATTGTATTTAAATGAAAAATATTCTCTAGATAACATTTGAGAAGCATTTTTTCCAAATAATATTTCTGCAGCTTTTCAGAATAGGTTGGTGCCCTAGTCTGTTTGAAAGATAAAATGTTCCATATTAATACTTATAAAACATTAATTTAAAAGCACATCAGACTGTTCTATAATGATCTCACTGCATACTATCAAAATTGAAATGTAAAATACCCAGACTTTAATCTTGAACTATCTACAGTAAAAATAGTGATTCACACAAATGTGGCCCCAAGCTCAGGTTAAAACATTAAGATTGCTACATTCAAATGACATATTGTATCCAAACAAAGACTTAATCTGATTTACACATTTAAAAAACCCTGACTATTCTACAGCATATTAAAACACAGTGGCTCCATTTTAGCCAAGTCTAGCATATTGTGTACCCACAACCTACCCATGGCCAAAGAACATATGTAAATATAAACGCTTAACTCATCTGATACAGTATATGCTTCAAGTTGAATAGGAATTTTAAACTAGTTTGCTATCAAAAAAAGACTAATTTCATATTACATTTGCAATTCAGTGTACATTTACATAAGAAATAATCCCATTTTGCTTTTAACTTGTATGGATATGCAAAGTATACCAAAAATTGATCTTCATAAACAATTATATAAATTACATCAAATGTCATTTTCTTCTAAACACCATACATACACCCATATATGTAGTAAGTATATATTTTAATGTCTTTGAAATCTACATATACATTGAATGAATGAATGAAAACTAGATTGTGATCTTAACAGTCTGACAGGAATCCCTGCTCGAACTCGTCCCTTTACCATCGACAGGTAAGATCAACCTTTCCCTTTTTATGAAAGCCATCCTCCTCTGCACACATGACTATATACCCTGTGGATGAAGTGATAGCATCGCTAGAGCAAGCATTAGGTTGGAATGATTAAACAGACTTGAGTATGCTTCCCTCTCACCCATGCATAAAAGGGAAATAGCACTTAATTAAGCGATGGCTGGATGGAGTCACTGAAGCAGTAGGTGTGAACTTAAATGGACTCCAGAAGATGGTAGAGGACAGGAAGACCTGGAGGAACATTGTCCATGGGGTCGCGATGGGTCGGACACGACTTCGCAATTAACAACAACAAGCGATTATTGCCTGATGAGCCACAACTAGCTTGATTTATGTTATCACTCAATCGTAAACCATGATTACAAATTACACTTGCTGCGTTCATACAGGACACGATGAAATATATGCAAACTCATCGGGTGAGTACCTTTTCCTACGTCTGCTTATAATTCATGAAAATACAGTAATTCGCGTTTTTTCATGCTTATAATCCATGAAAATACAGTAATTGGCGTTATTTTTCGGTGGACAAACTGATAATACGAAGCGTACTCACGCGCCAATAGCGGATTGCTAATTTCATATTCAGCATTTCTCAGAGCTTTCGCTGCTTGGGCAAGTAGAGAAAACGAAAGAGGAAGGTGTTCGCGTAAACGCTTTCCTACCGAAACGGAAGCTGGAAACGGGAAAAAAATGTTCCGTAGAGCAACCGAAGGGCGGATAGAAATACCTTGAATTAGTTGTAAAAGGTTATGAATGAAAACCCGGCGGGGCCAAATCAGAAATGTGAACAGGTGGAGTGCTCGATTATCTTTCCCAAGAGTAGTTAAGGGCGTATCACACCTGATATTTGTAGAGTCCTACTTGAGTAAAAGTCCGATTCTTATGGATATTCATATTGCTTGTATAGGATCTACCCGAAAGAATCCGATTACATCTCCAGAAAACAAGTCGTTTCGGTCACTATATTGCAGAAAAATGACAAAAACTAACATTTGTGCTGCAGTCCCTTATGTATATTTCAATTTTACTTGGCAGCAACAGTCGTAGATTACGCCCATCTACTTACGTAAATTAGCATGATTATAGAACTGTTTCTGATATTGCCACAGCACAAAAATGCACTGAAGTGGTACCTCAGATCCACAATTTTGCACGACATAGGAACATTTTTTAAAAAATATCAGGATTTTTTTACTGTTATGGAAGACAAATGTGACCTATAAGACTTTGTGAATGTCCATCGCTTGAATCGGTTTTTTTGCAACACCAAAAAGCATCAGCTTTCTATGTCTTAAGCATTTCAGTGTGAAGGGAAAACATTAAAGAATCAGGGAAACCTAGCTTCAAATGTCCAATCATTGGAATGGTTCATAATTTTTTTAAAAGTGAGGTGAAGGGGAATTAAATTGAGTTAAATTATCGCTATTGTTTACTTGTGTCAGAAGCATCACAATTAAATAAGGCATACTATGACATAAAATTTAAAATATAAAATACAAGATTAAAATATGTACATTAAACATCTTGCCCCAAATTAATTAATTGCACTGTCACGCTGCCATGAGGTCCTCAAATGTGCACTGATCAGGACACAAAGGACAAACGTGCATATGTGTTGTCTGTATGTCCCCAATATTGCAAAGGGCAGAGGCCACCAGATAGGCCCGTTTGTTCAGAATATCTCTAGATTTTGTTCTATTCATGTGCAATCTATTCAACGATTTCCATACTTCCCAGCTTTTGACAGACCCTGCTGCAACTCCTCCAATGGTTCCATCCAAGGTTGGTTCTTTGTAGCTTTTCATAGGTCCTTTCTGCTTTTAAATTATTTTATATAATATCCCTATTTATATAAGTGATATAATTTATTCTGAGTTTGATTACATGTCTTACTGGGGCAATGTATTTCTGATTTAGCATGTTTGATTCTGATTAATTTTCCAAATTCTATCTTTATTAAGATTTGTGGATCTTATATATGTATCTAATCAATTTTTAACTGAAACTGAAAGCAATATAAAAGTGATACTAACCATCTGACATTTGAAATGAGATAAATATCTCAATTTAAAGATACTTTGATATTTTGAACCACAAATTCAAAATTTGGGTATTAATAGATTTTTCTTCACAAATATACATTTTAGAGAATGCTCTAGAGCAGGGGTGCCAAACTGCCAGCCCGCAGGCCAGTTTCATCATACTGAAGCCACGCCCACCCCATTACCGGCAATGCAAAGAGTCGCAACACATCACGTGACATGGCGAGTTTGACACCCATGCTCTAGGGATTAATTTGGAAGAATGAAACAATAAAACTAATGATGAAAGTTAGCCCAGAGAAGAAATATTAAAAAGGGCAGAAAAATATATTTTTCCTCAAAAGGACTTTTTAAAACCAAACCTGGCCCCAAATCTATCTCTCTGCCCCAAGCAAGACTTTAGCCCTATACAAATGCAGATGTAAAACCATCAGAAAGTTGAAGCCAGAGCAATCAAGAAGACAAAAGAGAAGATCTGCATACCCCACCCAAACTCTAGGAGTCAGCCCCATCACCTGGGAAGCAGGATATGATAATAGAATTAAACCACAGATATCAAGGCCTAGACAAACACTCAGAAACAGCCTCAAGGTTCATGCCACAGGAACAGGAAACTATTCCAAACAAAAGGCTAGGGGGGGTATAAAACCTACTGCCCATGTGCTCAATCTCTCTGTGTTCTTCTCTCTCCTCTGCACTTTCCTGAAGAACCATCTTTCTGCAATAAACTGTAACCTTCTTCCCAAAGCAGTCACCATGTTTGCTTATTTATTCCCGGCTTGGATGAACCAGGATGAAGACTTTACTTCTAACACTAACATGATTGGAACTTATCCTCCCATTACTACATTTTGGTCTAAAATGTAGTATACTTTTATCTGTTAAGAAGGCATATGTTTTTTTAGTTGTGGAACATACCAACTTATTAAATTTTATATTCTTTTAATGGATGTTCCAAAGAGAATTACTATACAGGATTAATTTTATTGTACGCAATCTTCAGATTGTAAAAATATTCTTTCTAAACATTTGAACTGTTCAGTCAATTCTCAAGTTTGTATGTAAAAAAAAGTAGTGTTCCCCTTTTCTTTTTAAGATGTATATTTATAATTTTTACTCCAATAAATTGTGTTTTGTAAGATTTAATTATGCTTATTCAAAAACATAATTTAAAAATGAAGTTTATTGGATTACTTGGAATGCTTTCTTTGTCCAGCAAGCTCTCTGTCTAACCTTCCTCACAGGGTTGTTGTGAAGATAAGATGTTTGTTGTGGGAAGCCCTGGATTCCTTGAAAGGAAATACAGAATAAAATTCTCATACCTAAATTAATAAGTATACTGAACAGGAGAAAAATATCCTGGGTGAAAAAATGTTACCCCATATTCTTCAAGCATGTCTATGAAAATGAAGAATTAGTTTTCAACTATTCTCTTTCTTTTCTAAGAAAAAGACATCCAATGCATAAATAGTCCCTGAGCTCTAGGACTAGTGAGACAAGTTCCGACTTTTCTGTTTTTAGTGTGTTCCAGCAGATTCTGCTAATTCAGTATTTTCACAATGAAATCAACAAAAACATTTATGGTCTGAATGAAGAGTTATTTCCCCTACAATTATTTCTCCATGAAGCATAATGTCATGTAGAAGGGGAGAAGATAACTCCTTTTCCCCTTTGTAGGCTGTTTTAACTCCTCCTTTTGAAGGAAAACAGACATATAACAGCAATATTGATAAACATAGAAAAATGAAGAAACATCTTAAAAACTGTAGCAGGCAGTCTGTCAAATTATGTCAATGAAAATATCTACACATTATATTCTAATCAAAGTGTTTTGATCTCCTCAAGGAATGTCCCTCCTTCCTTGTTTTGGTCAAACGATGCTAGAGATGACGTCCCTAAAAATATATTGTTATGATATTCCCGATTCTCTTTTAGTTGGCACTCACAAATTTAATTTTTTTAAATGTAAGTTTTCTTTTGATTGTTAATTTCACTGAGTGAATTTGGATAATTCATTCTCAACTGAATCTATTTTAGAAAAATGAGATTGGAAAGGGAGAAAAAAAAGGAGTCAGATATATCACCCTGAGTTCCCTAAAAATAGCAGGATAAAAATAATATATATCTCTATCCTTTTTCTGTAAATAATAGGAAATGTGCGGGGAAAAAATGCTGCAAAAAAAAAAAAGACTGGACTATAGCTGTTCATGAAAAGAAAATAATATGAGACATACATTAAAATACTGCTGTGTATTTCATTCATTTCAGCAAATGATTTAACACAATTACAGCAAATATAATTCAATAAGTTCTCATAGTCTAAAATAGAGTTTATGGCAAAAATTCAAGATTGATCCGATTATTATAGTTGTGCAAAAGAAGTGAATGAGGTGCTTCACAAAGTACATTAGCTAAACAAAGCACCTATTTTCCTTGAAGCATTAAAGCACCCAGCTCCTCTGGAATGTTCATAAGATTATGTTGAAGGTAATCTTAGATTTTCTGTGCATGCGTGCACAAATGTTTCCATTAGAATTGTCAACAAAACAACTATCCATGAAAATACATGTGCACATAGCCAGGAACAGCTTTTGAAAGGAAACAAATATCAGTTTCAAAACACCTTTTTGCATGTTTGCACAGCCTTACTTGGATTTAGTCTAACTTTATCTGACAAATCCAGATATTACGCCCAAGGGGGACATTATCTAGTGAGGCCTTCTCTTGGATTATTTTTCAATTGCATCCTTCTGTAATAATGTTATTACATAGGTCTCTTTAGCGAACTGGATAACATGGAATCATGTCAATCTAAAATTTTGCACTTTTCCCACACTACTGTGAAATACATAACCAGATAAACAGTAGACATCAAGGGATAGAATATATTAAATAGACTGATTTAACAGTAGTTGTTGCAAGCTATTGTTTTTTTCTGTACTACACACATACATAAAAACACATTCTTATTAGAATTCTTCCAAATATTTTCTTCTCTGTATAGATTGGGTAATAGCTTTCTTCATCATGAAAGAAAGGAAGTCACAACCTCATAATATAACCAAAAAAGAGCTGAAAATGTGTTCCACTGAAACACCCTCTAAGTCAGTGGTTCTCAAGCTGTGGGTCGGGACCCCATTTGGGGTCGAAAGACCATTTCACGGGGGTCACCAAACAAGGCTGTCTGCCATTTTTCCCCCTTTTCTTTGGCCACGCCCCTGGCACCCGGTGATGTATAAGTGGTTGGGGATCACCACAACATGGGGAACTGTATTATGGGGTTGCGGCATTAGAAAGGTTGAGAACCACTGCTCTAAGTGAACCCTAGTAAAATAACATTCAAAGTGGCATTAATATTAAGGATAGCTGCATTATTGAAGGAAATACTCCTTAGAAGAATTAGAGTCAAATACAGATGTTCACCTATCAAGTCATCAAGCAACACAATCAATAAAGAGAAGTAATTATCTGCTGTGCTAAACTAATCTGAAAGGTATTGTTCCTAACAGTTAAAAAAGAAATATAAAATGTTAAATTGCCAATTTATAATCCACAGAAATGTTTTTTTTTAAAAAAAAGAAAGAATTGCTCAAATCAATGGAACTTTCTAATGACTATTTCTTTCAGCATAATAAAGGTTTTTAAGTAAAACTCACCTGTCAGAAATCTCTGGCTAAGGTCGTTTGTTGGAAAATAGATACCTAGTTTCAGTGCCAGTTGTTGATTAACATAGTAAAAAGTTTTGTTTTGTCTTGATATTTAGAAGAAAATATTGACCTTGCATTTAAACTTAACATGTGCAATGTTTCCTCCATTGTGAGGATTTATCTGAAGAAAGACCATCCACAAAGCTAAAATACAGAGTATTATAAACTAATACTGATTATTCCTTTAGTTATGTATCAGCTAAATTTTGGAAGATGATCTCTCTTAGGGAGGTAAAATATATGCCCATCATTATATTTTCTTTTTTATCAGATATTTTATGTAGATAGGCACTAACTATGAAGACTAATTCCCCATATGTCGAAATTAAAGAATCATATCAGACGTGCTCACAGGAGGCAGAGTGAACTTGTAATTTTGCTGCTTCATTATGTTCATCACACTGATGTCCTTGTGGTATTTTTTTTTTTAGTTCTCAAGAAGATTATGTCCAAAGTTAAGATTTCAGTGATTCTGGCATTGGGAAGAGGTTGATGGCTCTCGTTCTGCAGAAGAGATAATTCCAGCTAGCTGGGAATTTGCTGGCTCATGATTATTGACCTCATCATTAAAACTCTGCTCACTCTCCAGGCTTGGGATTGCCCAGATACCACCATGATTGCAGTCAGTAGGATGATTTTTAAAACTGTTGTTTTCTAAAAATAAAATATTGTTATTAATATTAATAAATACCAAATTGCAAATACAGTTCACCAGCCACTGCATACTTTAGTGTGATTCTGTATGTGTAACAGAAGTGTCACTGAACAAAACAAGATTTGCTGATGACAAAACACACATAAATCTGCACTACACAGATATTTATTTCAAACACATCCCTTGTGTGCTAAGACCTTGAAATAACTGTGTCAAATGCAAAATATCTCATGTATAAAATTCTTTGTAAATCCCATTCATCTGAGAATTCATGGTAAATTAGGAATGCTCCTTTCAGAATCCTTTCTCATACCTGGTTTGCCACAAGTAAATACTTTCTCCCATGCATAGTTCATCAGGTTTACAGGTTGGATCACCCAAGGATCCCGCATGACCATTTCTAGAGTTATCCGATCCTGTGGAAAAGGCTTCAAGAGCCCAGACAGGAGACCCATCAGATCTAAAGAAAGAAAAGACAAACAACTCCATATTAGCCTTCAGCTTGCCTTTCAGTTATTCTACTTTCACTGAATGCAATTGTAAGAGGAATAATTTTTACAAATTGAAATCTAGCACACTTCAATATTTTTTTACTCCTTATTACCTTTCTTGGCTTCATTTGTAATTCCTTTTTTCCCCCAAGATGGCTTCTATTCAGTAGTGAAAACTACTGTAATAGAATCACAGTTTCAGGATCATCTGCTTTGAATAAGGCACACTGCACCTATGCACATATAATTTCCAAAGAATTATAATTTCAAATTATAATCCTTTATGACTACCTGAAGTGGACTTCTTTTTTGTTTTAAGATATTGCAATTCATTATTTCATCCAAATGCCATATGAAAATAAAATGATGCAAGACAAAAGCTATGCAAATGAGTATCACTGAAATGGCATGTGTTCATAACAAAAACCATGATGTATCTGTTTTTTCTCACAGGAAAGTCAACATGGAATACAAATTCAGAACAAAGAATTAGCAGGGCAATAAGAGCTAAGTGTTTCTTATCTTACACTTTTTATATACTTCAGATTCTCTTCCTGAAACTATCTAAGCCAGCCCATTGAATTGGATTTAGAGCCCAAATGACAAGAGCAGACATTCTGCAGTATTGATGTTACTCTGCTATACCAGAGCTGACCAATCAGGTAATGGCAGCTGATTTTTTTTAATCAGTAATTGCTTCCAAATCTTCGTGTTGACAGCCTTAGACCTTACCATGCCAAACTAAGCCAACACAAAGATATAGGAAGTTCAAACTTGTGTATTGGTAGATATCCAATCTCAGACTGTGTATGAGATAAGCCCAAATGGCTAAATATAAGATGAGCTATGATGCCAAGAAAAGTTAACGTTTAACCTATCTTGGAAAGAAACTGTAAGAAAATTCCTGATAATGAATAACTGGGCCCATGCAGTATGGGTAATATTGAGACCCATTCTACATGGGCCTCAATATTCATTTTTTTCTGAACTGTCCCTCCTTATGCATGGTATTTTACTATTGTACTGCTATTAGCAAACTGTCCAGGACAGCAGACTCCTTTTATCTTCTTGAATTTATCATCTGATATAAGTAATACATCTCCTTCAATGGCTCTAAATACTGCTAGATATTTATAACATAAGTATAAATACATTTAAATAAAAGGGAATAGCTGCTTAATTGTCTGCAAATATACAAAAAAGGTCTAGTATTTTATACTTATTAGATCAGGGGTGTCAAACTGCCGGCCCACAGACCGGACACATCATCGCAAAACCGTGCCCACCCCATTGCCGGCAATGGCAAAAAAGTTCCGATACGTAGTGTGACATCACATGATGTCGCGAGTTTGACATGTCTGTATTAGATGTTCTTTTATTAGATATTACAGTTTATGTATTATATCTTATTGCTATAAATGGTTGTGGAAATAGCATTGATCCTCTGTTCCATAATGAAGTGCCTAAGGACGCAAACCTTTCCTCCTTCACTAACAGCAACTGCAATTGCCCACTCAAGGAGTATCAAAACCAATGAAGAACAGTGCTTCAATCCAACTTTCATAGGCAATCTAGAAACAATTGATGGCACTGAACACTATTTAGAGATTAAGCAGAACAAAGGGAATGCACTCCTTCCATCTAAATCCAGATAAGTTACCCCAAAGGGTGACCAATACTATTTTCATCTTAACCCTCTATAATACTACCCTGATGTCCCCAGTGAAATTTGTAGAATCTTCTGGGAGTCCTATTTCTTGAAATGTATGACAGGCATTAAGCAACAAGGATTCCCTCCTCTTACGAAGGTGACGGGTTCAGTTTTTCTATAAATTGTATTACATAGAAAACCTTGCTGAAAAACCTCTTTCTTTTCCTTTGATTTATAATTTGTAAATACATTACTGAACTACTCACCAACTGACACACTGTAAGGAGGTCGTAGTACAGCATCAATTGTTTCTTCAAGCTCACAAAAAGGATTTTCTCCAAAGACTATGGTATAAAGGGTGATGCCTAGTGACCACATTTCCAATTCTGGTCCTGAGTATCTATAGAAAATTAAATAGTTAAGCTCATTGAGTTTAACAGGCAAAATTATTCAAATTCCTTATGTGTCCAATCACATTTGGCCAATAAAGAATTCTATTCTATTCTATCCTGTTCTTATTACAAACAAAAAAAATTACTTAAAAAGTAGTACCCAGATATAATTCCTTCTTTCCATGTTGTTCTGTCCTTTCTCATCTTTTTTCCTAAAGCTTTCTTTATTATTGAGAATAGATTTGATTAGGGGTTACATAAGTTTCCCAAAAGTGAGGGGGATTCAAAATTAAAAAGACATGTTATATTTCACTAACATTTCAATTTAATAAGCATGCTGGGTATAACCAAGAAATCTGCCACAAATCACAAATTATCATGTTGTTCAGGCTAGGAAATTATAATTAGCAGCTTAAAAACCCCAATGAGTTAAATGCATTTAAAATTGTGGATTAATATTCGCTATGATTTCCCAGTTTGACTGAACCTGGTATCATAAAAATTTCCTAGATTTTTACTTAGCTTACTTGATAGCTTGACAGCATATTCATAGATCATTTTATTAATTCTAAATATAATAAAACTCTTCCATGGTCTTTCCCTATGTGAATTTTGAAGTTAATGTACAGCCTCTCCCCTAAATCAGACTAATGTACTCTATTGAAACATAAATGTTATTTCAAAATCCTACATACGGATTGCCTGATAGCACTTCTGGAGAGCAATACTCAATTGTCCCACAAAAAGTATAGAACATTTTGCCAGGTTCCAAATAAGCAGCTGAGCCAAAGTCTATTAGCTTGATTGTGAAATCTTCAGCAATTATGATGTTCTCATCTTTTATATCTCTGTGAAGAATGTTCCTCGAGCGAAGATAGTTCACTGCAGATACGAGCTGATGCACAAATAAGATGAGATCAGAATAGCATCCACTCCAGATAATAAACTAACCCTAACCAAAGAAATAATTACATGTTCTGCTTAAAATCTTATTAGTTTTTTGCCTTGAAAAAGACATGTAATTAAGAGAATATGAAATTCACATTTCATTTTAATCCTGCTTTTATAGTGATTAAAACTCAAAATTGTCAGTACTGTTTTATGTATTACTAGAAGCAATATTTCATACAAAATTTTCATTAGAACAATTCCATGAGGAACATGAGTGTGGTAGTGCCTCTTCTGTTTATATAATAATCAAAGTTTTCTCATTCTGGCTAAACATTCATTCATTTATTATTATTTCCATTAGTTTTATTCCACCTTTCTTATATATTTTGCTCAATTCAAGCTATCAAACATGCTTAATATTTCTGCCTCCTATCTTCCCTTCAAGAACTCTGTAACGTAGATTGGGTTGAAAGAGAGTGACTGGTCTGAAGTCACCCAGCCAGTTTTCAGCCTAAGAATGGCCTATATCTCCTGGTTTCTAAGCCAATACCTTAACTACTACACCAGACAGGTTCCCTTTTTTCCAGTATTAAATATTTACTACTGTATAGTCCATAAATGCAGATCTCATAATATTTCTTCATTTAAGCAAGAGCAATTATTGCCTCTAGTTTTGGTGCAGCAGTTCTAGTGTGGAGAAAAGTACATCACAGAGATCAATTCCTTACCAAAGGGAGAGACTAGTGGGACCTATATAAAGAAGTTATAGCAAACAAGAAGAGTAGTAACCAATATCTTCTCATGTTTTATTTGCAACAATAACAAATAACTTCCACCACCACCCCCATTTATACATAAGTCTCTTGCTCTTCCATCTTTTTTTTTTTGTTGTTGGTCAATATGACACCTAGACCATAATCAGTCTTTCAACAGCATTAGTGGCTCTAAGGTACAAAATTACAGATTTCCTAGATATAATTTTTATTTTAATGTCACCACCTTTTCTTACATATCTCATTCAACAATACCATAGCACATAGGTCGTAATGGCAGACTGGGTGGGACTAAAAAGTTCAATCAATCAATTCCAACTTTGCGAGATCTTTTTTTTTCCGTGAGAAGTTGAAATTGATTGGTTGAAACTTTTTCTTTGTGCATGGTGGCAGAGGCCTAAAATAAAAAGGTTTTATAAAACCCAGCTAAAGGCCAAGGACTGGGGCGATAGCACGTGTGCCCACAGAGAGGGCTCTGCGTGCTACCTGTGGCACGCGTGCCATAGGTTCGCCACCACGGCCATACCATATTAACTCAGATATATTTTTTATTTCCAAAAAAACCACCTTATGATATATATAGAAAAACATACTGTAATAGTGAAAACAGATTTTTATTAAAATTTGATATGCAAATATATATATATATATATATATATATATATATATATATATATATATATATATGCATTCATTCCTTTTATTTTTCCATGAGTAAGCTTGGAGATCAGACCACATATAGAATGTACTTTGGAATACAGACCAAAAGACACATATGCAAGAAGCAACATCACAGCACTATTAGAAACTTTGTGATGTTCCTTTATAAAATATCACAGATATCTCAGATCAAGACTAGGGGTATAAGAAGAGGAAACTAACTCCTTGGCGTCTGCTTGAAATTTGTACCTGGATAACAATTTTTTTTTTACCTTTTATCAGCTCTTACAGCAGATTGCGCTTTCCCTAAGACTCACCTGCCGGAATATGTAACTTGCCAAAGGTTCATCCAAATCAGGTTGATTATCAATGAATGTGAAGAGATCTAGACCAGTTCCGTGCTTCTCCATCACCAGCTGAAAGAACTGCTGGTTCTCAAAAATATCTAGTACCTAGTGTCAAAGAATGTACTGTGAACAACTTTCAAAACCCACCCATAAATTTTGTATCCCACCGGACTATTCTCACTTCAAAAGGAATAAACAAGCTACTTTTGTTTATTTACTGGATTTAATTATATTATTTTTGGACCAATATCCTGCTGTATTCAATACACTCTCAGTAGTTTACAATAAATACAATGAAATGACAGTTTAGTTATTACACAGAATGCCAACATAAGTCATACTAAATAAGAGCGAAATAATAAAAGTGGCATAAAAAATTAAGTTACAGGATCATGAAAATGCTGTCTAGAATAATTCAGTTTTTTATAGCTTCCTAAAGTCAGTAAGAAAAGGGCTACAGTACAGGTAGTCCTCAACTTAAAACAGTTCGTTTAGTGCAGGGGTCACCAAATTTTCTGGGTTGGCGGCCCAGTGGGAAAGGGAGGGGCAGACATCTTTATGCACGCATGCGTACATACCCAAATGTAGCTGCGCGTGCATATGCATGAATGGGCTGCAAGCATGTGTAAATGGGGCTGCAAGCACCGGCACAAAGGTCGCACTGAGGCTAGCGCTGGCGCGAGATTCACACCAAGTCTAGTGCCGGTGCGAGTGTCACATTGAGGCTAGCACCGAGGCTAGTGCAGGCGTGAGGATCGTGGCAAGGCTAACACCAGCGCGAGGGTTGCACCGAGGCTAGCGCTGGCACAAGAATCATGCCAAAGGTCGCAATAAAATCCAATTAGGTGATAATGATGGTATGAATCATGGCTAGATTGCCTTGCACTTTCTTCACCTGCCGTCTCAAGAAAGGACACCCACATGAAGAACCTGCAAAACACTAACATCAACAGGAAAGCCTTGTGTAAAAACAGTAATTTCATCTTATTTAGGCTTCAGCTATAGTCTATTGCAGGGTGTCAAACTCGCAATGTCACATGACATGTTGCAACATATTGCAACTTTTTTTCCATTGCCGGGAATGGGGTAGATGCGGTTTTGGCATGACGCATTCAGCCTGCAGGCCGGCAATTTGACACCCCTGGTCTATTGTGTCCCATTCAGACCCTTATAGCATTCAAGCACTGAAGCTGGACCAACAGGATCTCTATAACTTGAGGTGATAAAAGTTGAATGACATCAGCATATTGATGGTACCACATCCGAAACATCAAATAAATTCATCGAGTGGTTTCATGTAGATATTTAAAAGTATGGGGGAGGGCTGAGCCGTTCAGTACTACATGTCATATGGCTGTTGGGCCTCCATCACCACTGATTGAAATGATACACTAATGAAAGAGCAGAACCACTGCAGAATTGTGCTCCCAATCCAAACCCTGAAGGGTGATCCAGTAAGGGACATAAAGCTGAGTGGGGCTGTGTGTATTGAGGTTAGGGTGTATCAAGCACAGGGATAAGAGTTCTTCTCATTGATCTGGAAAGGAACATTATGAGCTTATTCTAGGGCTAACAATATAATTTCCAAAATTTTCCATCTCAAAATTATGGGAAAGCGCAACTCTATACCTTATGCTTCCTACTTCTTAGAGAAATAGGTTAGACATTTTCATCTTACATTTCAGGAGAACTACTATAAAATGAGCAAACTTAGTGGTCACACATTAAATCCTGGCAAGAAGATAAGTCAAATCAAGAACAAAATACAAAAATGATGAATGATCCTATGGGAAGTCAACTCCCCCCCCAGAGAATGAAACATTAAAAGGGAAGAATATTATATTTCCTCAAAGGATCTTAAAGAGGCAGAAAAGCATGACCAGTTTTTCTTAATAACCCCAAGTCTCCCTCCCCCAAGCAGAAACCAGCTCTGTAGAAATGCTGATGTAATAATCCATTCAGGAAGGTTGGAGTCCTCCAGCTAGAAGCTTAGGAAGACAAAGACACCTAAAATCTACATACCCCACCCAAACAGAACACAATAGGATTAACCCACAGATGCCAAAGAGGCACACTCAGACTCAGATAGAAGTACATGACACAGGAAATACAAAGCCTCAAACAGGAACAGGAAACAACTCCAAACAAAAACCCAAGAGGGTATAAAAACCCACTCACTATTACATGTGCTTCCAGAGACATCTTTCTGTCTGGCTCTCCTCTTCAATAAACTACAACCTTCTTTCTAAAGCAATTGCCATGTTGTTTATTCCCGGCTTGGATTGGACCCCGATGAAGACTTTTCCCTCAACAATCCAATACTTGAATTTCCATGTTTGGAAATTTGCTATATTCTAAGATAATAGCCATTAAGACCAAATAAAATGGTTTCACATACACTAGTAGAAGGGGCTTAATTCCTGAAGTTATATTTTATATATCAGCTTAACGGGTCTACTATACCTCGATAATATTGGGATGTTGAAGTTTTTTCAGAATAGCAATCTCCTGAGTAACTGTCCCTAGGTCAGGATCCTCCACCCAGCAGTAGTCTAATACCCTTCCTTTCCAAATGAATTTCACTACGACCTATAATCATAAAATGCAAAGGAATAATTAAAGCAAATTTGGATGGGGCAGGATAGGAAGAAGTTAAACTTTTTATCTATATCTGTTAGTGTAAGAATAAAGCAGTTTTAAAAAATATACTTAAGCTGTGCAATGGCAGTTCAAACAGGCATGTATTTTATATTTCTTGTTTTGCTTAAAGAATTCACATATCATGATGGCATGGGAAGTGCTTTTGTACATGCATTACTTTTTCCTCCCAATAATTCAGTGATTTAACAGAAAATGGTCAACTGAATTTGACTTGCTTTGTTAAAAAGATAAGCAATGCTATCTGAGTAGGCATTTACTAGTTCATGTTTTCACTTCATTATTTAGATAGGGGTAGGCAACCTTGGCTGTTGAAGTCCACAAGTCATAAAAGAGCCAAGGTTGCCTACCCCTGATTTAGACATAGTGAATATTTAGATTTAAATCAGCATTTCCCAATTTTGGAAATTTCTTGAGGTGTAGGTTTCAGTAGGCAGAATCCCTTAGTCAACATGGCCATTGCTCAGAATTCTAGGAGTTGAAGTCCATACATACATTGCCAAAGTTGGGAAACACTGGTTTAAATCAATGTAAGATTCATCACCTGCAATTTTACAGACACTGCAGCTTATAAAAGTTAGCATAAACATTCTAACATAAACTCACTGATCCAAATACTAATGCAGTAACTCCCAATATTTGTTCTTAGACAAATATAAGAAAAGTGAAGATGCCACATATTTCTAAAGATCTGCTCCTCTGAATATTTCTCAGTATTGCTCAGTTTTCTTTTCATGATAAGATATTGCTTTAATAATTACAATTATTTCCACTTTCTTTAAAAAAAATCTGCTGTTTGTTCAAATTGCAAATCTTTTCTATTTTTTTAATTTCATTTTAGATTTTTATTTTACTGATGTTTTCTGCCCATATACATACTGTTTCAGTCAGACAACATTTATTATTCTTTTTCATTTTTCTTAATGAGTCTGCAATGGGAGTTTTTCAGGTTGTCTGTGATACAAACTTAAGCTGCAGAAGTTATACTAGTCCAGACACTATTAGGAAAAAAAATGAAAAATCTCACTGAGAAATAGATTCAAATCCACTGACTCTATGGGAAAAAAAGTTTCTTCTATCAGTAGCACTGTGAAGTTGCTACTTGAAGCATATATGTATACAATCACCAGAATCAAATGCCATATTCATCAGATTATCTTTTGTGCCAAGCTCCATTATATATCTAAAATATTAACTTTAATGTGGCTCCTAAGGTTATCTTGGAATCAAATTCACAACAGTGGCTCGCAAAGTCATTTAGCTTTTTTAGAATGAAAAAAAGTGATATCTTTGAGCTTAAAGTTAATCTAAGAATTTGTTTCAACGAAGCTCTCAGTCATATATAAAGCTTCTCCCATCTCCTACCTAAAAAGTCCTTCAATAAAATGCACTAATTTAAAAAGAGCAGGCTTTTTACTCTGACAATTATTAGATAACTTGGAATCCTAAATCTCTTACTCTACTGTAAAGATCAGATTTATCAGATTTATCCATCACAATTTATCACCTATGGAAGAAAATACTATTTTCCATTTTGTCTATGGATTCTCAATCATCCAGCTCATGGTTGCCCCAATGGTGCTTTTCCAAAAGGCAACTGGACTTTCTTGGGTTTTTTCCTTGAAAATGTTTTGCTTCTCATTCAAGAAGCTGAAAACTGAAGAAGTTTCTTGTTTGAGAAGCAAACCATTTTCAAGAAAAAAAAAAAAACACAAGAAGGTCCAGTTGCCTTTTAGAAAACCACCTTCAGGACTATTTTTTATTTTAGATTTTTTTTCAATCAGATCAAATTTACTTTTCTACCTCTGAACTAAAGCTCTGACAAAAACAAAACAAAGGATACTTTTTCTTCATTTTGCAAACAAAATACAGGTAGTCATCACTTACTGATCATTCAGCAGCCATTCAAAGTTACAATCAGGTTTATGATAAGAGTAATCAGATACACAATGAGGAATACACTAGCTGTGTCAAAGGCACTCATGGCTTTTGATATGCATTCCTTATTATATGCCTGCTTTGTTGTTGTTGTTAGTTGCGAAGTCGTGTCCGACCCATTGCAACCCCATGGACAACATTCCTCCAGGCCTTCCTGTCCTCTACCATCTTCTGGAGTCCATTTAAGCTCACGCCTACTGCTTCAGTGACTCCATTCACCCACCTCATTCTTGTTGTCCCCTTCTTCTATTGCCCTCAATCTTTCCCAGCATTAGGCTCTTCTCCAGTGAGTCCTTCCTTCTCATTAGGTGGCCAAAATACTTGAGTTTCAACTTCAGGATCTGGACTTCTAAAGAGCAGTCAGGGTTGATCTCCTCTAGGACTGACCAGTTTGATCGCCATTGCAGTCCAGGGGACTCGCAGGAGTCTTCTCCAGCACCATAGTTCAAAGGCCTCAATTCTTTTGCGCTCAGCTTTTCTTATGGTCCAACTTTCATAGCCATACATCGCAACTGGGAAGACCATGGCCTTGACTATATGTACTTTTGTTGGCAGGGTGATGTCTCTGCTTTTTAGTATGCTGTCTAGATTTGCCATAGCTTTCCTCCCCAGGAGGGTCTTTTAATTTCTTGGCTGCAATCCCCATCTGTGGTGATCTTGGAGCCCATGAAGATAAAATCTGTAACTACCTCCATTTCTTCCCCATCTATTTGCCAGGAATTGAGAGGGCCGGATGCCATGATCTTGGTTTTCTTAATGTTGAGTTTCAAGCCAACTTTTGCACTCTTCTTCTTCACCCGCATCAAGAGGCTCTTTAGTTCCTCTTCCCTTTCTGCCATTAGAATGGTACCATCTGCATATCTTACATTGTTGATATTTCTCCCGGCAATCTTAATTCCAACTTTTGATTCATCTAGCCCTGCCTTTCTCATAATGTGCTCTGCATATAAGTTAAATAGGCAGGGCAACAGAATATGCCTGCTTATTCTGCTCAAATCTCTTCTTCAATTATCATTTGACTGTGGAATGCTACACAGGTAGCAATTGGTTGTAAATTGGTTATTTTTTCAGCACTGTCATAACTTCAAATGGCCATAGAACAAGTGGTCAGTAAGTAAGGACTATCTGTATTCATCCAGAGTATAAAAGAAAGATATTTCTTAATAATGCACAGAACACGTAAAATAACATAATGCACAATGGCAAGCAGCTAATACTAACATGACTACCAATTTTAAGTGAATAGCTTTTTTACCTCTTTTTGGTTCATTTTGCACTTTGCTGTCCAGACAAACCCAAAAGCTCCTTTTCCAATAAAAGTAAGAGTATCATATTTCTCTGCATAGCCTCCTTCACAAGCTTTCAGTCTTTCTAATTCTTCGGCTCTTCGTGAATTCTCAAATAAGGGTGTGGTTTTGATTAACTGCAGCAAAAAAGAATTGATGCAACATCATAACAGTTTAGTGAACTGTTACAACCAAAAGAGAAAAACAAGGAAAAATGTGGAAATATATTAAAATAATCTTTAATCTGTGGCTGTCCTAAAATTGTTGATATTTTTGAGTTACTTCTGTATTTGAAATCACTAATTAATTTTGAAATAAATTCAATTATTACTCTAAACTCAAGAGGATGCTCCTGGAAATTAGCCCAAAGCAGGGTATCAATCAAATAAATAAATAAATAATGTAGATACTATTTAAAACCATCCAAAGATTAACCAAACATGCTCCAATTTTACCAGATACCTAGTAATCCTGCAAATGTGGCAGTTTCAGTTATTAGTTAAAATGGCAACACTTTGTATCTGTCAAAATTATCATCCAATTCTGTCTGCTTTTATTAGAGATTTCTTGCAAATTATGCAAAACTGCCAAGAAATGCCTAGAATACTGATGAATGTTCTGAAATGATGAGTTGAGATTATTCTTCTATTAAAAATTCCAGATACATAACTCTATGTGCGTGTGTGCATATGTGTGTGTGTTGGGGAGGAGTACAGGGAGAATCAAAAATAGGGAAAAATCAATGCAATCATGGCATGTTACATAGATAATGGGAAAAGAGCTAATTTTAAATTCAGTAAGGCACTTCTGAAGGCTACAACATTGGGAATCTGATGTGGTAAATATATATAACATTTCAGGAAGGTTAGACTGTCTCCATATATTGTGCAGAGCAGTATCTTTGCAAAGAAACCAAAATATTATATAAATGCTCTGAGTTTCCTATCTTCTGAGTTCCTATGTTTCTTTCCAAAGAGAACTAAATCTACCCCCCCCCCAAAAAAATCTATGCACAACGAAATGGAAATGCATTTTATGTCTGTTGCAAAAGGCAACTTTTCTGAAACTTTTCAAAGAAGAAATTTGTATTGTGTTATTGTTTTAAAACAAAAACATCATCCAGGACCAATGACCAAATCTCAAGAGACCATTGTTTTTTATAGTAATAATGGCACTACTGCAGCCACTATAACATGCTCATTTATAGAATGGCTGTCCTCATCTTGCTGAGATATTGAGCAACTAATTGCAGAAACTTTAGTTTTTTTCAAACAAATTAATCCTCCCAATAAACTCTTGGGACCTGACCCTAATTAGAGGATTTTAACAGTTTAACAGATGTGAAAGTTAATTGGATTATCAATGAAGGACTAGGGCCTAGGCAAATCAATGTCACATTAAGCAGGGCATATTCCCTGGTTTGCACTGCCATCTGGTGGTCTGAATTTCATCTTTTCAGGCGCTGAGTTTTGGCCAAAACCCAGTGGTCAAGTTAAAAGCACTGACCTCTTATTGCAATACACTCCCATTCAGATTTATCTTAGCCACTTATCTAAAGTAGAGGAGCCTTACAGATTGCTTTATTGCTCACCATAGTACCAGTGGCATACATACTCATATCATTAGGATATCTGCCTATTCCAATATATTGAGCCGAGGTGGCACAGCAGTTAGAGTGCAGTACTGCAGGCCACTTTAGCTGACTGTGTTCAGCAGGTCAGCGGTTCAAATCTTACCAGCTCAAGGTTGACTCAGCCTTCCATCCTTCCGAGGTAGGTAAAATGAGGACCCAGATTGTTGGGGGCAATGTAAAATATATATATATACATTGCTTACTGGTGTACACCGCTTAGAGAGTGCTTGCACTTAAAGCAGTATATAAATCTCATAAAATAAATAAATAAATAAAATATAATATAATAATTAGGACAGTCTGGGTTTTCCGCTATTGACAATACGAAAGTGTTTTGTGAACACAAACACAAAGTCAAACATGGTACATTATTCATTAAAACAATGAATAAAGAAACAACTCCTTAAAAGAAAAAGAAAAAAGGTCAACAGAGGAGCAAGAGGTGTTTATGAGCAATAAATTAAGAATTAGAGGAGGAGCTAAATAATCCATTCTGGGGAATGCCAGGGAATGTTTTTCAGCATAAACAGTAGCATTAAAATGTAGTTCCAAGGCCCCTGCCCTTTCTAGACTATAGCAATAATTTCCTATTGGATGATTTAATCATACCTCGTAGGTTTCACTCAACATTTTATTCCTACTATCGGTTAAACAAGAATTCCTGATAACGAAGGTATGTGGACTTCATCTCCCAGAAATCAGCAGTGAGCAGGGTTGGCTGGGCCAACACTAAGAAAAACTATAGTATAATTATATAGAACTCAATATACTTACTTCTGACAAATTAACAGCTGAGACTTCATCTAATGTTTGGCAGGAACTGGCCAAGCTAGAAAGAAGTAATTGTGTCTTTGCTGCTGCTTGTTTCTGGCTTTGAAAAAAGTCTCTCATAACCCAAATACAAAATAGAGCAGCCGGATCATGTAATTCCACACGTTTCACTTCAAAGAGTATGCCTGAAAAATTATTAACCAAGATAAAAACACATAAAACATATAAAACGAGATAAAGAAAAGAAGTACAACACTTACCTGAGAATGAGATTCTTAATTTGGGGTAGAGTCAGGGCAACTGGATGGAGCTGAGAGTTTATTGACCAGATGCCCTTCTGGATGCCTACATGGAGTTTCTTTGGACCTTAGGAGAGAAACATTTGCTGCTACTTAGGATTGAACTCCCAGCCTTCTGAGTAGGAAGCAAGTGTCTTCACCACTAGGCCACTACGCTGCTCAAATTCATACTCAACAATATTATCCTAAAATAAGTCATGGCTTTAATCAGCTTTTCTGAATATTGCGTGATCTAGAGTTGCTGGGATAGTAACTGTTAAAATTCTCAGTCAACGCATATTGGAAACTACCTGGTAGGAAAGGCTAACTTTGACTTTCAAAACACCTTGAGATTTGTTCAGTGCTGTGAGTCAAGATCATTAACTAATCAGCTCAAAACATTATAAATATAAATTTGATAAAAATAAGGCAAGGTTGGAATTTTGCCTAAGGGTAGGCAGATAGCCAAATTCTTGCAAACTCTTTCTCCAGCATCCCACCAGAAATTTAGATTGTCCCCCTAGCATCTTGTGTTTTCCAAAAGCTATAAAGCTATATTTATTTTATACCTACCAACAAAATAAAATCTATAGCTGGATTGTTGTTAACTATGATTAGGGATTTTAGATTATATCTGTTTATGTATTGTTCTTAATCCAGTTGTAGTATCTGTTTAGGTATGACACTCAAGAGTATACTATGATTGGTCTATAAGGAAGGAAGGAAGGAAGGAATACTATCAACCAAGAGAAATTAACAAAATCAGATTAACATTTAGTATAGTTAGATAGTGTGTTCATAAATTTTCTTTGGTATTCAATATCCATCCCTTTCATAATAAACTCCCATTCCCTGTAGCTTTCTAAACAATATTTATTAAAGACCAGAGAGAGAAAGAGAGCAGTAACAATTGCTTCTAACTTACTGAGTCGGGAACCATCTCGGTGGTAGCAGTTACCAGTATAACTGCCTTCTAGTATTTCAGTGTTCAAAGTTGTTGGAGATAGCACATTTTCTAGTTTTACAGGAGTTGATGTTATCTGTGCCAAATGCTGCTGCTTTAATGCCAGGAAGTCTTCTTGAGATTCAACATTACTTTTTAGTGAATTAATTTCTAGATCATCCCTCAAAGTTGGTACAGCACTTTCAAGTTCTGAAGTACAAAGTATAGAGAAATCACTGTCAAAGTACTCAGAAGACTTATTAACAAACAAGTTCTTCTGACTGGCTGATGGAGAGCTACCATTCAAGAGAAACTCCAACTGATCACTTGTAATATCATTCGCCTGATCCAGGGACTGGATGAGATTTTTCGCATCTAAGGAAAGTTTTATTGGTCCACAGGCAGCACATGGGTCAGATCTCACCTCTTCACTAATCCCCAGATTCATCATTCCACAGCAAACAGAATGGTTACTACCCACATTTTCACTTCCCATAATTATAGAGGCATCATAAAGTTTCGATGATCCTCCATATACAGGAAGACTATTGCTCTTTTTTGCAGGCAGAAAAACTGAAGAATCAATAGTTGAACTTTCTAAGGAATTATTCTCAAAAGTTAAGCTAATGGTTCTATTCATTAGAGTTCTGTGTGGAATTTCATGGCTTTGCGTTGAATTAGATGCTATATTGTCCTTTGACTCATCCGGTGATGGAGTTCCAAATGAACCATGAACAGCTTCACAAGGCACATTTGCCCCAAGTTGTAATTCAGCTTTTAATAATTTTTTATCAAATGTCTCACTGCCCAGGAGAGAATGTTTCCTTCCTCTTCTTATTGTGGAAGGCTGGTACTTCATGTCTTGCAGTGAAGTAGAATCCTGTATATTCAAATTATCATTTTCTTCCTGAATTAGGTCATAAGTATTTCTGGAAAGGCAATTATTTAGTTTACTTCTATCATCTAATACATTTGATTCTGAATGATTCTGTTTTAGAGAATGTAGTTCATTCATCTGATGAATAGCAGATTTTCCAGTCTCTTTTTCAATACCATCTTCACAATATAGATTCTCAGAAGATACAGCTTCATTAGTAGCTAGCACATTATTGCTAGGTATGTGGTTTCTGCTGCAAAAAAAAAAAAAAAAGATTATTTTATTATGTTGAAGAACCCAGTATCTTTCTCACTGTGTTCTCCCATAATTTATTTGTATTCTTTCTTTGAAATGATTCTGCAAACTATTAAAGTATAATTTGTATGGCACTATAGTAAGTTTGGCTAACTGTACTCAGAGAGACAGCATTAATAGCTCAATACTGTATTTGAAAGTAGGAACCAATGACTGTTCAGGGAGATCTGTTTTAGGACCAGTATTACTCAACATTTTTATTAACAATCTAGAAAATAGGATTGATGAGTTTATTATCAAATTTGGAGATGACACAAATTGGGAGATCTGACCAACACAGAATTAGCAAAAATCACACCTCAGATAAAATGATACATTCAATATGCCAGCAAATTTGGAAAACTCAACAATGATCACTGATTGGAAAAAGTCATTTACATTCCAATCCCAAAGAAGGGCAATACCAAAGAATGTTGAAACTACTGTACAATTGCACTCATTTCACACGCTAGCAAAGTCATGCTTAAGAGCGTACTATAGCAATAGCACTTAGACTTATATACCACTTCATAGTACTTTACAGCCCTCCCTAAATGGTTTACAGAGTCAGCATATTGCCCCCAACAATCTGGGTCCTCATTTTACCGACCTCGGAAGGATGGAAGACTGAATCAACCTTCAGCCGGTGAGAATCAAACTGCCAAACTGCTGGCAGCTGGCAGTCAGCAGAAGTAGCCTACACTATTGCATTCTAACCACTGCACCACCCCGGCTCAAGCTAGGTTTCAGCAGTATGTGAACCAAGAACTACCAGAAATACAAGCTGGGTTTTAAAGAGGCAGACGAACTAGAGATCAAATTGCCAACATTCACTGGATTATGGAAAAAGCAAGGGAGTTCCAGAAAACATCTGCTTCTGCTTTATTGACTGCACTAAAGTCTTTGATTGTTGGTTGATCACAATAAACTGTGGCAAGTTCTTAAAGAAATGGGAGTACCTGACTACCCTACCTGTCTCCTGAGAATCTATATGCAGGTCAAGAACAATTAGAACCAGGCATGGAACAACGGATTGGTTCAAAATAGGGAATGGAGTATGAGAAAGCTGTATATTGTCACCCTGCTTATTTAAATTATATGCAGAGTACATCATGCAAAATGCTGGGCCAGATGAATCACAAGCTGGAATTAAGATTGCTGGGAGAAATATCAACAACCTCAGATATGCAGACAAGACCATTCTAATGGCAGAAAGTGAAGAGAAACCAAAGAGCCTCGGGGTGACTTAAGCCATGAAATTAAAAGATGTTACATCCTTGCAGAGACATCACCTTGCCAATAAGGGTCCATAGAGTCAAAGCTATGGTTTTCCCAGTAGTAATGTATGGCTGTGAGAGTTGGACCATAAGGAAAGCTGAGCGCTAAAGAACTGATGCTTTCAAATTGTGGTGTTGGAGAAGACTCTTGAGAGTCCCTTGTTCTTCAAGGAGATCAAATCAGTCAATTCTAAAGGAAATCAACCCTGATTGTTTTTTGGAAGGACAAAAGATTCTGATGTTGGGAAAGACGGAAGACAAAAGGAGAAGGGGATGGCAGAAGATGAGACGGTTAGATAGTGTCATCGACACAATGAACATGAATTTGGGCAAGTGCAGGAGACAGTGAAAGATAAGACCTTCCATGGAGTCAGAAAGAGTCAAACGCAACTTAGCAATTGAACAACAACCATTGCTACTAGACTGCTTTTCTTGTAATATTAAACTCTCTACCTTTGTTATTTAAAGAGGCTGAATCTCCCACTCCTTCCATCCTATGATATAACTTTTCCAGCATGGGAACAGTAAAACAGACTCGTGCATATGAAACCTACCTAATTAGGGATGCAGATACCACGGCAGGAGGCAGCAGAGCACAGGACACATTTCCCAAACTTTCCCGCTGGATTTCCTTTTTAGGTGGAAGCTCAGCTCCATTCCTCCCTAATTCTTGTTGTTCCTTCAGATCTGGCAAATCCATGTCTCCAACAAAGAATGAACGGGTGACTGCATCAGAAGAAAACAATATGGGCAATAATCCTTTCAGCAAAATATGCCCCAAGAGGCTCTAATGCCACTTTACATGTGAAATATGGCACGTGTAATAATGACAATTAAACACTTACCATATATCCCGGCGTATAAGACAACCCCGTCTTTATCGCCGAGCCGCATTCCTAGAACGTCGTCTTATACACCGGAAACTACCAGTATTATACGTCGTCTTATACGCCGGCATATACGGTACATATTTATAATGCAATTTAAATTTAGGAAGGAAGTTTGAAAGCTATTGATGACATGCATTCCAACTTGGGTAAATAATTTCCCAAGAAAATCTTATGTTTTAAGCCAAACAAGGTTTATTTTTTTATTTATCTTATTTATTTTATAATAATATATTATAATTAATATAGAAATTAATAGAAATATTAAATAAGTGTAATAACAATAATATAAAAAGTGGAAAGAGGGGCATATAACTAAGGCAGAATATCAGCAAATAGCCCAAGCCTGCAAAAATGAAGTGAGGAAAGCTAAGGTTCAAAATGAACTAAGGCTTGAGACGAAAGTTAAAAATAACAAAAAAAAGTTTCTTTCAACATGTAAAAAATAAGAAAAAAAGTCAAGGAAATTGGTCCATTAGTGGGAGAAAGTGGCAAGAAGGTGACAAGCAACAGGGCGAAAGAACAACTACTTAACTGTTTTTTTGAACCCATCTTTATACAGAGGGAAAAAAACTGTCCAACCTATCCAAAAAAGTACCATAAAAAACAGATTAGGAATACAAGTCAAAATAGGCAAGAAAATGGTAAAAGAGCACTTGTCCACCCTAGATGAGTTCAAATCACCAGGACGAGATGAATTACATCCGAAGGTTCTGAAGGAACTGGCAGATGTGATCTCAGAACCACTGAATTATATCTTTCAAGGATCCTGGAGCACCGGAGAACTACCAGAGGACTGGAAAAGAGCTGATGTAGTTCCCATCTTTAAAAAAGGAAGAAAAAAAAAAGATTCTAGAAACTACAGACCTATCAGCCTGACCTCAATACCTGGGAATATTCTGGAAAAGATAAACAATGAACCAACGAACACTTAAGAGGCAAACAAAGTCATAACCAAAAGCCAACATGCATTTGTCAAAAACAGATAATGCCAGACAAATCTTATTGCATTCTTTGACCAGGTGACAAAATTAGTGGACCAGAGGAATACTGTGGATATAATTTACTTGGGCTTCAGTAAGGCATTTGACCACAACCTACTACTTGATAAGATAGAAAAATGTGGGTTAGACAGCATCACCACCAGATGGATTCATAACTGGCTGACCAACTGCACTCAACGTGTAGTCCTCAATGGACTACATGGAGGAAAGTATGCAGTGGGATATCCCAAGGCTCTGTTTTAGGCCCAGGGCTCTTCAACATCTTCATCAATTATTTGGATGAGGGGATAGATGGGGAACTCATCAAATTTGTAGACAACACCAAGCTAGCAGGAATAACCAACACTCCAGAAGATAGGCTTAAGATATAGAATGATCTTGACAGACTTGAACATTGGGCACTATCTAACAAAATGAAATTCAATGGTGAAAAAAGTAAGGTTCTACATTTAGGCAAGAAAAACCAAATGCACAGGTACAATATAGGTGGTACCTCACTCAATAGTAGTAACTGTGAGAGGGATCCTGGAGACCTAATGGACAATCACTTAAATATGAGCCAGCAGTGTGCTGCAGCTGCCAAAAGCCAACACAGTACTAGGCTGCATTAACAGAGGGATAGAATCAAGATTGCATGAAGTGTTAATACTACTTTATAATGCCTTGGTAAGTTTTGGTCACCATGATGAAAAAAAGATGTTGAGACTCTAGAAACAGTGCAGAGAAGAACAACAAAGATGATCAGGGGACTGGAGGCTAAAACAGAATAGTTGCTGGAATTGGGTATATCTAGTTTAATGAAGATAGATAGATAGATAGATAGATAGATAGATAGATAGATAGATAGATAGATAGATAGATAGATAGACAGACAGACAGACCTTTATTGTCATTTTCATTAAAAATGAAATTTAGTTGCTTGCTCTCAAAGTGTACACATACATAACAGACAAAGTGTACACTTAACACAGAGAGAGACGTACTGGGATGACATGATAGCAGTGTTCCAATATCTCAGGGGTTGCCACAGCGAAGAGAGAGTCAAGCTATTCTCCAAAGCACCTGAGGGCAGGACAAGAAGCAACGGATGGAAACTAAGTAACCTAGAACTAAGAAGAAATTTCCTGACAGTTAGCATCAGTGGAATCACTTGCCTCCAGAAGTTGTGAATGCTCCAACACTGGAGTCAACATTAGAAATGTTGCAGCTAAATAGGGAGTTGGCTGAATCTATTGCTTTTCTGGAAATGAACAAAGCTTCGTTCTTTCTAAAATTTCAAAATATTGTAGAGGAAAAGGAAGAAGATTTGGGAGAAAAGATGGCAGAGATGTTGGCGGAGATTTTAGGCAAAGAAAAACTGGAAGTAAGAAGAGACATAGATGAAATATATAGAGTATATACAAATTATGCACGAAGGCATAGATTGGCAAGAGATGTCCATATAAGGTTTACTAGAAGATCAATAAGGGATGAAATATATAAAAAAACAAGAGACGAACCAATAATATATAAGGGTAAAGAAATAATTGTACTAAAACAAATACCACGTAGTATACGAAATCAGAGACGAGAATACCAATTTTTAATGACTCAATTAATTAAATATAAAGTCGTTTCGTTAGTTAATACCTGAAGGCATACTTTTAACTTGGCAGGAAAAAAAATACAAGATAGATACACTTGAGAAAGTACAGGACTTTTATGAGAGTTACTTTTCACAAGGAGAAGAACAAGAAAGTAGGGAAGAGGTGGAGAGTAAAAGTTACGATGAAGATTTATTAGAGGAAGTTGATCGAAAGCGAGAAATACAAAAGTTACATGAAAGAGAAAGGTTAGAAAGAGAAGCAAAAGGAAGACTTATAGAGAAAAGAAGCATAAAAAATAAAAGATAAAAAAATAGATCAAGTAAAAAATGGGAGACGTAATTAAGCTCTTTTCTGTAAACATTAATGGATTAAATATATCAAGAAAAAGAGTTTAAAGGTTTAACAATTTAAGGCAGTGGTTCTCAACCTGTGGGTCGGGACCCCATTTGGGGTCAAACGACCATTTCACGGGGGTCACCAAATAACGCAGTCCACCATTTTTTTCCCCCTTTTCCTTAACTGTGCTACTCCCTTTTATTCTATTGGCTTTTGAAAGCCAATAGAATAGACTCTCTTGAATAGAGTCTAATTCTATTGGCTTTCAAAAGCCAATAGGAATTGTCCAGGCTGTCTCTGCCCTGCTGAGCCCGCCAAAAGTCCCATTCTGCAAACGGTGCTGCACCAGTTGAGTAGTCCTCAACTTACGACTGGTTGAGTAGTCCTCGACTTACGACCGGTTGGGGTCGCGGCATTAAAAAGGTTGAGAACCACTGATTTAAGGAAATTGGATGTAGATGTGATGTATCTTTAGGAAGTTTATATAAAATAGGATTATAGAAAACTACTAGAGAAAGTAAAATTTAGAAATATTATACATAATATTAGCATAAAACAAGAAAGGAGGAATTATTATATATGTCAAAGAAAAAATAAAATAAAATCAATATATTTGGATGAAAAGGGATAAATTTTAATGTTGGAAATAGTATTAGAGCAAAAACAGTATATGCACTAAATAATAATTAACATGAATCTTTTTTAAAAAAATAAGGTATATAAGAAGCTAGTGGATTTGGACTATGAGAATATTTGTATGATCACCAGGCCTAGATGGAATCCCGGTCGAGTCTTATAAAAAATACGAGAGTTACTACAATGAATAATGTTGGAAATTTAAAATGAGGCGTTGGTAGAGGCAATATGTGTATAATAATGTATAATAATAATAATATGAATTATTCCTAGTAAGTAGTAGAATATGAAGGAAGGAAAACGTAAATAAGAAACAATGGGGCAATAAGGACAAATATTTCAAAGAAGAATGAGGGGGGAAATGTAAATAATAGAAGAGTACTGTTACAAATTGCTGTTAACAAAAAAGGATATATTATGTGTGTATGTGTGTAATGTTTTGCTGTGTTTTGTTTTGTTGGTCTAAAATAAAAAAATTAAAAAAAGAAATGTTGCAGCTATGTAGTAGATGATCTGATTTATATTTGTTTGCATTACAAATAAAATCCTTAAAACTAGTAAATGTGAAACCCACGTTACTTCGTGTCAACTTTTTCTAATTAAGTCTAGATATACAATTCTCAGAATTATCTGTAGCCTGGTTCCATTGGGGATGTAAATTTAAATAATCTCCTTCTTTGTACAGGTAATCATTTACTTATGACCACAATTGAGCCTAAAATTTCAGTTAAGGAATTTTGACCCATTTGACCTTTTTGCCACAGTTGTTAAGTAAATCACTGCAGTTAAGTTAGTAACATGGTTTTTAACTTCCCCATTGGCTTTGCTTGTCAGAAGGTTGCAAAAGGTGATGACATGACCCTAGGACACTGCAAGTCATAGATGCATGCCAGTTGCCAAGCATCTGAATTTTGATCACATGGCCATGGGGAATTGGGGATGTTGCAATGGCTATGTAAAAAAAGGCTATATATCCCTTTTTTCATTGCTGTCGCAATTTTGAATGGTGACTAAACAAATGGTTGTAAGTTGAGGACTATCTGTAATCTATTCTTATATAACAATACTAAACCCTTTATTTTTAGTCAGAATTGTCTTTTAATGCAATTAGAGCTCACTGACAATCACCCTGCATTATATATCTCAAAGATACATTCTGATTCTAATATTGATGACAGTTCCCAATATCAAGAGTGCAACTACAAGTCAGTCTCCATATGAAAAAAAATCTTTTTATAAATGGATTTGCCTTAGAGAAATAAAATAAAAAGTAGGAAGTTAAATCCTGGATTATTTATAGATTAAATTAAATTAGATGCCCTGAAATCAATAGAACATAGCCATGACTAACTTAAATCCCAGTATTATTAATTTATATGTTCTGAATACAGTATGTTAACATTCTACCATTATAAAATCTGATGCCAAACACAATCTATTAAAAACATTATTTTGGGTGAACAATGTTATCTGTGAATAAAATTTACCTTTCCCAATAACACATCCATCCTTCTGCATTCCTTCGGAGGAATTCGTGTTTTCTGCATTCACATAGCTTTCTCTAGATTGTGGGAGTTGCAAAGAAGAATCAGTCTTATCCATGTTCTTGTAAAATCCAGGAATCAAGAATGTGATATTCTATAATAGAAAATGAGAAATTATAAAATTCATCCCTTTCCTCTTTTTCTGTGGCAATTAATAGTAACCAATTCTTTATTTTTTTTAAAAAAAACAAACATGTACATAGAGTGCTACTGTAAAATGCAACTTGCTGCTGGAAACTTAAAAGTGAAGTTTTCCCATCCTTTAACTAAAATGAAAAAAATATTTTGAGTAATTTAATTACCAAATACCTGGTATCAAAAACAGTCTTTCCCAATCTTAAACTCAGATTTTATCTACCTATATAGCTCATCAATCTCTGGCCATGGTTGTAAAAAAAAAATTGAGTGCTCAAGAATGAACTGCTCTAAATCAGCGGTCCCCAACCTTTTTAGCACCAGGGACCAGTTTCATGGAAGACAATTTTTCCACGGACTGGGGGGGGGGGAGAATGGTTTTGGTTTTGCTCACTCACGCATCGCTCACTTCCAGCTGTATGACTGGTTCCTAATAGACCATGAATCGGTACCAGTCGGTGACCCAGAAGTTGGGGATCCCTGCTCTGCAATTAAAGGCATGTCAAAATCCCCAATATTTATCAGCACTAATCAGTTTCCCAATTTAATGGGCCTCAAATGAATTGGACTCTAATTTGTAGAAATTCCAAACACCATGGGATTAGACAATGGATAATATGAAATACTAGAAATCTGGTAATTGAAGCTAAATATATTTTTGAAGAGGATATCCTTCTAGGAAAGACTGTACTTTACAAAAACTTTTTCTGTAGAGAAATATAAGATTTTTACCTTGCCTAATAGTTCTTTCTTCTCATAACCAAAAAGCATTAGGGAAAACGTATTGTTAATCCCATAAATTGTGCCATCTGCCTGAATGGTTACCAATCCACTGATAGTTGTGAACACCCAGATGGAAGCACAGAAACAACAATCTATTGGTAAAGATGTGCTGTTTTCCAAAGCTTCAGCATCCATAGCTGGTGGAGGGTCATCTGATACTGAAATAACTTCATCAACAGGAGGATTTACTTTCAGTTTCAAGCTGAGAGGGAATGTGGTTCCTTCCCTTGATCGACCAACAGATCTCTGAATTTTGATATTCTGAAAGAAGAAAGCTATAATCATATAACAATGCAAATCTAAGCTACTAAAATTTCCATTGACAAAGGCTAGAAAATGAAGAGTAAAGGTTTCAAATTACTATACAGTTAAAGTTAACCCAAACATTATTTTATGTAAAAATCTTTCCATTCTTTCATTCATTTATTCATTCAAGGCAATAATTGTCTATAATAAACTTAATGTACCTTTGGAATTTTTTTCCCAGGTGTAGGAAGTTGGATAGAAGGTATCAAATCTTTTATGTAGTGACCAATCACATCTTCTGATGATGAATATCCATGAAGGTGAGCAAAAAGGGGGTCACAAGAAGTAATTTCTCCCTTAATATGAGAGTTCAACATAATTTGTATTATAAATTCTAGGCATTCAGTTCTAAAGCACTGATTTTATAGCAGTATTAAAGTGATCAAACACAATATAGTTGGGCTGTTGATTTAGGGGATAGAGCCTAGAAAAACCACTTTGGGACAGATGAACTTCCACACTGATTCTATATCCTGCAATGTCTAATTTTTACAGTAATTTTACTTAAAATATTTATATCATGACTTTCTAGAAGAGGGCAATAATAACATTTAAAGAAAAAAGTCTCATTTACTTCCATGAATCATAGACATATTTGTTACAACTGCTTCACATCAACAAACATCAAGATAGCTGTATAGCTATCAAATCATTTATTTAAAGAATTTCAGTTCCACTGCACTATTTCAGGAACAATGGTTCTTGTGTACAATTATAAGACAACTAAGCACATTCCTGTTTTTTTTTTCTTTTATAAAGTTGCTAACATGAGGTTTGACATCCATATTAAAGGGCAAGCTTGTTTCTGTAATTTCCATTCAATTATTTTGTGGTTTACTCACATTACTTTTGAAGAAAACGGAAGCAGAGAGTCTTTCCACAGGCTCCAAAACAACAACACAGTACTGACTGCAATGGCCTTTGATTTTTCTTGTCCATATAGTGACAGGGATCTTTTCGTTATTTTGGGAAATGGCATCTACCTGGTGATAAAATACATGTTAGCTTTCTAAATTGCAGGTTTATACAGGCCATCTGGAAGCACTGTCTTTTAGAATGCGTTTCTATACTTCATCCATATTTAATGTTAATGAATATATGCACTGATATTTGTAGATATGAATTTTCATTAATTATATGAAAATTACTTTAGCAGGTTTTATCAAAGCAGTTTTATTTCCAGATGACTACACCATAATTAACTTTGTATATAAAAGTTTGCCATGGCTATCCAAGATTTAAGATGCTTGGGTGATGATATTTATATCCTGTAGATGATTTAAGACATATCCTGCAAGGAATTATATCAAAATTGTACATATTTGAATAGCAGTTTTTGAATATTTTAAGTCAATAGTTCTCAACCTTTTCCTCACCATGGAACCCCTTTAAATACCTTTTGTGGATACATGATTTATATTACAGCATTTCTTCAAGACTTCGTGGATCCCCTGTGACATCACAGCCCCCCAGGGATCCGTGGACCAATTTGAGAACCACTGTTTTAGATTAACTATACATAAATTCACAATAATTATCACTACAAATCTACAAATTATCATCAGTAATATTATCCCACTTCAAATTTATCAGAGAAGCAAGTATAATGTGAATTAAGTCAGGTACAAGCAATAACAATTAGGAATCTTAAGATTAGTTAAGGAAATTATAGGTAATGGAATCCAGGCAGCCAACTGCCAAAACATTTTGATGAAGAGCAGACAAGGAAATGCATTTATCTAAACAGAATGTGGAGGGAAGTAATGACACTTAATGTATAGATTATTGCCACAATTTAATGCATATTTTATTCAACCATTTTAGTACTGATGGCAGCTAATGGCAGAAGACAGGTATGCTTTGGGTCTATTTAAATCAAGCTTCGTAGTTGCCTTTTCATATAAAACTATCCCACTATTTCTTCTTTGATGTATTATTATAGTCAGAAGGGATGTGTCTTTCTTCTTGGAGAGAAGATATAGATGAACAATTACAGCATGCACTAATACAATGGGAAAAATTAGTCCTTCAGAGAGAACAATATGTAACTACAAGGCTTGATTGTGTACAAAAGTGGTTAAGAAAGTAAGAGTTTCTAATTGGGCTTTCCTGTTTAAAGGTTAAGAATAAATGTATGGAATCCAGGGAGATTTATTTCTGAGTAAGCAGGATGAACAGGACTGAATATTTTAGGCATATTAGTTAGCATAAAATAGAGTAAAGATTTCCAGATTGACCAATTTCTATTATATCTCTTACTGCATATAGTACACAAGTCAGAGACTAATTCCTCTTATTGTGGAAAGTTTATGCAACAAGTATGTCCTTCAGATGCCACAAGAATTTTTATTGGTTTTGTAGGGACACAGTTTACATCTTACATTTCTGACTAATATATCAAAGTAAATGTAGCTCTATGTATATGTAAAATTCTCAACAAAATAGCCAGTTTTTCAACTTGCTTGGTAGCACTATTTTTAAAAGCAAATTGATCTGCTATAGAAAAACTAGGGAATTTAATGTTCACAGTGAAATGCAGAAAAACAGAACAAGCCAATTCTGTCTGATTGTCATCAGTAGAGAAAGATTAAAAAAGGTTTGTTTTTCTTATGAACTACTCATGCTTCTTTATCAAAAAGGATCACATTATTTAAAAATAATTATTTAATATAGCTAATTCTGAGGGTATGATATATTTGTTAACAGTCTAGATTAGAGGTCCCCAGCCTTTTTGGTTTGACGGCCTGGAAAGGGAGGCAAGCACTGTTACGCGTGCGTGTGCACGCACAAATGGGCCGTGTGTGAGCCCATGCGCAAACAGGGCCACATGAATGCGAATGCCACAAATGGAGTGATGCTAGCGCCAGTGGGATGCTCGGCACAGTGTTAGTGTCAGAGGGACGCTCAGGGTGGCACCAGTGCTGGCAGGACTTTTGGAATGGGGCGGCCTAGCACTAGTGGGACAATCGGGGCAGGGTGGCACTAATGCCAGGATGCTCAGCGCGGTGTTAGCGCCGGTGGGATGCTCAGCACAATACTGGTGCTGGCAGGACACTTGGCATGGGGTGGTACTAGTGCAGTGGGATGTTCGGGGCGGCGCTAGCACCAGCGGGATGCTCAGGGCGGCACTAGTGCTGGCAGGATACTTGGCACAGGGCGGTGCTAGCGCCAGCGGGACACTTAGGGTGGGGTGGCGCTAACGCCGGCAGGATGCTCAAGAAGGCTCTAGTGCTGGCGGGATGCTCAGGATGCTGGCACTGAGGGACACTCGCAGCGGCACTAGCACAAGTGTGGAGGATGAGTGCAAGCACACACATGCGTGCACTGGCCATACCTTCACACGGCCTAGTGGCCACGGCCCAACAGTGGGCCATGGCCCACAGGTTGGGGATCCCTGGTCTAGATGAGTATTAATCACAGATATATGTCCTCTTGAATTATTTGTGCTCTGGTGATAATAAAAAAAATCAGTATCACATTGTATGTACTTACAATACATGATCTCCTATGTACAGTATATTTAAGCACATTCAGACTTTTCTAGCACGACAGAGAAATACTAAACAAAGGCACATTATCTTTACTACATGCCTGATGTATATATAAAGCAAACACATTGTTTTACTTCTATTATAGCTTTAGAAGTTTAAATGTCAAACCTTTAAATTCTTCATCAATAAATCTGAACATAGGCAAATCTATATTGAAACAAACAGGATTACTATAGATTCCTAAGGCTTCTGTGATAGAAAAGCAATTGAAATACTGATAAGCATATTTCTGGTATAAGATATTTAATTGAAATCACGCACCACTGTTCCTGGAATTACTGGTCCATGTTCTTCAAGATCAGTATACCCTTTTTTCAGACCTTCTACAATATCCCAGTTGGATTTTGAAATCATTTCAGATAATTTCCGTCCAATCATTTCCTGGGCACTATATCCAAGAATCTTGCAGGCTTTATCATTTGCAACTAGAATCTAAAAAAAACAAACAAGAAAAATTCTCTTCTGGTGGACTTTGAAACTAAGCATAATTGGGCTTTTTTTATATTTGGATAGGGGACCTCCAAGAAATACAGATACAGTACATTAGTTTGATAAGGCAAAACTATTCCAGAAGCAAATAGTAGCAAATTATTTCCATATTATAGCATTTCTTCAAGGTTTCGTGGACTCCCTGTGACATGACAGCCCCCAGGGATCTGTGGACCAATTTGAGAACCACTGTTTTAAATTAAAGATTCATAAATTCACAATAATTATCACTACAAATCTACAAACTATCATCAGTAATATTATCCCACTTCAAATTTATCAGAGAAGTAAGTATAATGTGAATTAAGTCAGGTACAAGCAATAACAATTAGGAACCTTAAGATTAGTTCTTTGTTTATTCAAAAGTAACAGTAATTGATAAATCTGATATTATATAAATCATTAGCATGTACAATAGATTTTAAAATAAATTAAAACTATATTCTAGTTTAGCATGCTGTGTCAGCCTAACTTTAGTTCATGATTTGTTTAGTTCATGGTCCAGAATTTCAGGTGAATTGGGCTGAATTAATCACTGTTAACTACGGGTAACATGAACATACGGTAATCTTAATAGTTTCTAGATAGAGTACAAGATATATCATGAGATGAACTTCAGTAATTATTGCTTATCATGTACATTTATGTTCACATATCTAAATATAGCTTGTTTATTGAACTAATAATAATTGGATGAATTTGTAGCATATACTAAGCCCAAGTCAACTGTGTAGCATAATATGTGAATCAAGTCACAGAATTTTTAGCCTACACTATTTTGCTCAGATGGTTTATTTATAAAATTAAAAATCAGTACTTATTAACATATCATTGCAGTTTTGTTTACAAACATGTCTTCAGTAGGTACTACAAGCTTAAATAACCACCAAATGCTAACAAATGAGTAATCAGACAACTGCAATTTTATGGGTGTTAAATCCAGGCAGTAGCATTTTGGTAAAAATACTTAATTGGCTTTTAACAATGAAGTGGCATGCCAACTATAGTTATTAACAAAGTAAAGCTAGCCCCATTTTAGTTTCAATTTTTGTACAGAGCTAGTTATAAATGTGGCACAAATTACTCCAAAATATCTATTATTGAAGAAATAAAAATTGACATGGATCTTATTCCATTTTCAAAATGGATTTGTAACAGATCCTCTGTTCCAAAATTAAATATATGAAACCTTCTCTAATTGCTTTTCCAAAGAGAACTTTCTAATGGTTAACTTAATATTGATGGGGAAAAAATTCTTAATATATCTTGTATATCATAAAAAGTTATAAGATTTACAAAGTGTCCTTTGAGAAGTATGAAATAAGATCTAATATTTTCTGCCCCTAATTATACATTCTACAGTATAATTAAATCAGTATTGTACAATGAGACCATAAAAGATGTGCTTTTTTTTTAATCTTTTCCCAAAAATTTTATTCCTAATAAAATTTGTGTACAAAAATCCCTAATAAAATTTGGGAATTATTCAAATGATTGTGGTACAATACATTCTGTAAATACAAGAGAATTTCATGTCTATAGAACCTGTATATATACACCAGTGACATTAAGCAAATCCATTTAGTACCTCAGTTGTTCTAACATCCACAGTGAAGATAGCTTTGTTTGGGTTACGGATACTACTTGACAGTGCCTGAATGGATTCTCCCCAAGTCAGTGCATTTAAGAGAGAACAAGAAGAGGTGCTGCATATGGAACAACAAAGGGAAGCAGTTTCCAAATGATCCCAAGAGTTATGAAGTTTGCCAGTGCAAATATTCCGGGCAGCTAATGAAGATAAGCAGTAGGAATTCCATCCATTTTCTAAGAACAAAAAGAAAAAAACATAGATGCAGAAAATATTAGAATTACAGCTTTCAAGACAATTTTGCAAAGTATCAACGTTATTAAAAACAAAATGATAGGAAAACATTGTTCAGACATAAATTAGGTAGAAAGTTTAGCAAGAAATGTTTGCCTCAGTTAATACCTTAAACCAGGCATATCAAACTCACGTCACGTGACATATTGCAACCTTTTCCCCATTGCCGGCAATGGGGTGGGCACAATTTCGGCATGACGCATCCGGCCCGCAGGCCAGCAGTTTGACATGCGTGCCTTAAACAGACAAAAATAACAGGACCGCCAAAAAGCACTATCAATACATCTGTGATTTAAAAATAGTTATTTGCTTGTTTGTTTACATTTCCTGTTTCTAAACTGCCTATCTCCTTCAGATCTATTTACACTCAGTTTCTTATATTCTCTAGTTTCTACTCCTTCGAAATGCTTTAGACAAGGCATTTAATGCATAATTGAATTATAGCATTATTCATAGTTTAGAAAGAATCCAGAAGTTTTCTACTGTATTTATAATCCTTCAGTCTTTTCCCAACCACTGTTATTTTCTTTCTCCAGAAAATCTGCTAAGAAAGAATATCTTCTGTTCAGTAGTTTTAATTAACAATTGATTTATATTCGTTGCTAAACAAAGTAATCAATCACCTGACAAAGATGTTTTTTTCTTACACAGCCTTGAAAGCCAACTCTTCCTTTTCTTATTTGTCCAGGGAAAAGATTTGCTCAGTTCTTCACAGATCCCAGGCTCAGTCACAGAGACAGAAGGGCCTGAAATGATTTCTTTAGAAGTTATATACTCCTTATCTGTCATGCTTGTAGGTGAACTATAGGAAGTTCTTCACAGAAACTCCAGGCTCTGAAACAGAACAGCATGTTATATCTAGGACTGGACATATTCTTTCAAATCAGCAAGATTCTGAGGTATTTATAAAAAGGAGATGTCAACGCTGCTAATATTGAATATTCTTGCTTTGACAATATATGCAGAACTACTAGTAGAGTTGAATTGCCAAAATAGCAAGCAAGTAGTGCTTCTGACACCACTTTTCAGGAAAAGAAAATAAGAAAAATAGTAAGCATAGCAGAATACAAAACCATAGGAAAAGAAGAATTAAGATATGCCTGAAAATATCATTCATTGCGAGTTGTATAATGTCAGAAGACAAAGAAAGCATGCGTTCAGGTTAATTCCAACTTAGCACAAAATTCATTACTAAATTTGTATTCATTTTCTAAGCATCCCAGCCAGGAATTTGTAGTGGGGCAGGGACTCCATTTCCCAGCCAGGAATGCATAGTGGGGCAATGACTTCAAAGATAGTTACAATCTGGAAAGAGATGGAGAATGGCACAGAGGTAATGCATTTGGCATCTCAACTAGTTTCTACTAACCTGACAAAGGTGAAGACCCCGAGGAGCAATTGGACAACTTCTGTCAGGAAAACACTAACACAAATGGAACTGTTTTCAAGTGCAAGTGTGGTTAGTTACACCAGAAGGCTCCTCGACAAGCGCAGGAGATGCCTCTTTGTGGCTGCTCTGATGGCTGCTAAACTAAGAAGGAGCAGCTCGGCACACATATGCTGATAGGATCCCTTTCATTGTATCATACGAGATTTTCTTTGATGCTAAAAACAAACCATAGAAGAGTTCCCACCTCCCCCCCTCGAGTCATCAGAACGACTCTACTCCTGCGGAATAATTTACCCAACTGCCTGCCCGAGGGGAGAAGTGTTCAGTCCGAGCCAAGTAGGCGGGGAATGACTACCCAGTTACATGAGGAGCCAAGCAACGCGACGGAACTAGAAGCCGACAGTTCGATAACCCAATCAATTCTGAGGGGTGGAATTTCCACGACGTTCAAAGACAAAAAGATCCCGCGCAAATTGTTGCTAGGGACGCGCGACAAGCGGGTTCTGTTCGGTAGAGCACAGAGGAAACTCATCCATTCAAATCTTGCCCGTATATTTCATCTCTTTCCCAAGAAAAAGGGCGGTATTCTTAACTATCCGTAGAGGGCTTATTATTTAATCTATTACAGCGTAAATAATAGTCGTGGCATTTTATAGTCTAAAAATATAGCTTAAACTATCGTGGAGCCTTATCCACTTTCTCTAATAAAATTAAAAGAACCATATCATATTTTTCAAAAAATTACAACATTGATTTTCTAGCCTTTCTAATAAAGACTCGAGATGTAATTGAGAATTTTTCACTGGGAATTTTCTTCCAATAATAAATAGTTTAAAAGAACAAAAGCATCCATAAAAAAAGTGGGGGGAAGGCTCCAAGTCAAATTCATTTCTTGGTGATTTTGTGAGCACATGACACAGCTTACTTAGTAATAATTGGCAGGTTGTTTGCCATTACCTTTCTCCTGGATTCCCCCCCCCCCAATTTAGTCAACATCCCTGTACCCGATTATCTTTCATCTAGGCCGCCACTGCTTCATTCTGAACTTAGACAAATGAGTAAAATGCTATCAGCTTCCAAAATAAGTTGTGTGTATATATGTTTACTTCTGTCATGTTCTCATCATACTCTAAATAAGTAATAAGCTTCCAAAAAATGCTGCGGTATGAAATTCTGGGGACCACTTCCAGAAAACTATAATTGGACCAATATTTCATTTACTATGAGTCAGCTTCTATGTTTCTTTTAATCCAGTACTGAATCATACTAGAACTGTTGTAAAGATCATTATTTTTTTAATCCACTCTTAATTATTTAATTCTTCAGATGAATTAACTTTTGGATGTAATACAACATGGTTATTTATTTCTTTTTTCCCTTTTCTGCATAGAAAATAATACATTTTAAAGTACTGAAAAGCAAACAAACTTAAATACATATAAAAATTAGATACAGGGTTGTCATGTACTTCCAATGTTTATTTTTAAATATTCAAACATACCTTAGTGTTCATAAATAGATTGCTTGATTAAAACCTCAGAAGCAGCACATTTTAGATTTGCAACAATGTTTAGATCATCTATCCAAATGGATTTTAATTACAGGGGTGGTTTTCCATTGCTTTCTTCTGTGCAGTACGAAACAATGCCTTTGCTGTTGTCACTCAAGTGATCATCTGCTTCAAGCATTTTCCTGTATTCTTGTTGCCCAATATGGGAGCCTCTTGCTTTAGCTGAGCAACTGTGATGGTTTTCACCACTGCTGGGAATATATATTGTAGTAAACACTTCCATGGTTCTTCATCATGCCTCCTCCTTACCACAATGAGGCAGCACAACAGGGCTGAAGGACCAGGTTAGGGACAGATCATCCTGGAGAAAATCCCTCTCTGTTGTTGTGATGAGCCCCACCAACTTGATGACACATAATCATCATTAGTCAATTAGGGTTCAAAACAAACTCCCATTTTTCTACCATACTGGAAACCTCTCATCCTAAATTTTACGTATGTATTTCAAAACAGTTCTTTTCCATTTCACACTCCAACTAAAATTTCCCCTTCAAACAGGGCTAGCTCGATCATAAAGGTTGATTTGTAAATTGCCATCACATGTAACTGGCATATCAACTGCCATATCAAAAGCAAAATGCAATTATTGGGTGTTAAGTTCCTTTCTACATGATAAAATTAACTCCAAGATGACTTGCCTTCTACAGCATGCAGAAAACCAATTGTACTTATTAGCTTTTCTCCAGACAGTACAGACTTACCACTAGCTTCATACATCACACCAATTCATTATGTGGCCGCTTTGATTTTTGCTTAGTATGTTATGCAAATTGTACCTAGCCAATTGTGACTTAGTACGAAACATGGAACCAATCATAGTGTGTAGACTAGAGAAAGGGATTTCTCACTGTAGTATCATTTACTAAAAACATAAGATTCAAGTCAGGCTCAAGTTCCGATAACTAGATGATCATGTCCATATGTTTTTTATGCTGTGGTGTTTTGCAGTTGCCTTCTTCCAGGTTGGTTTTATTTTATTTCTTACTTCTAGTGTATAGATTACTTGATGGTTATCTATCCAGGTACTACCAGTATAAGTATCAGTCACTGTTTAGCTGCAAAAAAAGCAAATTACAAATGTCATTGTCAATTTTGAAAAACTAATTGTTAAGCATTCACAGGAAGGGGATAGAATAATTTATTTTAACTTTTTCAAAATGATTGATGTAACAGATTTATAAAATGTTACAATACATTGCTTAAATAAAAGTTAGGGTTTTTTTCTGCCATCACAATATCTGTGGCATTAATATCAATAGCTAGCACTGTAGCAATGATGAATGATATTAAATTATTCATGTACTGCATGAGATATTTGGTTTTTTAAGTCTCAGAATTTATTAGTTGCTGGGGAACAGCAGTCACAAAGGTCTATTTTTCTGTTATGCAGAGGATTGTTAGAAGCATGAGGCTGGATCTTCCACTGGATACAGCATGATTCTTCTATGTTTAAATGACATTTAGAAAAGAAAACGATGTAAACAGAATATTTTTTAAAAAAAATCCATAGTGGACCACAAAAATAGATTATAGAGAAAATCCAATTATCTGGCAAAGGAAAAGCAGCAGCTTTCCACTAAAGGGGTCCAAGGATAGATAAGACACTAGAATAATAGCCTTTTTCTCTATCGTTCTATTTTATTACTACCGCTCTCTTTTTTTCTGTCTACTAGTTATTTCAGTTAATTTCCAATTAAATGGCGAGAAGGGCAGTACATGAATTACGATCACGATACACACCACACACAGACACAGAGCTTTCCTGAAATTCTTCTGCTCGTTCCCTTGGCAAGTTAACGTCTCTGAGAAAAAACTATATTTCCCAGGGAGCTACGGGGCTAGACGCAGGCGCATAATGTCATTGGTATCTCTGCCGCGAAGCTGATTCTGGGATTGGCTGGAGGAGAACCCGATTCCGTTATTCATTGGCTATTTCAGTGCCATGTCCGATGCCGGAAGGAGGAGGGAGCGGGAAGCGTTATGGCGACGACGACGACAACGACGACAGCAGAGCCAGAGAGTGGGGAGGGCGCTCAAGAGATGATGGAGGGTGAGAGACCGGATTGTAGCGCGCGATGTCCGAATCTAGGCTAGGATTGGCTCGGTTCCGCTCAGCGACTATAGAGAAATAGGGGACGCTAAGGTTTGGGAATGCTGGCCTTAATGTGGGAGAGGGAGATGCCGAAGTATTGGCGGGGCATCTATTAAGGGGATGATGAGCACAGTGGGCAGTGGGAGAAACCTCCGGGGAAGCGTTTTGGGAGAGGGATGTTGTAAGAAAAAGCTGAGGGCTGTTTCCCGGAGTCAGAATTGCTGTAGGGTCTCGTAATCCCCAGCTCCACCCTAATTCACCAATTAAATCAGCTCTTTTTACTTTCCTGCAAATTGCCAGGTTTGGCCGCTACTGGCATGGCATACAAAGCAAATACACGTTGTTATCATTATCTGTGAGATGATGATGCTGGAATAAGAGATTGATAATTTTGAGAGAAGAAGTATTTTATAAACCCTAACTTCCAGTAGCTCAGATGTCACCACTGACTCAGTGCAGGAGTTTTTGACGTTGATGATTTAATCTGCCACTGACTCATCAAACTTCATTTAAATCCCACTTTTTATTCACATCAAGATTTCTGGACTTCCATATCGTTCACTCATGCCTTAACTTCAATTTAGCAGTAATTTCCTGCTAAGTGTTATCTTAAAGAGAGAAAGGGTACATTATATCAATGACAGCAGTATAGGATGAACTTGCAACATGAATTACTGTTATAAATTTACTGTCGTGGGAGTGGTAATCTCACTGCCTGCTGTGGATTTGAGTAGAGTTTGTAGCAACCTAATCTAAATTTATCCACAGCAAGAGGGTTTTATTTGCATTTGTCAGGAGGTACATCTAACTTCAGGAATGGGAATCATGGTTTTGTGTTGCAGGTTTTATTTTGTTGCTGCTTACAGAGCAACAAAATAGTTTTATTAAAGCTATTTTTATACAACCTCTTTTTACTATTCATATTGTAGCTCCTCCAAATTTGAAGGAAGGTGTGTAACATATCCATAAGGAGACCATCCCCTACTCCTGTTCGATGCTTCCTAGACATCAGTGATAATAAACCAAAAGTACATCATATACTATTCATATTATCTTATATGAATTGACTCTGTACAGTCAATTATTCTGTTTCTTATAAAATGAGAGATGATGCTGACAGAATACCTAAAAATGCCCATATACTTAGCAAAAGATTGTTCTTTAATGTAATGTAATGAATTAATAATTGAGGAATTTTGTCTGGCAACTTCTCCTTATAGAGGTGAATTTAAATATTTTCCAAGTAAGTGAATCTATCTGTGCCAGAAGTGTAAGGTATGTATAGCAAGTCTAAATGGTGTGCATGGGGCTCATATAGAAAAGTGTACTTTGAGTAGCAATACATAATAATCTGGAACATAATGCAAGTACTGCCACAGATGCAGATAGGGTGCAAACTGAAGAATGGAGCTGTATAGTTCTTGTGATATTTTCAACATTAAGTAAATGGCTTACCATTCTTGAGTGTGGTTGTTACTACCTGTCATTGTTGAACTAAGGTTAAGCTGTCCATCTGATTTCATACTGAAAAGGAAGTTGTCAAAGGAGATTAAAATGTTGTTGGCTGGCCTGACAAGGCTTTTGTGCCATGCTTTTTACGTATCTGAGTACAGTACACAAATAAACTATACCAGAACTGCAGTAGCTCACTCACTGTAGATTAATTCTTGGGCATCTGATAAAAATTCAAGTTTGGGGCCCTTTGGGGGCCAAGAACTGAGGTAAATATATATTGACCTAGGATGGAAAACCCTGTGAAAACAATCAATCTCTTTGGAGCAGTTTAGGATATAAAGTTCTGATTTAAAGTTCTCTTAATAACTTGGCACATTTAGTGCAATTACCTAACTTTCACTGTGACATTCTATGGAAGCAAACATTGAATTTAAAGAAACGGGATAGGAAGAGTATTGATGCCTTTGAACTTTGGTGTTGGGGAAAACTCCTGAGAATACGGTGTACAACTAAGAAAACAAACCAATGCACAAATCAACCCAGAGTTCTCACTCAAGGCACAAATGACTAGGCTCCAGTTGTCCTATTTTGGGCACATTATGTGAAGATCCAGTTGTCTGAAAGAGGCTCTAATTTTGGAAAGGGTGAAAGGAAAGGGAAGAAGAAGATGACCAGCAGCAAAGTGCATGGTCTTAGTAACTGTAGCTATGAGTGCACTACTGAGAAAGTTGAAAGCACAGGTTAGAGAGATTCATCATTAAGAGTCGAAAACAACTTGATGGTATATACTAATCAACTGTTTAAATGCTCATACTTGTAAGAAAAAAGCAAAGTCATTGTGTGACATGACAAAGAATTTTTTAATATTTTAGTTCAGTAAGCCAAGATACGTCCAGATGCATATTTGTTCAGAAACAGAGACTATATATCTTAAATATATAGTGGTATTTTATGATTCTAACTAGAGGTGCATATTTATGCATATGTGTAATGTAAAAATAATTTATAGCCCCAAAGGTTTGTACACTAGTTTTATTCATGTTTAATTTGTTACAAAGTTATTGCATTTGTTGCAAAAACACTATCGAGGTTATCTCTCTGAAAAATTATCAAATGTAACTTAGTCTGACCTTAATAGTGTGTGCAAGTTAGCATTTGCTGTACCTCGGATATGTTGCATGTTTAACATTCCATTTAGCTGGGGGTTTTTAGATTTTGTTACTTGGGAGTAAATCTACCTTTGGTGGGCTTACTGCTAAGTAATCATGCCTCTTTCTAAAACTCTAGTCCATGGGTGTCAAAGTCGCCACGTCAAATGACGTGGCGCGACGTATCGTGACTCTTTTTGCATTGCCAGCAATGAGGTAGGCACGGCTTCGGTATGATGAAGACACTTCTGCTCTAATCTTATTTATTTGTAGAGTGTTAGCTCTGTTAAGCTGTTGTAACAAAAGTAAGTCATGTGTCATAACAGATTTATTATACATACACATTCACAAGATTTGTTTTAATCCATAAAAGCATATGCCCAAATAATTGTTTTTCTCTAGGATGCCACAATATGCTTTGTAACTCATATAATATCAGTTTTGTTCTCTGTTATACGTTATACTGTTCTCTGTTGTTATACTCTGTTTTTATACTGATCCTAAAATAAACAATTTTGTTTCTGTGCTACAGTTGATAAAAGGATTGAATCAGAAGAATCTGGAGATGATGAAGGGAAGAAGCAAGCAGTTTGCATAGTAACAGACCTCAGTCAACAAAGTCTAAAAGAAGAGCAGAATGGAGAGAATTTAACAGGTAAACTACTATTTGGAGCATGCCCTTTGTAGCATATATGACTGATTTACCGACGCCCATCTCTTTGAATCAGTAGAATGCAAATGAATATGTTTATGTTACATTTTCCCACTGCATATAATTAATGTTTTTGCATATTCAGTGTTTATTCATTGCATTGTTTTTAATTCTATTATAGCCCTTGGAAACACTGAGAACTTTTCCTCTTGCACTTTTTAAGTGGAAATGAGGTGCATAAATTAATAATACAAAGATTCTTGGCTGTTGTTTTTATTAGAAGTTTTTCTATATTTCCTTCTTGCATATGAATAATAAAAGATGGTAAGAGTCAGATTCCCTCTGCTTCTTAGAAATTATTTATAGTTACAGTGCAATAGCATATAGATGTTGAATATGAAAAAATACTTTATTTTAGTTTTAGTTTACTTACTCGGTTTAAGTGCTGCCCAGTTCCAGAATGACTTTGGCCAGTTTATAATTTAAAATAGAAAAACAAAAATGAACTAGTCTGTGCAGACAACAAATCCCACACAACAGAAGTCCCTCTCTGAGGGAGATGGGCAGTTCAAAAATGTGATAAATAAATGAAAACAAAATACAGTAGGGCTTCACAGCCACCATACATGAAAGCCTGGTAAGACGATCATGTTTTTAAAGACTTCCAGAACATCATTAGGGTCGGAACCACAGAAATTTATAGAGCAATATCATTCCAAAGAACAGATGCAGAAAAGCATCTTCTTAGATCCCAATAGGCGTCATTGTTTGATTGAAGAGACCTGAAATGCACCAACTCTGCCTTATCTTATAGAACAGGCAGAAACTATAGGAAATAGATGGCCCTTCAGAAAACCTGGTCCTATGCCATGAAGGACTTTATCGATGATAACCAGCACTTTGACTTGCCCTGGAAAGCCTACTGGTCATAGGACAGTAGAATTACTTGAACGTATTGCAACATGTCCAACACTGCCCATGCTGCTCAAATGTAGCTTCTGGGTGGTCTTCAAGGGCAACCCCATACGGAATGCATTGCAATATAGGTAGTTCTCACTTAATGGCAGTAATTTGGACCAAAATTTCTGTCACTGAACGATATAGTCATAAAGCACAACATCATACAATCCATTGCTTTGTGACAAATTCTAGCACTTCTGGATTGCCTTGTTAATCATCGTGGGTCGTTAAGCGAGGATGTCACGTGGTTGCCTTTTACGAGCTCGTGCTAGTTCCCCATTGATTTTGCTTATAGGAAGCCAGCAAAGAAGGTCAGAAATAGTGATCAAATGGCTGCAGTGCACTGCAATATTTATTTATTTATTTAGAAAATGTATATGGCTTCCCATTCACTCTCAGTGACTCTGGGCAGCTGTATTTTGTTTGCAGTCTTAAGAAGTCTTAACAGCAGACTGTTCAAGATTAAGGGTTTTTTTTAGTTTTTTTCTGTTATGTATGTTTTTGAGTTTTTCAAATCAAGTCATTTCAGATATTTATAACAGCCACCTACCATTCTATGTGAAAAGGAGCAGGATTCGTGTTTGCTACAACTACAGAAATACTGTTAAGCAGTTGGCAGATTCATTTAAGAACAAAAGAAGCAAAACAAAATTAAACACCCTGAATTCAAAAACATATGTAAAATATTCATTGCACATTCCATGCATACAAATTTGTGCATCTTCTGCTCATCCAATATCTTGCTAGGTTTATTGAATTATTTACTCATGTAGAAAATGCATTTTAGTCAAAAACTTGGTATAGTATCAGGCTGCATTCAGATTTGGCCTCAAAACTGTTTTTAGTCTAAATGAAACTTTTCTCTGCCAGCTGGTTTGACATAAAGTTGAAGCACTGTAGCCTACTTAGGCCCAATTTCTTTCTTTTTTTCATATTAAATATTTTGTTAGTTTATTAAAATATAAAATACAAAGAAAACAATAAAAGGAAAGTAAGAGGGAAAAAAGGGAAGAGGAAAAACTACAGGGAAAAAGGGGGAAAGGAAAGAAAAGCTTTAACTTCCAACTCCTTTTCTTCTTCTTCTTCTTGTGCCATATCCGTTATCGGACGTTGGCGAACATGTTGGCGATCCTGTTTTTATCAGCAGCCGCACAAAAAATTGCTACTGAGTTTTGTCCAAAACCAGTCCCTTAGATTTTGAAGCCATGATGTTCTTCTGCCTGGACCTCGTTTGCCTTCAATCTTTCCCTGGAGGATTAAATGGAGTATGCCGTATTTTTCTGGGTGTCGCATCACATGTCTGAAATATTCTAATTTTTGTTTTTTAATTGTTTTGATGATTTCCCTTGGCTTTCCCAGGTGGCTTATCACTGCCTCATTTCTGATCTTGTCAACCCAGCTTATACGTAACAGACGCCTGTAAATCCACATTTCAAATGCTTCTAGTCTCTTCAGGTGGCCTTCTGTCAGAGACCAACTCTCTACTCCAGCGGTTCTCAACCTATGGGTCGCGACCCCATTTGGGGTCAATCGACCTCTTTTCGGGGGTCGCCAAAGGCGGCGATCCGCCATTTTGTCCCCTCCGGGGGTGCGCCGCGCCTCTGGGGGGGCGGTGCCACGCACGCGCGCTGCGCGTGGGGGCGGCGGCGTGCCTCCGGGGGTGGCGCCGCGCATGCGCGCCGCGCGGGGGGGCCGCCCCAGGCGCGCCGTGCGCGTGGGGGCGCCGCGCATGCGTGCCACGCGTGGGGGGCCTGCCCCCGTGCGCGCCATGCATGCGCATAACATTTGTGTGACGGGGGTCGCCGTCACACAAACGTTGAGAACCGCTGCTCTACTCCATAGAGCAGGATAGAAAAAATATAGCATCTGACAAGCCTGATTTTCAATCTTAGGCTTATGTCGTGACTGCAGAAGACCTTTTTCATTTCGAAGGATGCTGTTCAAACTTTCTCTATTCTTGTCTTTACTTCAGTGGTCATGTCCCAACTTTCATGTAAATCAACTCCTTTTAGCACAGTTGAATAAGGTAATAATATTTAGCCTCAGCTTTTTGCTTTTATATAATAAAGTAGTCTCTTATTTTGGAGAGTCACCCACTCTTTAAGCCAGACCAAACAATAAGCATCAAAGTATAATTTCAAATCTGGTAAACTCAAACCTCCTCTTTCTTTAGCATCTTACGATAATTTATATCTAAGTCTTGTTTTTTCCCCTGGCCATATGAACTTAGAAATGTCCATTTTCCATTGCTTAAATGGAGTGTGAGTTATAAATATTGGTAATATCTGAAATAAAAATAACATCTTTGGTAAAGCATTCATCTTAATGAGAGATTCTACCTGATAAAATAGTTGCACTTTATTCCATCTTAATAGCTCTTTTTGATATCATTCTAAGAGGTACAGAATTGTTTTGAAACACTTTAGAATTTGTATTTGTCAGTGTGACTTCAAAACTCCTTTTCCTCCACCCTGAAGCCCAATTTTTTTGTTAATATTTCATAGTCCCAAGGGGTCATATTCTTAAAAAACACTGTTGTTTTTTCTTTGTGTTTAGGCCAAATTTCAAAGAGCCTTGAAAACTGTTTATCTGGCTACAGTGCTAGTGAGAGCTATATGAACAAATTATCATGGAAGAATAAATGAGTCTGAATATAAATGGAATAAATGAAACAGCTTTTGATACTTAATTGAACTGTTACTTTTGGTACTGGTACTTCATAAAAATGTGTTTTACATCACTTTTTCCCTGTTACATGTTTTTGAATTCTACGAATTCTAAAAATTTTATAATCTGCCACATAAAGTTCCAGTAAAGTTTTTTTATTTCAATAGATCTATTATTTTTAGCAGAGTTTGTTTGAAATTAGGAACTGCAGCCTATATTTCATCTCTTGCACATTAGCAATACAATTTGACCTCCTTAATAGTATTTTGCCTGATACAGGATTGACATAAATTGTTTTCAGTCTTTACAGTATGGTGATCAAGTTGTCAGTTAACTGTGGCTACAGTTTTAATTATGAATGTATTAGCATAAAAATTAGCAAGATGGTCAAGCAGTTGTTTTGAATGGATTCATTTTATTAGCAGAATGATTAAATCGTCAGAATGAATCTCACCTGCTGCTTTTTCCTTCAGAGTTGAGAGTTTCATACTGTTTCTCCTTAAAAAAATAATTCACTTCATTTTGTTCGGTAAGTGAAGATGGTGTATGGGGCAGAGTTTGTAATAATAGAAATTATTATTTAATCAAACTTTTGTTCAAATTCATACTTAATTGAAATATATTAGTGAAAAGTATATTAAAGTAAGCATCTATGTACACTTTTAAGAAGCTCAAGGAGCAAAATAAGTAGATGATTGTTTTATTGCACTTTCCTTTTCCTGTCCTGATCTCTCTTTTTTCTCTATAAGTATCCTTTCCTCTTTGTTCCATCTCCATTATCCACATTTCTTTAGCTTTTCAGTCAGTGTTGTCCTAAGTTCTAATGGTTGCTGAAGGGCCCGTCGCTAAGCAAAGACTATCTGTAACTAACTGGTGGTGCAGTGGTTAGAATGCAGTATTGCAGGCTAATTTTACTGACTGCCAGCAGTTCAATCCTAACCCGTTGAAGGTTGACTCAACCTTCCATTGTTCTGAGGTCAGTAAAATGAGGACCCAGATTGTTGGGGGCAGCATGCTGACACTGTAAATCGCTTAGAGAGGGTTGTAAAGCACAATGAACCGGTATATAAGTCTAAGTGTTATTGTTATTGCTATACTCACATTCCAGCTATAATTGTGCCTGTACTTAACTGGTTATGCTGAATTCCTTCTTTTGACATAAGAAAGGCATACTCATCATGGCTAGCAATAAAATTATCCTTAGTATAATTCATACATATTAATAGAATACTGTGGAGCTCAATGTTCAAATGATAGACAACACAAAATAGTGGAAGTGGAAAGAACAAATGAATAGGAAAAGTATAAGGATATTCAAAGTGATTTGTATATTACAAATGTACAAAGAATATTTTATTGCTTAGCTAACACTGATTATTCTAAATAGATGGCAGAACCTAAGTAACTGTGAGAGATCTCACAAAGTCAAGCAATATCAGTCCTGATTAATTCTTGAGTGGAAGACTGACTGGAAATCCATACCTATAGTTTAGACTGGGAAGATTAAAAAAACATTCTGGAAGACAAAAATGGCAAGCCATTTCCATATTGTTGCCAAGAAAACTACATGGTTATGTCCATGAAGTCTTTAAAACTCATGGTTTAATTAAGATGTTGGAAATACAAGTGGGGAGACCAAAGGAAAGAGTCACAGAAGCTGTCTGTGAGACTTTGGGCCAAAAATACTGTCTCAGCCCAACATGCCATATGACTATAACAGGTTTCTGTTCTAAAATATCCTTTACAAGGAAGCTATTTGAAAAGAAAATCCCACTCCTGGTCACTGCTTATCGATCAAACAAATTGGGGACTTAGAGATAGAAGAATCTTTTCATAAAGAACAAAATAAGTTTTTGCTGCTTCTTCAATCAAAATTTTAAAAAACGTGTCCCATACTTCAGTGCCTGGCAGTATTTCTACTAATTGTTATTGCTGTATCATATGCATACTTGTCACCCTTTACTTCTAGGCTTACCAAACATAATAATCTCTTTACAGTGGTTGCTCTGTGTGCCAGTAAATGTGAAACCTGTACCTTCTTTTATCCAAAACAATATTTTCAAAGGAGAGTGACTGTGCAAGCCTAAATAATTCCATGATATTTTTGGAGGGGGCAAAGCATCTTGGATCTTTTTATTTCAAAGTAAAATGTTGACTGCTTTCCCAAATAGAGTCATATGTTACTGTATATTTCTGCTGACCAGCAGTACTTCCTCTATTCTTCTTGAGAATTCAGAGAGAGAGAATACAGTTTCAACATTGCTCAATGTTACAGAGGCTTTTTAGGCTGTTTGACATCAGGATTACTCTGCCAAGTCTCCACTCGCATAAGGTTACTGTGAGCGATGACTCAGAGGTTTTCACTGTCAGACCTCCTCCTCCTCCTCCAGCTACCCCAGAAATAAAATTAGGACTCTCATTGTTAATATATAGAAGATTACCGAAAACACAGTTATTTGAGCAAACATTTGGGGAGAGAGATATAAATTATATTAAGTATCTTGGATCTACATGGACAGTGCTAGTGATGAAAGTTTTGTGATGTTATTGTGTTGATTGATATAAGTACTATACATTTATTTTATACTGCTTTTGTAAACTTAGCTTTTTTTATTAGTGACATAAAAACAGTTGTAATGAATATATTAACCTAACAAATACCCTTATAAATATAAGCCCTAATGACATGAAACAGAATTAATTTGTGATGGTATATAATAGAGATGGAAGTAGAAATTAAACCACATATATACACATGTACATATATACTTATATCTTTATTTTATTATTAGCTGGTAAGTAAGGTGTAAAAGTCAGTTTCCAGAAATAGATTTTTAAAAAAAACAGACAGCTGGTATAATGCAAATATATGAAAAGAAGTGTTAAAGAATAAGAGACTTCTTAATGTTCAATAGATATCTGCATATTTTTTTACAGAATACATAATCAGATACATGAAAAGAGGTCATTATAAACAATCCTCGCTTAACAACTGGTTTCATAGCGACCATTCTAAGTTACAATGGACCTCCCCCCCCCAAAAAAAAGTTATTTACAAGCCATTCCAGAATTCCAATGGCTGCACACAACTCACAGTAACATGACCACTTTTGGGGCATTTGGCAACTGCCTCATTTTTATGGCAGGTTACAGCACTCCATAGTCACATAACCGCAGTTTACACCAGGTTTTGCTTGTTCTGGCCAAAAACAGCAATAAGAATACATTGATTTGCTTCACAAACACCACCCAAAAAAATTATAAAATCTGGTCCAGTCCCATAGGTTTTTCAACTTATGACTATTTTGACTTAAGACAGAAATTCTGGGGTCCCTTACAGTTGTAAGTTGAGGACTACTTGTAAACTATTAACTTGCTGATGAATAAACTCTTTCTTCCATTGGGAATGATGAACAAAACCCAGTAGCTCTTCTATTGTTGGGTTTTTGTTTTTTAATATTATGTTCTGTGAATCAGTGTGTATATGCATGTTGCTCATTCACTGATAATCCAGGAAATTGAACAACATTGGCTTGCTGCTTTATAATGCCTAGCACTGTTGTATTTTGCTCAAAGAATATGTAGCAGCAAATCCACCCAGCTGCCAAATAAGAGCATGCATGAATTATTTAGCAGAAATCCCTGAGCTTATCTTCACTCAAGCACATTGAGAAAGAGAGAATTTATAAGGATCTTTTTGATTCCAGAACAGGAAAAGTTTTCATCAAATTGCTGGCAATATTTAACCCAGGAAGAACATGTATGCTATATCAGTCCTTTCTAGGACTGCAAAACTGAGATGATAACTAGAATGCAAGAGTAATTTAAAATTTCTGACACTTATTGTTTGCTCAGCTAACTATTAAGTCATTTGAGTTAGTTCTTGCTTCCTAATTCAATTCAATATTAGATAATGTACATTTTCCACAAGTGTGTTGGTATTTCTTCCTCTATATTTGGATTTAGCCAAAGTGATCATTAGCTTAGAAGGGCTTATATGACTTCCATTACAACAGTAAAATTTAAATCCATTAGCTTTTATTTTGCCCTAAGGCTTAATTTCTCTTGGAGAAGAGCTCACTTTGCAAATTTGCTTTTGGTTGGTGAACATCATGGATTTATGCAGGATGTGCTTGCTGTTTTACAGGTGAATCAGAAATTCCAGTGGATATGGAAACTATTAGCTTGGATCCAGAGGCCGAGGTATTGTAAATGTCACTTTCATACTGAAACCCACAGTTGCCCACAACCAGCTTAGGTGAAAAGCTTTGGAGATACATCTCTGAAATTTAGGAAAGAATAATTCCTGGGTTGTTATTTTTTAAACTACTTTGCATTTAATGTTTATTAAGAGTTTAATTACAATACTAAAAATTAATGCAAGCTAAACTTAATGAAAAAGAATAAAAACTACAAGAAAGAAAAAGTGAGAAAGAAAAATGAGAAAAGAAATATATAAAGCAGTGCCTTCCAGTCTTCATTAAAAGTTTAGACAAATTAAGTAACTCTTCACCCCCTCTAAAATTACAAACATTTATCTCATAAATAATAATAATAATAATAATGTTGGAAGGGAGGTCATCTAGCCCAACCCCCTGCTCAGGCAGGAAACCCTATACCATTTCAGACAAATGGCTGCCCAATCTCTTCTTAAAAACTTCCAGTGTTGGAGCATTCACCACTTCTGGAGGCAGGTTGTTCCACTGGTTAATTGTTCTAACTGTCAGGAAATTTCTCCTTAAAATCCATAAAATATCAAATTTTCAATTCTAGTGTCAGCAAAAAGGTTGTAAGAACTGTGCAAATAAATATCTTATTTTAATCTGGATCAAATAAACAGCTTTATATTCCTTTCTTTTATTTCTAATAGTCTTAATTTTAGTACACTCAAATATTGTCATAAGATTTGATTTTTTTTAATTCTTCTTTATCCCATTATACTTCATCAAGGATTTAACAAACCTCTTTTGTTAGATTCAATAATAAAACATTTTCTTGGTATGTCATTTGTATTTTCCTTTAAAATTTAAAACTCTAGCAAGCTTTTTTTTTTGTATATTCCCACCAAAAAAACATCCTTTTCCAAATTGTTCTCTTGACCCATTATTTTTAGTTCCATTTTCAATATTTTCTTTGTCTTGTCAGAAAAAAAAATGTTCCACATCTGTAATTCCCACGTTGATATCTGGCTTTATTCTTTAAAGATTTCTTTTATTATTTCCAATGTTATGACATTTTGTGCAATTTTGTCCCAGTTAACTAACACAGAACAGTTTTGATAATTTTATTTTATTCAAACCTCCTTCTATCTTCCCAGCTTCTTTAGTGTTCCCTGAAGCAGTCAGTCACATTTTGTGGCCACTAAATATGTTCCTTGCATTATAAGAGAAGGTTGGATTAGGAGGAAAAGCTGCTAGGCAGGACAAACCTCAGTAATATAAATAACTTCTTCTTTACTTCTTACTTCTTTTACCACTTCGGGTGGCGAGGGAATAACTTATTCATTGGCAATATGTGTAACATCTATGATGGGTTTATAAATAAATAATAGAAAGAAAAAATGGATTGAGTGGGAGAATAGGCAGTATGCATGATGAAGTAGGACATAACAATTTCTCAACAATTGGGACATAACAATTTTAAATTAAAATTGAAAGCAGTATCTATATATTTCTGTTTCTTCAAGAAATTTGATAGAATTCTCTCAAATGGGCAAGAGGGCAAATCCTGATTTTAAAATACATTTGTATATACTACTAACTCTTCTTCAAATGCTGAAAAGCTGTGAATTCAGTATGAATGTTCTTTGTTTAGATTAAACATTTATACCCTGCCTAATACATGAATAACAATTAATAAGGATGGATGGATTACCTCTTGTGGAGGACTTTAGCTGAAAATATTCTCATTGCTATATAATAAATGTATTTCTTCTGTCTATACCATCAATGCATTTGTTTTGAGTAAATTCCTTGACATATATACATTGGTAAGTCTGTGTATCTTCCTGATATAGAAATAAATTTGATTTTATGATCTTACATTTTTTTTCTGCCTTTTAGGATGTTGATCTGAATCATTTCCGAATTGGCAAAATAGAAGGGTTTGAGGTGCTCAAGAAAGTGAAGGTGAGATGCTTGTGGTACCCATCTCATCATAGGCATGACCTAATTACGGTTGCAGTGATCTTTATGTTCATTGAATTACATATATTCTTCTACTTGGTGGTCATAATCTAATGTTGTAATTGTTGAGAGAAGAGGACATCCAAACAATAAGGCAACTAGGCATCTCAAACCAAGATCCAGGATACCAAATGACCATCTGCAGACTGGCAGAGGATGGAAATAGTGGCTAAATAGGCTGGGTATCACCATATGAGCCAGCTGAGACTTACCAAGGTTTAAACTACTTATTGTGGCAAATTTAGATGCCCCAGGGCTCTGTTCTGGGCCCAGGGCTTTTCAACATCTTCATCAATGATTTGGATGAGGGGGTAGATGGGGAACTCATCAAATTTGCAAACAATTGCAAGCTGGCAGGAATAGCCAGAAGATAGGCTTAAGATACATGAGGGTCTCAACAGACTTGAACAATGGGCACTACCTAACAAAATGAAATTCAATGGCGAAAAAGTAAGGTTCTACATTTAGGCAAGAAAAACCAAATGCATGGGTATAGTATAGGTGGTAACTTGCTCAATAGTAGTAACTGTAAGAGGGATCTTGGAGTTCTTGTGGACAATCACTTAAATATGAGCCAGCAATGTGCTGCAGCTACCAAAAAAGCAAGCACACGGTTGCTGGAATTGGGTATGTCTAGTTTAAGAGAAGGACTAGGGATGACATGATAGCAGTGTTCCAATATCTCAGGGGTTGCCACAAAGAAGAGGGAGTCAAACTATTCTCCAAAGCACCTGAAGGCAGGACAAGAAGCAATTGATGGAAACTGATCAAAGAGAAGCAACCTAAAATTAAGGAGAAATTTCCTGATATTAGAACAATTAATCAGTGGAATAACCTGCCTCCAGAAGTTGTGAGTGCTCCAATACTGGAAGTTTTTAAGAAGAGACTGGACAGCCATTTGTCTGAAATGATATCAGGTTTCCTGCCTGAGCAGGGGGTTGGACTAGATGACCTCCAAGGTCCCTTCCAACATCATCATTATTATTATTATTATTATTATTATTATTATTATTATTACTATTATTATGGATCATCGCACAGTCAGCCAGATGTTCAGACAGGATTTGACATTTTGTCTACCTATCGAGTCCTTACCCAAGACCTGGGATAGGCAGATGTGGATGTTTGATGGTATTACAGTTATCGTCGCAGGATGGAAGCAGTTCCTAGTAAGGCCGCCTTTTACAATTGACTAATAGCGAATTTGTCAATGCCAATGGTGTTCAAGTGGTGCTCCAGTTTTTTTGGGATTGCACCCAAGGCACCTATTACTATTGGTACTACCCTTGCTTGCTTTTGCCACAGTCTTTCTATTTCTATTTGTAGGGCTTTGTATTTTGTTATCTTCTCCAGTTCTTTCTCTTCTATTCTGCTATCTCCAGGCACTGCCACGTCCACTATCCAGACTTTTTTGTCTTTCTTATCGACAATTGTTAAGTCTGGGGTGTTATGTTGCAGGTGCTTGTCTGTTTGAATTCTGAAGTCCCAGAGCAGTTTAATGTTATCAGTTTCTATGACTTTCTCTATTTTATGATCCCACCAGTTTTTGCTTACAGGCAAATGATATTTTTGCAGATCTTCCAATGCACCATTGTTGCTACTTTGTCATGTCGCTGCTTGTAGTCAGTCTGTGCAATCTTCTTGCAACAGCTTACCAGGTGGTCCACTGTTTCTTCAGCTTCTTTGCATAGGTGGCACTTACTGTCTGTTGCTGTCTTCTCAATTTTGACTTTATCTGCATTTGTCCTTAAGGCTTGGTCTTGTGCAGCCAGAATTAGTCCCTCGGTCTCTTTCTTCAATTTTCTTGCTCTTAGCCATTGCCAGGTCTTGTTATTATCTGCTTTCCCAGCTATTTTTTTAATGTATTGGCCATGTAGTGCTTTGTCTTCCCAATCTTCATTTGGTCTTTTTGTAGGCCAGTTTGGTCTCTCCAGTAGTCAGTAAGCCTTCCTGATATACTAATTTCAGTGCATCTTCATCATTGTTCTTCAGATATTCTTCCAAAGCCATTTTTTCTTCTTCAAACATCTGATGTACTTGTAGCATTCCACGCCCACCTATTTGCCTTGGTAGATAAAGTCTGTCAATGTCACTGCGTGGATGAAGGGCATGATTCATTGTCATTATTTTTCTGGTCTTCCTATCCATTGCTTTTAGTTCTGCTTGAGTCCAGTCCACTATTCCAGCTGTGTACTAATGAATGGAATTGCCCAGGTGTTGATTGCCTTTATGGTATTTCCTCCATTGAGTTTGGACTTTAAGATCTTCTTCACTCTCTTGATGTATTCACCTCTAATCTTTTTCTTGACTTCAGTGTGCTTGATGTTGTCAGCTTGAAGGATACCCAAGTATTTGTAGTAATCTTCCTCATCCAGAAATGTTATTTTCGTGGGGCATCTTGATTCCTTTAGTTTTCACTACTTTTCCTTGTTTGATAGTAAGTGTGGCACATTTGTCCAAGCCAAACTCCATAACAATATCTTGGCTATATATACGTACAGTGTTGAGCAGCGATTCTATTTCAGATGTTGTTTTTCCATACAGCTTCAGATCATCCATGTAAAGGAGATGGGATAGTCTGGTAGATGTTTTTGATGATTGATAGCCATGTCCTGAGTTATTCAGTATTGCTGACAGAGGAAACAGTGCAATCACAAATAGTAATGATGACAATGAATCTCCTTGAAATATTCCTCTCTTGATATTAACTTCTCCCAGTCTCTCACCATTGATCTGCAACTGTGTCTTCCATTGTGCCATCATTCTTTGCACAAATTTTGTGATGTTTCTACTGACTCCTGTTATTTCTAGGCACTTGATTATCCAGTCATGTGGCAGAGAGTCAAATGCCTTTTTGTAGTCAATCCATGCCACATTCAGGTTGGTCTTCCTTTTCTTGCAATTTTCCAAGATCGTTTTGTTTATTAGGAGTTGATCTTTTGTTCCTCTACTATTGGGGCGGTTTCCTTTCTGCTCAGGTGGAAAGAGATTGTTTTCAACTAGATTCTGTTGTAGTGCATTGGCTACCATACCAGTTAGTAATTTGAAAGTTGTTGGTAAGCAGGTAATTGGCCTGTAGTTGCCTGGTGTTGCCCCTTTTGCTGGATTTTTCATTATTAGGTAGGTTTTCCCAGTTGTTAGCCACTTTTCAATTGCTCCTCCTTGTAGTATATTGTTGAACTGCTTGGCAAGGAGTGGGTGTATAACAGTTAGATGTTTCAACCAAAACCCATGCAGTTCATCTTCACCTGGTGCTGACCAATTTTTGATTTTATTTGCTCTTTTTTTTACCATTTTTGTTGTTATTACTAGTTCTTTCATTTCAACTTCTGTTTTATTTGCATCCACCTCTTTTAACCAAGCCGCATCCTTGTTGTATTTCTTTGGGTTATCCCATATCAATACAACAAGGATGCGGCTTGGTTAAAAGAGGTGGATGAAAATAAAACAGAAGTTGAAATTATTATTAATTTAAAATTAATTAAAATTATTATTATGGATCATCGCACAGTCAGCCAGATGTTCAGACTGGATTTGGCATTTTGTCTACCTATCGAGTCCTTACCCAGGACCTGGGATAGATAGATGTGGATGTTTGATGGTATTACAGATATCGTCGCAGGATGGAAGCAATTCCTAGTAAGGCCGCCTTTTACAATTGACTAATAGCGAATTTGTCAATGCCAATGGTGTTCAAGTAGTGCTTCAGTTGTTTTGGGATTGCACCCAAAGAGCCTATTACTATTGGTACTACCCTTGCTTGCTTTTGCCACAGTCTTTCTATTTGTAGGTCTTTGTATTTTGTTATCTTCTCCAGTTCTTTCTCGTCTATTCTGCTGTCTCCAGGCACTGCCATGTCCACTATCCAGATATTATTATTATCGATCATCGCACAGTCAGCCAGATGTTCAGACTGGATTTGGCATTTTGTCTAAAAATTATTATTATTATTATTATTATTATTATTATTATTATTATTATTATTATTATTATTATTATTATGGATCATTGCACAGTCAGCCAGATGTTCAGACTGGATTTGGCATTTTGTCTACTTATCGAGTCTTTACCAAGGACCTGGGATAGGCAGATGTGGATGTTTGATGTTATTACAGATATCGTCGCAGGATGGAAGCAATTCCTAGCCTTTTGCAATTGACTAATGGCAAATTTGTCAATGCCAATCGTGTTCAAGTGGTGCTCCAGTTGTTTTGGGATTGCACCCAAGGTGCCTATTACTATTGGTACTACCCTTGCTTGCTTTTGCCACAGTCTTTCTATTCCTATTTGTAGGTCTTTGTATTTTGTTATCTTCTCCAGTTCTTTCTCGTCCATTCTGCCGTTTCCAAGCACTGCCACGTCCACTATTCAGACTTTTTTGTCTTTCTTATCGACAATTGTTAAGTCCAGGGTGTTATGTTGCAGGTGCTTGTCTGATTATTATTATTATTATTATTAATCATCGCACAGTCAGCCAGATGTGCAGATTGGATTTGGCATTTTTGTCTACCTATCAAGTCCTTACTAAGGACCTGTGATAGGCAGATGTGGATGTTTGAATTGATGGTATTACAGATATCGTTGCAGGATGGAAGCTGTTCCTAGTAAGGCCGCCTTTTGCAATTGACTGATGGTGAATTTGTCAATGCCAATGGTGTCCAAGTGGTGCTCCAGATGTTTTGGGATTGCACCCAAGGTGCCAATTACTATTGTTACTACCCTTGCTTGCCTTTGCCACAGTCATTCTATTTCTATTTGTAGGTCTTTGTATTTTGTTATCTTCTCCAGTTCTTTCTCTTCTATTCTGCTTTCTCCAGGCACTGCCATGTCCACTATCCAGACTTTTTTGTCTTTCTTATTGACAGTTGTTAAGTCTGGGGTGTTATGTGGCAGGTGCTTGTCTGTTTGAATTCTAAAGTCCCACAGCATTTAACATTTTCATTTTCTATAACTTTCTCTATTTTATGGTTCTACCAGTTCTTGCTTGCAGGCAAATGATATTTCTGGCAGATCTTCCAATGCACCATTGTTGCTACTTTGTCATGCCACTGCTTGTAGTCAGTCTATGCAATCATCATCATCATCATTATTGTTGTTGTTGTTGCTTTTGAAAGGTATTTGAAAGTTGCAGAATGCTGGCTTAGACTCTTCCATGTGAACTTTGATGAAAGAATCTTTACATATAATTGTTCTTTTTTAAAATTTCTTCCTTCTCTTTAGACACTTTGTCTTCGACAGAACTTGATTAAGTGCATTGAGAACCTGGAACAGCTGCAGACTCTCAAAGAGTTGGATCTTTATGACAATCAGGTTCGTAAGATTGAGAACCTGGAGGCCTTGACAGGTCTTGAGTAAGTATCTGGATAAACAGTGGGTTGCTATCTGAGTGGTTGATGGGAAACTGGCTGGTTCATTTCATAAAGGTTGCCAAATTGTTTTTATTTAAATAATAATTTTGGTTATATATTGGTCTTCAGGCAGGCTGGTTACTTACTAGAAAAAAATGCACCAAGAGAAAAGTGTACCACTTTAAAATAATAGTGGAGGTTTGGAGAAATAAAGCATCTTTATGTAGTATCAATTGGAAAAAATCAGACAAGTAAAGAATCATGGTTGAGATGGCCCCCTCCTTCTCAATTCTTCTCTCTTTTTCTGCTTTATTTGTTTTAGTATCCAATATGGGTCAATCACTGGGACCAGATGTTTAGTCTTCTAAGCTTTTAGACTTGTACTGGAGCCCATCCTCAGGGAAGTTCTCTCTTATCAGAATGTTAAATTTATTTGTTATATTTCTTGATGCTTTTTCAATGTCCAGCTTGTCAAAAAAAATTTTTAAAAAAATTATAGCCAGTTGAAGTTTGAAAATGGTGGGAAAAGATGCATTCATGAGCATATTGATTCTTCATAGGAAAATGGTCAGGATAAAATGGGGGTGGGAATACATGATAAAGAATGCAGCAAAATATGACAGAAGAAGGACATACATTCAATTTCGCAGCTAGTAAGATTGTTGACCAAGCAGGTACAAAATTGGCCAGGGAAATGAATGAAGCCTGGGAGACAGGCCCTGTGTCAGTCAATAGGAGTGCTGATTTGCCACCAGCTTATAAAGTACTTAGGAGACAAGCACTTGGCAGCACAAGGAAACAAAAGCCAATAGCCATCAACACACCAATCAACCACTAGGAAGCCACATCCAACCAGGAACTTAAATATGATGCATAGAACAGGCCAAAGCACACATTCCAGTAGACAGAAGTTCCCTGAAGATGGGCTCCGGCACAAATCCGAAAGCTTGGAAGGCTAAATCTCTGATCCCGGTAACCAACCCAGATTGTATCCTATGATAGAAGCTTTCTGGTTTTGTTTTTGAAATTGTTTTCTTTGCTTTCTATTAGGATCTTAGATATTTCATTTAATATTTTACGACACATTGAAGGTTTGGATCAGCTCACTCAGTTAAAGAAACTCTTCCTGGTCAACAACAAAATCAGCAAAATTGAGAACCTAAGCAACTTGCAACAATTGCAAATGCTAGAGCTAGGATCTAATCGAATCAGGGTAAGATTTGTTTTTCTCTAAACAACACAAGACTCAGCCAATATACAGGCAATGTTTCAATAAATGAATTGGAATGAATTGGAATATTAAGAACAAACTCCGTATCATGTTAATTATATACAAGGAAACTTGGAAAATATGAGCAGATCCTATCTGTAAAAAAAACAACAACAATCTATAGAACATTTTCAGCTGCAGAGATTTTTTATATAGCATGATTTTCCTTTCCTTAAATAAATAAATATTTATAGGTAATGGATTGATATGAACTGTGCTGTTAGAAAATCTTTTGTAACAAAGCAAATTCTATAAAGATTCAATGCAAAAAAATATCAGCAAATTTGTTACGAAGTATCTTTGAAATGTGAAGGCTGCTATTTTCCATCCTTATAAAGGAAAGTATGACAATATGGGTTTGCTGGCTATGGTACAGAGTTATTTACTGATTAATATATTGGAGGTTTATTTATTTGTAAATTTATTAGTCACCCATCTCACCACACAGTGATTTAACAAGGTTAAAAGATAAAACAGGTTAGTGATGTGCTATTTGCAGGAGTCAGAAATTGGAATCTTGTTCACTATCGTTGTTTTATAGGCAATTCAGAATATTGACACCCTGACTAACCTGGATAGCCTATTTCTGGGGAAAAACAAAATCACTAAGTTGCAGAACCTGGATGCATTGACAAACCTGACAGTGCTTAGCATACAGGTACCAGTCCTGTGCTTTCTATTTTAATTGTCATTATATGATTTAAGTTATTTGCCTTTCCTGTCTTTATAATTTCTAACTAAAAATGAAATTACAATTGCTGTTATCCCTTTGAATTTAAATATTTATTTAAATGTTTATTTTTCAGACCTTCATTAAATTATCATTGAAATTGTATGCTTTTTCTTTCACACACAGAATAGCAGTCAGGTACATATATTTCTTTTCTTTCTAAAAATACAGCAATTATGCCATAGAATAGCCTGGTAAAGTATGTATTTATTTTTTTTCCAACGTGCCAGTAGAGAATATGATCACTTATATGATCACATATAAGTTTCAGAAATCCTTAGGAAGTTCAGTAAATTTTAAAGACCAGACAATCTCATTGAAATGCAAATTATGTTTTTTCCTTAATAGAATCATAAATGTGCTTTCTTTGGAAGATACCTATTGCATTCCATCTGGCTAATTCAATGTTATAAAGTTGTGCATAGTTCTGACCAGAAAAGATTTAACTTAGCAATGGTCATCTAGTTTAACTTAGCAATGTTCAGCTAATACTTTAATCCATTAGTTCAATTCCAAACTTTATAAATAAAGTTTGGAATTGAACTAATGGGTTAAAGTATTAATGAAAGTGACAAGTAATATGTATTTGGGCCAAAGACTTTAGATATGTCTTCCAAGTGTGATGGGATTTTTTATTCTGAAATAACACCAGAATGATCCTTACATGGAATTAACTCAAATTTTATACCTATTCCAGAGCAATCGGTTAACAAAGATTGAAGGACTACAGAATCTGGTAAACCTGCGAGAGCTTTACCTTAGCCATACTGGTATAGAGGTCATTGAGGGCCTCGAGAATAACGTGAGCTATTTTTTATTTTTATTTACTTAGTGCTACTCTTGAACATAGCATTTTGTAAAGAATGAATGGACATTGTGAGAGAGCAGGTTGCCTAGAAAATGGCCAGCACCTGTGCAGCTGTTGTCCTCCCTCTTTAAGCCCTCTCCTGAGCCAACATAGCAAGTGTTGGCTATAAACACTGAGCTGAGAGAGAGTTGTTAGTGGTGTGGATGTATAGAAGAGAAGGAATGAGGTGTTGGGGTGGGGGGAATAAAACAGCTAAAAAGAGATTCTTTTCACTAGTAAGATGCACAAGGAATAGTAGTTGGAGCAGCAGTAGGAGGAGGTGTAGTAGCAGTAGGGAAGAGTGGAGTGATAGTGAGCAATACTAGCCTTTGAATGCTTGTGTGTGTGTTGCCTAGGGATCTATGTTGTTGTGTTGGTTGTTTTATGCTTGTGGACCCATTGACTCAGGTATACTTAAAAGAATCTGTGACAAAGTGGTGGTAGCAGTGGGATATCCAAAAAGGTGAGATAACCATAAAAAGATGGATATCCAACGCAAGGTGGCAACCACACAAGTTCAGATTTCGCAGGAATTGGCCAATGTCCTGGCTATAGAAACCAGACCTACACCACACAAACAGACATAGAAGGGACAGACTCTCCCTTACAAGAGGCTACTGCTTTAATAGAGACAGGTATCTAGGCCTGTGGTTAAACCAAAGCAGAAGGTAGATCCGCCAGAAATGGGGCTAGGTCCATATACTTGGGCTAATATCATTAGAGAGATATGAAAACAAGACAAAAGACTTCAATTAATTAAAAAAGAGAAGGTGAGCATCTTTGGATGGATACAGAAAGGAAAAAATAGGTGTGAATGGGAAATGAATGAGAGACAAGAAGAGAAAAGTTTAGAGGGTTGAGGGACCAACTTAAAGGGATGCAGTCACCAGAAGGATCACATTCAGCTCTCAAGTTTTCAGAACGTGTAGAGAGAAGGTAGTCCCAAAGACACAGAAATTCCCAAGCTGTGAGATGAAGAGGACATACAATCCTATTTTACTGCATTTGAAAGTGTGGCTACATCTTATAAGTGCCCTGAGACTGAATGGGTAGTGTTGTGATTCCGTGCCAGCCTGTGCTCACAACAGCTGAGTCTGAGGAATCTGAGGAGGAGGTGGAGGAGGCATTTGAAGGGCCATCAGGGGCAGAGGGAGGCTCTGATGAATTACAGGACTCACAGTTTGTTGCAGAGCCTGGGCCCTCCAGTCGTGTTTCTGATGAAGCTCAGCTGTGTGAGGAGAATGATTCAGACTCGGAAAAATCACATCTGATGGACTTGCTAATTGATGCACGCTCCCGTCATCAATTAGCAAGAGTAAATCAGCAGCAGTCAATGCGACTACTCCAGGGAAAAAGGAGAAGGCACTGAGAGGCAACGCCTTGGGACTGCTGTATAAAGAGAGAAGGTGTGGGCGGTGCTGGTTGCTGAAGACAACCGTTTGCAAAGTGTTTCTTGGAATCCTGGTCTGTTCGTCTTGCTTGTGATTTCGTGTTTCCTTTGGACTTGAGTTTTGCTGTTTGTGTTTTGGACTATTTGACAGGTTTGTCAACCATATTAAAAGAGTTTTGTTTTGTTGCAAAGTCTCCAGTCTATTGCATCAGCAGGGGTTTGGTCCTTGTGCCTTTAACAAGGACGGCAATAGGCTGGGATAGAACAGGTAGCCAGAGTATCTCCATGTTTAATGAGAAAGGCTTTGAGAGCTTATAACAGTCTTCCAGCAAGAGAATTAGTGGATTACTCCCATGTTAAAGAGATAATCTTATACAGATATGATGTCATTCCCTATGCCTATAGATGTAACACCAATCAGGAGTTACGCCTACAACAAGTATGAAGGGATTCATGAATTGTGGGCAAGGTTGAAAGACCTAGGCAGGAAATGGTTGAGGCCAGATGAAAGGAGCAAACAAAATGACATATTTCTACAAATAGAAAAGAATATTTGTAGTTCAGAGTTGAACTGTGGAGTACTTGGTGCTCTCTGAGCTTGGTTGTCTTAGTCCATCCTAGCACTGATGTTACTTAGTTTAGTAATCAGATGTCTACAAAAAAAAAACAACAACCAAACTTAGAGAACACCAAGGACCACACATATTTCTAAATCATAGGTTTACCAGGTAGAAATAGAGCAGAGATGGGAGAAGACGACTAGGGAAATGTAAATATTTGAAAAGAGGAAGAAAAGCATTGAAATAATTTAACATAGTGAAGTAGGAATAGGGTATGTCTGGATAGTTATTCTTACGAAATAAAAATTGTATGTTTAAGGGCATGCTTGCCCAGGAAAAAAATTAATACATAGGAGGCAATAAAAAGCATCCAGAATGCTAGAAGATACTCTCCAATTTTCCTTCTGATAAGCTGTATTTTCTTATTAACTGTGTCCTCAGTCAGCCATTTTATAAGAATACCTGCTACATGTTCTGAAAATTCCAAATGCATGAATAGACCCCAGAACATTACTATATTGTATGAGAAGATATTATGACTAGGGTGTTGTACGTAACTAGAGGCTTTGTAGGAAGGGTATGGACTTAAAGGAAGAGATGTTTTTAAAGAGGTAGTCTAGGAACAAAGGAGGGACAAGGTCATTTGAAGCAGCAGAAGCTGCAGGTCTCATAGGAATCTCCACTTTTGCTCTTCTGGTTTAAATAATAAGAGTTAATGTGGCTTTTTTAGCAGAAAGAAAGAGTAACATACTTTCTTAGTATTCATATATCTGAAGATTTGTAAAAAGAAGAAATGTATTTTAAAATATTGCTGTATCTTATATAAAGGTTTCTTAAGTTTTATCCTCTTCTCAGAGGATTAAGGATCTAAGAACATCTTTGATTCGATTCTCCATGAATTAAATATATCATTTTTATCTCTTGGTTTCTTTATTCTACTTGTCTAGAGTAGATATCATAAGGATATAAATATTTTAATCATATTTTGAACAATGAAGCAATGTGGAGATATCAGGAAGAAAAATGTTTTGCCTTTTCTGTAGTTGGATACGAACAATCAGTATGTTTATATATGGGGAAGACAACTAAGGGTCCAAATATGTAAAGCTGCTGAACACTATGTATGTTGCTGCACGTCCTTTAACTTTTAATAATGTTCTATGCAAGAGTATAAAATATGTGCGAAAACTAATGTCAGGTTTCTGTGTATTTGTTTTAGAATAAACTTACAATGCTGGACATTGCAGCCAATAGGATCAAAAAGATTGAAAATATCACTCATTTAACAGAACTCCAGGAATTTTGGGTAAGTCTGCAGTCTTAAACCTGTAGTAGCTTTAGTCAACAACATCTTTCTTCCTCATTTGTGTCAGCAACAGACTGAGAAAACACTATTAAATGCTTCTCAGTCTGATAATGGAATTCATTCCCCTGTGTTTATGATGGGCTTTAAATGGTTTCCTCATATTATTCTAGAGCAGTGGTTCTCAACGTTTGTGTGACAGCGACCCCCGTCACACAAACGTTCTGCGCATGTGCGGCGTGGTGCGCATGCGTGGTGCCGCCCCATGCGCGGCGCGCATGCGTGGTGCCGCCCCATGCGCGGCGGCGCCCCATGCACAGCGGCGCCCCCCATGCGTGGCGCCGCCCCATGCGCGGCGCACATGCACGGTGCCGCCCCCATGCGGCACCCTGAGGGGAGAAAATGGCGGATCGCCTTCTTTGGCGACCCCCGAAAAATGGTCGATCGACCCCAAATGGGGTCGCGACCCATAGGTTGAGAACCGCTGTTCTAGAGGGTTGGAAGCTGCTTCAACATGAATCCTTCCACTGCTGTCCGGTCACTTTGTGAAATCCTTGCTCATGTGAGACAAGCTCATACGATAATCTTTCATTTTTCTGTCCTTTAAAATTATGAAAGGTTAATATTAATGTCAAAATACAGACAAATTCCATCTGGCCACAAGATTCCTGAACAGTATCCACATAGCAAGTAAAATACAAACAGAAACCCTCCACCTCCTAGGGCCATCTAAATATATTAGAACTATTTCCCCCAGAATTTCTGATCATGCTTCCTGGGAATTCTGGAAGATTCCTATATATCACAATAGAGAAGGCTGGAATAAGCTTTTGTGCCAAATGGTAGGAATAGTTGCAGTTAAAGGCTTCCAACAAAGAGGAGGTTGCCATCATCTTCAGGACCTATACGATGTTGAATGACCTTTGCTTTTTGTGTTGCATCATGATTTTTCTCTTTTGTATGCAGATTTTAGAACAGGAATACCATTCTTTTAAATCTATATTGAATCTTTCATTTTCCAGTGTGAGTAAATTGTGAACTCCTGAGAGATAATACTTTTAAGGGATAATTGATTTTCACTGTTATTTCCTATCTACTATGAAAAATGGCCTTCAGAGCATACATGAACTCCAACATTATGTGAATAAATAGTTAATGTACAGGACTCTGGTTTCAGGACCTGTCAGGCTAAGCCCAAGAATGTGGAATAGTTCTTTATTTGCTTACACATAACAAACAGCATCTTGCCAAACCAAACCCTTCCTGCTCCCAGCCTAATGGATATACCGTGGGATATTCCGGGATTGGCTATCCTTACCCACTTTCTCTGTCTCCTTTTCAGCCTCTTATCTTACTCTTCTTTCCGGAATGTGCTCCCTTCTTTTCACTGTAGTCCATTGCCTTAGCTCCCCTTCAAGGGGCACCATCACTCACATCACCAAAAAATGGATGATGGGGCAGAATATGCCTCACCTTCTCAAGAATTTTCTCTTGCAGTAGAAGGAGCTTGAGATAATGATGACAGCTATGAACAGTTACTAACCTGTCTTAAACTTGTAGCAATTTTTATTTTCTCTATGCTTCCTAGATGAATGATAATCTTATTGAATGCTGGAGTGACTTAGATGAGCTGAAAGGAGCCAAGAAGTTGGAAACAGTCTATCTAGAGCGAAACCCTCTCCAGAAAGATCCCCAGTACCGTCGCAAAATCATGCTGGCTCTTCCATCCGTCCGGCAGATAGATGCTACCTTTGTCCGATTCTGAACCTTCCCTGGCCTTTTTCCTTTGCCTTTCTTCCTCTCAGAGTGTCACACTTGAGATTTTTATCCATATACTGTGCCCTCTGTCTTCAGCCTGCTGACACTTACAGAGGAAATGGCCAACCAGAAGCACTGATGTCAGACCTTGCATACAATGCACACACTATTGTTGTTTTGGAATATTGTTGTTATTATTATTATTATTATTAAATCCTAAGGTGTAAAATCTCCTGGTCATAATGGTGTCTGTCTGAATTAGGCAAACTATCAAATAATTTGTCTAATTTTTTTCAGTGCTCTGACAGCCTGCTTAGAACTAAATAGCCTCTGACAGGTTAATGTATTGAAACATATTCCTTTCATTATGTTTTCTTTCTTAAGGTGAACATAGAAAACTTAGAATCATACAGTAAACACAGAAGCAATCAGAACTATAGAATAAATTGCATTATATTGCCTACTGATAGTTTCACCTATGTACATTTTCTCTACCATGTAATTGACTTGCTCTTTTCAATGTACACATCCTTGTTTCTCACTATACAAACAAGGATATATTCAATATGCCTTTATTTACTTTGCTGATCACCTAATTTGCAAAGCTTTATGCTTCTGACATGCTGTTCTATACCTTGTTTCCGTTCTGCAAAAGATGATAAAGCAAGCTTGATAATTAACACAAAATGGATTTCAAACACTAATTATTAAAGGAAGAAGACACAATCCTTTAAATGATTGATTTGTTCCTAAACCAGTCAAATAATTACAGGTTGGCTAGAATGGTGTCAGTGAAATATAAATGTATGGGGGGGCAACAGTGCCTGTTAGGCAGAAAAACAGTAACTGACTTTTATAGCCAAGGATTGAAGACATGGTTTGTTTTCACAGAGGATCTTTAGGCATACCATTGCTTGGGAAAATGCTGGCAGTAAAGGTGTATGATTTTCTCTTTAAAATTCACATGGTAAACAGTTCTGAACAAAACCAGAGCAAATAGTCAAATTGTTTGCATTTCTTTCCAAGTAAGAGAGGGTGTTGTATTGATGAATACTACAGCTGAGCTTAGGTAAATGCTTTGAATGTTTTCTCTAGCAGAAAACCCCTGATCACTCCAAATATAATCAAGAATAATCAATTGTATTTCTCAAGATATTTGACCTTCCAGTTTCCATCCCTAGCTAGCATGGCAACAGTAAGTTAGCCAAATACATCCAGAAGCCATCAGATAGCCTGTCAAGGGTAACTGATGATAATGAGGTGGCTTTAAGTGTAAAAACGTTCATCTCTAGCCTCTGTACTAATATTGCAAAATGTATTGATTGAAATCTCTGGTCATCTAGACAAATTGTTCTGAAATCTATTTTTATCCCACAGTATTCCTTGAAAAACAGAAATTAATACCAATAAAGGAGAATATTTGTGGCTCAGGTTGAAATGAGGGATCGTTGGTGTTCTCTGAGCTTGCCTGGTTTCTTCCAGATGTTTCATTACCCTAACTAGTAATATCATCAGTGCTAGTAAGGAGTGCTGTTTGCTATCAGTTTATATTCTGGTGGCTTGCCCTGCCATTGTGGTGGGGGTTTGATCTTTGGAAATGTAGATTTTTCTAATGTCTACATTGAGACGCCTAATTTGAAAAAATTATGTGAAATCTATATCAGTGTCATTGATTTACTGAATGTATGCCCATTTAAAAATTGTCTTGAAATAAAGCATTCTTTGGAGAATTATTAATTATAATATGCTGCTGATACCTTTAATTTAAGGGAAATAATTGGGCTCCTTTTAAATGTTTTTCGGTTGTCTGAAGAGGAGCTCTAAACTTTTTGTTGGCCTTGCTTTGTAATCTTCCAATGCCAAGCACTCTACTCTTCAGTTATGATCTCATAAATGATGGCATTAGAACTCTTACATCAGTAACAGAAGGTGAGGCTTTAACAACTCTATAGGATAGATCTATTTACCTAGTTAAGGTGCAGTTTGCAATTTGAAACTAATATAAATGTTTTGACCTGCCTTAGGCTTTTTGACAAGTTTTAGTCAAATCACTAATTTCTGCTCCAAATTTTTATCTTTATATTAGTGGTCTATGCTTCTGAACTTCAGACAGATAAAACGATTTGGGAAATGCACTAAGATGATTAGACTATTTGTAATATTGTGTAAAGTTTGAGGGTGTTATGTCTTGGTTTAGGAACTTTGCATGCAAAGAGCCATTGACATCTCTCAGACTTTAGGTTTACAATTTTGTGCACTCCTTCTGCAAAAGCAATCCATTGAAATACCTAAAAGAAAATTAGGCAGTGCCAGAAATCCTGAGGCTTTTACATATTTTTCCTGACCAAAAAAATGGTCAATTATCTTTCAAATTTTAAATATAGTTTTCCCCTTCCCAAATGTCACTAATATGATAATATTTTGCTTGAACGTTATTCTTGCTCTACTTTATACTTTAAACTGCTCCTTACAATTCACAACCATAAAATTATTTTAAATGATTTTCCTGATTATTGTAAACTTGATTCTTTAATTCTCACCATTTCACTATGTTATTACTTAATTTTCATTCACTTTATAACATCAGAAGCTGCTTTTTTTTCAGTTGTGCACAAGTACACATAAACATACATACATGTATATTCTACTCAGGTTTCAGCAGAAAGAATACCACTGATGTGAGAAACTAGGGGAGCAATTAATCCAATGCCCCCAAATAGGAAGAGTACAAGAATAACTAAATGCAAACATTATGTAAATCTGTACCTACAAATGAGAAATAGGATTATTACAATAATGATGAATAGATATTCTACAACTTAGGAAGGAATACAACTTTGTGTTAAAAACCAGGATGATCTCTGTACTCACTGTCCAGATGTTCTCAGTAGGAACTTAAAAACTTGCTGTTTGGGAAGTTTAATATGAACCAGATATTTAATAACAATACAGTTCTATATTTTTATTGTTGAAGCTCAACAACTAAGTGCTTTATAAAAACTCTAAGTGAGATCAGCCCTTTCTACAGATTTATAATCTAATAAAATATATATTAGGGACGAGAATTTGAAAAGAGAGGCTAATCAGTGGCTTCTCAGCATCTTCACTTGTTACATTATTCTTATTTTTTTCTCCCTACATCTTTTCTTTTACACAGCAGGAAAAATTGTCTTTCATCTCCCTTTTTTATGCCTTTGTCTTTTATATATTTCTTTTAAGGAAAACTTTGATAAAATGTGTCTGCTTATATTTATATATGAATGTGCAAATTCACACCCTAATATCAAACAAAGGCAAGGTCTGCTAAAAGCTATTAAACAGGATTGCTCTGGGGAAACTGCTTGCAATTTTGAGATTACTCCACCTTATGCACACACCCATGTATTAACCAAAGCAGAACTCTGCTGGAGTGCATGTTAAACAACGTCAGAAAGGCATTGCTGAACAGTGGCATTCACTGTCTTCTAAAGACAAGCAAAGATAAAGGCAGGAAATAAGCAATACAATATACTTAGCATACTTTGCATTTCCTTGGAATCTCTCAGATTTGTCAAATGGATTTATCGGCTGATAATCATTCCACCAAGAGAAGGAGGGTACGAGTGCAATAAGCCCATCACAACACCAGGTACTTTTGTAAACAAGAATGTCTGTTATACATTATGCATAATTTGGAATGACCCAATGCAAAACAGTGTGTACAGAGCTGCTTCATCATCTTGTTGTATGATAGGCTTAAGAACCTGTATCTTATCCCCAATCCTATTTTCAAATTTTTACGTGACGTTCCCATCCCTGTCTCTAGCTGAAGATTTGTTGATAACGTGGAAAACTGAAAGGCATTTTTCTAGTGTTTCTTATGTAATGCTTTTTTAAAAAAAAAAACCCAATGATAGAACACTGGCCTCAGTATGTGATAGTTGAAAAATAACTATACCACATAAAATATCCCATTGTATCTTTTACCCAAAGTTGCAAATGAGCCATTTCATAATCTGCAAGGGACAATTGCAAATGAGCCATTTCATAATCTGCAAGGGACAGTAAAATACTTCCCAGGTAGCTTGCTAAAATAAATAATCCATAGTGGGAAATTTTGGGGGAATTCAGATCTGATTACCCCCACACCCAGAATGTGTAATTACCAACAGGTTGAGTAGTTTTTAAAAGTTGTTTAACTAGCAACAGCTCTGCAATGCTTTTACTGAGAGCAAGTATTTTATTGTATATTTTTTGTGTGTATGTTTGTTGTTTTTACTTCAATCTCTCATTTCCCAACACTTCCACTGTTGGGCTTTGGGGAGGAGTTATCTGGTTGGGAGAAAAAAAGGAAGAAAGAATTATTAAACTTTACCCCCCCCCCAAATAAAAAAAGAAATTGCAACATTACACAATTGCAAAATATTTTTCTTTACATTTCTCTGGACTGCGATCTGGTAAGTTTGCCTATTTTGTAGATTTCCTCAGTTTTATATTAAACTGTTCCTGGCCTGCAACAAAGTGAATGGTGAATGGAGGCAGGGAATAAGAGGTGATGGAAAACGAAATTTTGTGAGTCATACCATATAGGTTGTGTTTTAGCATTTTTGAAATGAGACTGCAGACTTCAGGTGTGCTATGCATTTCCAGGCTTGCAATAAAATTTTGTAAGAATTGACATTTGATAGAGGGGATGAGAACCATCTTGGACTAATTGTTTAGTTTAAATTTATATAATGCACCAGGATAAATTATAATTGTCCTTCTTTCTATCTTGATGTATTGTATAAATCCAGGTCAGGCTCCAGACAATTGAGTTAATTGAGTAAACTAATCTTCTTCTTGTTGTGCCATATCCGTTATCGAACATTGGCGATCATGTTGGCGATCCTGTTTTTAACAGCAGCCGCACGAAAAAGTGCTACTGAGTTTTGTCCAAACCAGTCCCTTAGATTTTGAAGCCACTATGTTCTTCTTCTGCCTGGACCTTGTTTGCCTTCAATCTTTCCCTGGAGGATTAAATAGAGTATGCCGTATTTTTCTGGGTGTCACATCACATGTCCGAAATATTCTAATTTTTGTTTTTTAATTGTTTTGATGATTTCCCTTGGCTTTCCCAGGTGGCTGATCACCTCCTCATTTCTGATCTTTTCAACCCAGCTTATACGTAACAGATGCCTGTAAATCCACATTTCAAATGCTTCTAATCTCTTCAGGTGGCCTTCTGTCAGAGACCAACTCTCTACTCCATAGAGCAGGATAGAAAAAATATAGCATCTGACAAGCCTGATTTTCAGTCTTAGGCTTATGTCATGACTGCAGAAGACCTTTTTCATTTTGAAGGATGCTGTTCGAGCTGAGTAAACTAGTGGAGAAGCTGTATTGTGCTAATACAATATTTGTTAGAAGAGACAGATATTCCTAAACATATTAGAAGTCTCAGTGAAGTCATGCATGTCATGATATTATTGTACAAATGATATAAATGATCTCTGTGTTGATAACAATGCTCATAGCATCATTTGCTCCCTCATCTTTCCTCCCTGCGGACACCCAAGCAGAAACCCTTAGCACATGTACTGCTGTATAAAAACTGAATTTAAAATATTCAATGGCTGCTAAATAATCTGCCTTCTGAAATGAGGCCTTTTAAAAGATTACTTAAAACCATAAAACTTTTCATCATATATCAACTGGATATGAAGTTTTTTAACTACTATACTAAGAGAATTCAGCAAATGGAGCCCTCGCTACCTCTTTCCACCATCTGGCAGAATTGTCTCTTGGAATCTTGAGAGAAATACTCCCACATGGTAAAATTCCTGTAATCTTATTCTTTTTACTCTTCTGACTAAACCTACATGCATATGATTTTGTGAATTGTAGCATATATTTTATTTATTAACAAAAAAAATATACAACCTCAGTGACATGACTGTGGTCAATACAATCCCTAAAGAACACATCCCCCCCCCCAAGCAAACAAATCTATGAAAGATGCTTAAGGTCGGTATCAACATCAAACATACATTCAAAAAGAAAGTTTGGTTTTTCTTGCCTATGTGTAGTGTAGGGCCTTACTTATCTCACCACTGAACTGCATTTTGTTGGCTAGAGCCCTGTGTTCAACTCAGGGAGAAATCAGGCAGAAATCTGCAGCTGCAATGAGAATGGAATATTACAGATACTTTGTTGCTTTTGTTACTTTGTGTAGACCTGAAACTGATGTGTAGCAGTGCTCAGTTGTATTCACTTTTGACTTTATGCTCTTATCTTTCTAGGTGTCTTTTCACTCACTCCAGCTTCTTCTGAGAATCAGAGGGCTAATCAGGATTGGTGAGTTGAAACAACAGATATAACGTCCTCCTTCTCCAAATCATGTTATTCCTGTCCCAAAATAAAAATCCGACCTTGCATGAAATCACTCTTATGATCTGAGGCAAGATTACCCAAGACAAGCTTACGGTCACCTGGAGGTTATGAAATTCTAGGGCTCATAGGCTCAACCCAAAAGGCATGGAGTTTAAAAACACTGATTAATAAAGATCGTGGCAAAATCCAATTTCACTCAATGAAGTTGAGGAGCCCCAGAAAGGTCACTACTGGACAGGAAGGCAGCCAGTACATTAGCAGTATCTTGAGCTGTCCCTGTATCCCACATCCATTTATCTCTGGGGCAGTATTACTAATTACTGCCAAGATCACATGAATTACCACAACAACTCCTTTTCCCAAATCTTATCATTATAGATACTGCAGAACATGAAATACAGCCAGACAGATTTCAGATAGGGTTATATCTCTTTCACTGCCCAACTAGATTTCACTAATTTGCATGAAGTCTGTATGTTTATCTGTTTATTTAAAAAAATATCAACACTATTTAAACACCAGTCCAATCCCAAAAACTTTGAGTAGTATGAATTGATTAGGTATCTCCTCTGTACAGAAGCTTTTACAGAGGCAGCATCCAAGGTGCCCAATGATTCAATTATTCAATCTCCTAGTTGGGGTTACTGGTTTAGAAAAAGGAACCTGCACCAATATGCACATCCTCCTTCTATAATATCATATTCCCCTCCCCTACCATATCTTCTTTGTCCAACACTATTGTTGTATGGTCTTTGACCTTCTCACCCCCAGAGCCATTGCCACATCTCAGACCTTTCTGGCAATCTCATTCAGCATCTCTTACCAGTGTCCATCTTTATTTCATATCGTTTTATATCATCTTCATTTTCCAGTAAATCATTGCAAAGCTTTGTGTTAATTATAATATTCAGTAAATGTACAGTACTGTTTTGTAGCACAGGTAGCCCTTGACTTACAAAAGTTCAAAGTTACAACGGCACTGAAAAAATGACTTATGACCATTTTTCACACTTACAACCGTTGCAGCATCCCCATGATCATGTGATCAAAATTCAGATGCTTGGCAACTGATGTTTATGACGGTTGCAATGTCCCAGGGTCATGTGATCACCTTTTGTGACCTTCTAACAAGAAAAAGTCAATTGGAGAGCCAAATTCACTTAACAACAGTGTTACTAACTTAACCACTGCAATGATTCACTTAACAACTCTGACAAGAAAGATCATAAAAGGGAGCAAAATTCATTTAACAACTTTCTTGCTTAGCAACAGGAATTTTGGTTTCAATTGCAGTTGTAAGTCGAGGACTACCTGCACTATATAGTTCAGTACTATATAATATTGTAAGGCCATGTATAATACTGTAAGGCAGAGGTCCCCAACCTTTTGGGCTCCAGGGACTGATTCTGTGGAGAAAGGTTTTTCCATGGACCAGAGGAGGCGTGGTTTTGTGTGCTGCCTGCATCCCATGGATGGGGCTTTGCTTGTTTGTGCAGACCAGTTGCTGGCATGCTGCGGCCCGGTACCAGTCCATGGCCCAAGGGTTGGGGACCCCTGCTATAAGGTACATTTTACATTTTGTTCATAGTGTAGTAAGATTTATATACAAATTCAGCTGCTGGGTTGAATATCCATTATTAGGGCAGGTCAAGAAGACCATTTGTCCAATGACTATATATTCAAAAACTTGTGAAACAGCATTTTGTCATGCAGTGGCATGACAAAGTAGCAACAATGGTGCATTGGAAAATCTGCAAAAAATATCATTTGCCTGTAAGCAAAAACTGGTGGGATCATAAAATAGAGAAAGTCAGAGAAAATGATAAAATTAAACTGCTCTGGGACTTCAGAATTCAAATAGACAAGCACCTGCAACATAACACCCCAGACTTAACAATTGTCGATAAGAAAGACAAAAAAGTCTGGATAGTGGATGTGGCAGTGCCTGGAGATAGCAGAATAGAAGAGAAAGAACTGGAGAAGATAACAAAATACAAAGACCTACAAATAGAAATAGAAAGACTGTGGCAAAAGCAAGCAAGGGTAGTACCAATAGTAATAGGCTCCTTGGGTGCAATCCCAAAACAACTGGAGCACCACTTGAACACCACTGGCATTGACAAATTTGCTATTAGTCAATTGCAAAAGGTGGCCTTACTAGGAACTGCTTCCATCCTGCGACGATATCTGTAATACCATCAAGCATCCACATCTGCCTATCCCAGGTCCTGGGTAAGGACTTGATAGGTAGACAAAATGCCAAATCCAGTCTGAACATCTGGCTGACTGTGCGATGATCCATAATAATAATAATAATAAAGTTGGAAGGGACCTTGGAGATCATCTAGTCCAACTCCCTGCTCAGACAGGAAACCCTATACCATCTCAGATAAATGGCTGTCCAATCTCTTCTTAAAGACTTCCAGTGTTGGAGCATTCACAGCTTCTGGAGGCAGGTTGTTCCACTGATTAATTGTTCTAACTGTCAGGAAGTTTCTCCTTAGTTCTAAGTTGCTTCTCTCTTTGGTTAGTTTCCATCCGTTGCTTCTTGTTCTGCCTTCAGGTGCTTTGGAGAATAGCTTGACTCATTCTTCTTTGTGGCAACCCCTGAGATATTGGAACACTGCTATCATATCCCCCCTCGTCCTTCTCTTCATTAAACTAGACATTTTCATATAAAGTGAAATATTCAGCAAGTGGGTGGTTGACTGAGGTTATTTTTACAATGACATTTGATTAAGATGTGAATTGAGAAGGCAGTGTCTATCTATTCTCAGAGAAGAGGCCTTAAATTCAAGTTCTGATCATTTATCTGCACTATATTTCCCTCCCCCAAGGGATATAAACTTACAAGGAAATTCTACCGCTTTTGTAAGTGACAGGACTGGTTAGGCAAGAGCAATTTGTGAACATGATCAGTAGGACTAGGAAATGGGAAGGGAGGAAATGAGGCTATTCCTTTTGCAGCGCACAATGCTACAGCTTCTCTGAGCTATAAGGGCAAATTCAGTTTGTTTTTTCTTACCATCCAGACATCCCAGATTTCTTCTTGTCAGTGGCATGAAGAATAAAGATGCAGCGAAGAAAGTCCAGAGAAGATGACAGCTTGATTACAGAAGAACATGATCTCAAAGAAGCCAATTATGGGAGCTTAAAGAAGAATCCTGAGTCAAAAATAAAGGAGTATATTTATGAAACCCTGGCCTTTGGGCCTGAGAAGATTGTAAAGTTGTCCAGTTATGAAAGCCTAGGGGGTGGCTCTGAACATAACTCAAAGGATGCTAACCAGTCCAAGCAGAAGAATGTGGAGGGTTCCACAACCTCTCTTAAAGTCCCACAGGTAAGTAAATGGTAGATGAATGGTCGATCTTTAACTCTTAAATCTTAAAAATCTTTAAAAAGTAATAAAAGAGCAAGATCCAGTTACATTAATGTTTGTATTTGAGTCAGACTGTAACTAGAAACTAGCATTTCTAGCAAAATTGTGCCTTGGAAAGGAGAGTTATAGAAAAGAATAGTAATAGGATTGTTTAGATTTTGAAAAGAGATGGGAAAAAATCTTAAATGCAAAATTGTTAAGAAAATTGTTGTGGAAAGAACTTGCTGAAAACTGTTGATTGAATTTGAGAAATATTTGCCAATGTTAGGTTTGTGCTAAAAATCAAGGAAAAAAAATAAGCAAACAACGAAGAATTGTCTTATAAACCAATAACTGTGTCAAAAAATATACCAAATGTCTAATAATTTGATTCATTTTAAACAGAGATAGCTTCAGTAAAAAGGAGAGAAAGAAAGGGGGCTAGTAACTTGAGCAGCAAGTTTGAGGGTTCCTCTTGGATCTTTCTCCCCAAGGAAGTCTCTCCATTAGAAGACTTCATTGTTTGTTTGTTTTTTAAAGCAGCATTCTTACTTCAGTATAGCCATTAGAGTAGGGACATATTTTTAGCTGGGTAGGCAAAAAGAAGAAAAGAGCTTTCCCCCTCATTTCTTCCTTGTCTGAAAGGAGGGGAAGAATGAGGCGTTATTTAGTTCTCACGCAATTTATTCCATTTCAGTCAGAGGCAGGATCTATTAGATGGGCTTTTCTGATGTAACTAAGTTTTTAAACACCAGCAGGATGAAATAAGCTTGAATTTGAGAATTACAGTATTCCAGTACATCATGATTTAAATATGATTCGTGGTGTTGATTTTTTTTTAAAGTCAACATATATAAGGAAACTAGAATTTGTGTGTCTGTACATACATACATGCGTATGTATTCATATACACAGTAAAAGTAACTTATTATTTATCCTTTCCTTTTACTTTAAATAGGAAAGTTAAAATCAGCATAGATATTATGTGGTGACTACTTCTGTTCTGTGGCTGTTGCAATAGAATAGGGTAGGTAGTAGGATATTTTCATAACTTAGAGAAGAAATCCCAAAAGGCAATGGCAAGCCTGTTTTCTACTGTTGCCATAAAAGTTGCCATAAAAATGGCCAAATTGATGAAATCATCTAAGCTAAACTCAAATCAAAAGAGACTTTATTTATCCTTCATTTATATTGTTTCTTGCCACAAAATGTTAAGAAACAATTCCATTCTTTTTCACAACAGTGGTCAGAGGAAACATCCGAGCTGTAGACAAGGAGCTCGAGAGTAGCTGGTTGCCCAACCCTCTGTAATATACCTGTGTAATGCCTCTTCAGAAGAAAATTCTCAGGAAATAAAGTAATAAACCATCCTAAACCTACCATATATTCTCACAAAGAGGATTTTGCTGCTGTAAAATGTTTTCAAACTTAAAAGAGGCCAGGAACAACCTACTGATCAGTAGAGTAATGATTGCAGTCTAATCTCCTTTTGCCATCAGTGCAGCTGGAGTGGGAAATCTGAGCCAATCTGCTTTTCCATTGATTGTTAATATTTTTTCCCCCCAGAAGAATAAGGGCTGCCTTGTAAACAGCACTGCAAACTTCTTCAGTGATGAAAAGACCAGGATAGGTAAGTAAAGAGATAGCTTACCCCAAAGCACAAAATACCAATATTTTCTTTCAAAGGATGACTCTATCTGGGTACTTGTTTTCTTTCATGCCCTTTCCATTTATCTGAAATCAGTTGTCTTGTAGCTATTGGTCAAATGTCTAGGTCTTAATCTATCATTATTCCTGTTCTTGCAGAAATGTTGATTTATGTCCAATTTAGCTATGGGGCTGTTTTAAGAATTTGTTTGGAAATTGGATTTGTATAGAATTATCTCTACATCCAAAAGGTTTAATGAAAAGTGTAGGTCCAAACCAGACATTGTGATGTGACATCTCAAATTTCATATTTTATTTGAAATACATATTAAAGTGACGGGTTTAACAGGTGCTCCTGTATGCTTAATTCTTTCCCAATCAACAGATTCTCTTTGAAAAGTCCTCTCTACCTTAGTCACAGCCAGTATTTTTCCTCCAGGCACAATATTTTTCCTTAGACATTTCCAATATTTTTCCTCCTTTCGTATACAGTCACCTTCTGGATAAAAGATAATTACAGGGGATGGCATTTTCAGTGGAAAACAATGTAATGAAAATGTACTGAACCTGTACATACTTGTGTCCAGTTATCTCACCAAATATAAAGCATTAAGTGGCCCATGGGACGGCAATAGAAACTGCTCCCCATTTTCTGGGAGTTTTTCTCTAATTAGGACTAAAAAGTTGCTCTACAGTTGATTTGATCTCAGACTCTTTAAGTTCTAATGATGACTCTTATATTCCCAGTGCATGAAAGAGATTAGAAGAATTCATTTTTTAAATTCCATTATTTGACATTTACTATGATAGTATTCAGAGAATCATAAATGTTCTGTCAAAACATTTGTCATGTGAAATACAACATATTTTGGGAGCTCTATTCCTTTCCTCTGGTACTTTTCCTTAGGAGTTAAATTATTGTTGCTGCAGTTTTCCTGGTGATTTTATATTGCCTAGCTGGCCAAAAAAAAGAGACACTTTTTAAAAAATATATTTCAAGAGGAAACTTAACAATCTTGAGGTTTCCTTTTGTCAATTCCATGTATTTCTTCATTTTTACAAATGCATATTAGATAATTATGGTATCTGATTTTACTTTTTTTACTCCTGAAAAATGACTAATGGAATATTTCTACTGTCTATGTGTTCTGCCGCAGACTTTATCCTTGTATGGGAATCAGATTGCCAGAATCCAGAGGGCCAAAATGAAGAGAAAGGCAATCCAAAATCCAAACAAAAGAGATCAATTGAAATGCACAAAGAATGGCGGGAGAAATTTCTGCATAAGCTCCAGATGAAGGGGATCAGTATTGAAAAGGCATGCAAAAAAAAAGTGGATTGCTGACTACAGAGGGGAACATTAACCACGAGAGAAACACTCTTCACTTTAATCTTTCATTGTATCTATCCTCAATTTTATTGGTCCCACCTTCTTTCAGAGAAGAAAGTGAGAATTTTGGCCTACCATAAGCCACTTTAAAACCCTCTTGTTCAGTATTGTAAACAGCTTTAATTCCTCACAAGGCTAAATATAAAGGGAAAACATGAATGAGGCTAGACTATTAGCAAATACAATATCCCTATTTTGCACCTTAGGTATTTACCTATATCTATACAATTCCTACTTTTCCTTTCCAGATTTTGCTTATATTATGCAAAGTCAGCTGACAAAATTTAAAGCATGAATACCTTTTCTATACTGTACATTCGTCTGTACAGTAGTGTCTGACCCATCGTGACCCCATGGACAACGTTCCTCCAGGTCTTCCTGTCCTCTACCATCTTCTGGAGTCCATTTAAGTTCACACCTACTGTTTCAGTGACTCCATCCAGCCATCTCATTCTTTGTCATCCCATTCTTCTATTGCTCTCAATCTTTCCCAGCATTAGGCCCTTCTCCAGTGAGTCCTTCCTTCTCATTAGGTGGCCAAAGTATTTGAGTTTCAACTTCAGGATCTGGCCATCTAAAGAGCAGTCGGGGTTGATCTCCTCTAGGACTGACCGGTTTGATCGCCTTGCAGTCCAGGGGACTCGCAGGAGTCTTCTCCAGCACCATAGTTCAAAGGCCTCAATTCTTGGCGCTCAGCCTTTCTTATGGTCCAACTTTCACAGCCATACATTGCAACTGGGAAAACCATGGCCTGGACTATACGTACTTTTGTTGGCAGGGTGATGTCTCTGCTTTTTAGTATTCTGTCTAGATTTGCCATAGCTTTCCTCCCCAGGAGCAAGCGTCTTTTAATTTCTTGGCTGCAGTCCCCATCTGAGGTGATCTTGGAGCCCAGAAAAATAAAATCTGTCACTACCTCCATTTCTTCCCCATCTATTTGCCAGGAATTGAGAGGGCCGGATGCCATGATTTTGGTTTTCTTAATGTTGAGTTTCAAGCCAACTTTTGCACTCTCCTTCTTCACCCGCATCAAGAGGCTCTTTAGTTCCTCTTCACTTTCTGCCATTAGAGTGGTATCATCTGCATATCTTAGGTTGTTGATATTTCTCCCGGCAATCTTAATTCCAACTTTTGATTCATCTAGCCCTGCCTTTCTCATGATGTGCTCTGCATATAAGTTAAATAGGCAGGGCGACAGTATACAGCCTTGCCGGACTCCTTTTCCAATTTTGAACCAATCAGTGGTTCCGTGTTCGGTTCTCACTGTTGCTTCTTGACCCGCATATAGGTTTCTCAAGAGACAAATGAGATGGTCTGGTACTCCCATCTCTTTAAGAACTTGCCATAATTTGTTGTGATCCACACAATCAAAGGCTTTTGCATAGTCAATGAAGCAGAAGTAGATATTTTTCTGGAACTCCCTAGCTTTCTCCATGATCCAGCGTATGTTGGCAATTTGATCTCTAGTTCCTCTGCCTCTTCGAAATCCTGCCTGCACTTCTGGTAGTTCTCGATCCACATACTGCTGGAGTCTAGCTTGTAGGATTTTAAGCATAACTTTACTAGCATGTGAAATGAGTGCAATGGTGCGATAGTTTGAACATTCTTTGGCATTGCCTTTCTTTGGAATTGGAATGTAAACTGACCTTTTCCAATCCTGTGGCCACTGTTGAGTTTTCCAAATTTGCTGGCAAATTGAGTGTAGCACTTTTACTGCATCGTCTTTTAAGATTTTGAATAGCTCAGCTGGAATACTGTCACCTCCACTAGTAATAGTAATAGTAGTAAAGTTGGAAGGAACCTTGGAGGTCATCTAGTCCAACCCCCTGCTCGGGCAGGAAACCCTAACCATTTGGACAAATGGCTGTCCAGTCTCTTCTTAAAAACTTCCAGTGTTGGAGCATTTACTGCTTCTGGAGGCAAGCTGTTCCACTGATTAATTGTTCTCACTGTCAGGAAGTTTCTCCTTAGTTCTAGGTTGCTTCTCTCCTTGATTAGTTTCCACCCGTTGCTTCTTGTCCTGCCTTCAGGTGCTTTGGAAAATAGCTTAATTCCCTCTTCTTTATGGCAGCCCCTGAGATATTGGAATACTAGCTTTGTTGTTGCTCAGATTTTCTAAGGCCCATTTCACTTCACATTCTAGGATGTCTGGTTCGAGGTCAATGACCATCTCATTGTGGTTATCTGGGATGTTAAGCTCATTCTTGTATAGTTCTTCTGTGTAGTTTTGCCATCTCTTCTTAATCTCTTCTGCCTCTGTTAGGTCTCTGCCATTTTGGTCCTTTATCATGCCCATCTTTGCATGAAACGTTCCCTTCATATCTCCAATTTTCTTGAAGAGATCTCTGGTCCTCCCTATTCTGTTGTTTTCTTCTATTTCTTTGCACTGTTCATTTAAGAAGGCATTCTTATCTCTTCTAGCTACTCTCTGGAATTCTGCATTCAATTGGGTGTATCTTTCTCTTTCTCCTTTACCTTTCGCTTCCCTTCTTTCCTCAGCTATTTGCAAAGCTTCCTCAGACAGCCATTTTGCTTTCTTGCATTTCTTTTATCCTTAGCTTACATAAAACTTATTTCATCCAGGGTGAAAACCCTTGTGTGGAAACACTTGTGGTGTGATAAAACTTACCCTTCAGAAGATTTTTAACATCTAGAAAATCACTAACAAGCAGCTTCCTAATAGATAGAATTTGATAGAGTTCTTTATTGACCAAGAATGGTTGGACTCCAGTGCATAAATTCTCCAGTGCATAAATTCTCAGTATACATACAAGCAACAAGTGATAAATCATGATCATAATCATAAAATACAATCATTATAAATCATAAGATATAACACTCAGTGATAATCATAGGATGCCAAGTAAGCAATATAAATCATACTAGGATGCTAAATAAACAGTCAATATAAATTATAAGATACAAGCAACAAAGTTATTGTCGTAAGAAGATAAGGAAATAGGTTATAGAAAAGATGAGAAGGATGATAGTAATACAATAGTTAGAGAGTAGGCAAATCCAGCGTTCATTTGAAGGCACCCATCCTCAGCTTAACAGGATAATTTTCTCCTAGAACTCAAATCCATTGGAGATTGCTATTTTTCTATCTCTTTATGGGGAATCTCTGTGTGGAGCAAGTGTGTGGGTGATCCTTGCCCTGCCCTTGATCCAGAGAGACGTTCCAAACAGCCTATCCATTGGCTTTGTTCTCATAGAGCCTTCTTCAATCCACCATTGCTTTCCCTAGAAGTCCTTATACACAGCAATGTATAGTATTAGTATTCTGTGCTCAAAGGTTCCCCTGATTAATTGTAATTAGAAATATACCTGAAATATATATGATTCTATATGTAATATGCCATACTTTGGTATTTAAGAAAAAGAAATACATAATAGAAAGACAGTACCAAAATTTATGGAAAGTGAAGAGGAATTCATGTGATTTAAAGAATCACCATGTTAGGGTAGAGAAGACTTTTCCTGCTCTGTATGGGATCCAACCTCTAGAGCAGCGTTTTTCAAACTTGGCCATTTTTAAGATGTGTGGACTTCCAATTCCCACCATGTTGCTTGGGGAGTTCTGGGTGTTGAAGTCCAGGCATCTTAAAGTTTGAAAACCACCATCCTAGAGATTTCTCTTATGGTTCTTTAAGCCACACTTGAACTAGCAACTTTTGAAATGGAATATGTTTTGACATAAGACTGTGCTTTGCACGGGAGGCAGATAATGAAAGTAGGAATAGGAAATAGGAAACAAGGGTAATATGGATCAGTGTTCAATATTCTAAGGCTGCCATAAAGAAGACGGGGTCAACCTTTTTTCCAAAATAGCTGAAGGCAGAACAAGAAGCAATGAATGGAAACTAATGAAGGAGAGAAATAAGAAATTTCCTGACAGTTAGAACAATTAATCATTGGAACTGCTTGCCTTCTGAAATTGTGGGTGCTCCATCACTGGAGGTTTTTAAGAAGAGATTGGACAGCCATTTGTCTGGAATAGATCAGGTCTCCTGCTTCTGCCTGGGGTTGAATTGAAGATCTCCAAGGTCTCTTCCAATTCTGTTTTTCTGTTAAATGCTATTTCATATTCTATTTTGAATGCAGTGATTACAAACATTTCTCTCCTAGTAATCTGGGACTGTTAATATGTTTCTGATATCAGAACAATGGCATTTAAAGTGGGCTGAAAAAGAGAATCATTTCAATCCAATATAGCTGTTAGCATTAATTGGGGTCAGATAGGACAGGTAATAAAAGCACTCTGGTTGAGACAAACTGCTGTTAAACTTATTTTGCTTGTGAGTATTTGGAAATATGTCGGCTGGCGGGCCCTCGGGGAAGGGCCTTTTCTGTAGTGGCTCCGACCTGGTGGAATCAACTTCCCCCCGAGGTTCGAACTACTCCCACCCTGCCGGCCTTTAAGAAAGCCGTTAAAACTCTCCTGTTCCGGCAGGCCTGGGGCTGATGTCCCCGGGGGGGGGGGGATATGATCGGACATGCTGTATGATTGTATTATTTTATTGTTTTATTGTTAGATGATTGTTTTAATTTTGTACGCCGCCCTGAGTCCTTTGGGATTGGGCGGCATATAAATAAAATTAAATAAATAAATAAATAAATAAAAGGAATATTTGCCTCCCCAGTTGAATACATTTTTTAAAATTTTGATGTAGCTGAGTGACTCTAATGGTCTGCTTTTGCAGCATGCAGCCCAACATACAAAGAAAGTGGTCCACTATATATTGTTGAGTGCTCCTTGGAGTGTGCTATGTTATTACGCTGAGGACCTCAGGCTGAGAGTTCCCTTGCAGGTAAGAATGTTGTGAAACCTAATACCCCTGGATCAAAATTTGCTGCCAGCTAAAATCATTTTTTATATTCTGATCTCAAGAAAGAATAGGTTGGGGATTTTAGTTGTTTATTAGCTGTCTTACATTAGACTGCAGTTGATTGGAAGTTGCTTATTTAAACATTACTTCATAAAAAAGAATGTCTCGATACAGAAACTACGAGCTTGACAGAAAGGCAGTCAATATCCCTCTTCTGCAGTATCTTCCTTTTGTGAACAGTGATTTTTGTTCATTTAAATGTTTTGTTTTTACTTACTTTTTGTAAACTGTCCAGTATTTTGGGAAGCTTGGCAGTACAATAAAAGTTTTTATAAGTAAGTACATAAATAAAAGAAAAAATATGCAAAATTTGTAGATCTGTTTTAACTATGTTACCAAAAAATCAAAAGCAGCCTGGTCAGCATCTTTTCTAACAGATGTTGTTAAAAGGCATAAGACTTCAGGAGCCATGTTTTACACAGCGACTGTATTTGTTTTTGCCCACTTAACAGAAATACTCAACTGATGGAATAAAAACAGTATTCACAAGACTGAACTTCCCACCCAGTGAGATCAATAGACAATAGTACAGGCCAATTCCCAAGGGAATTTATTAAAAGACAGACCAGAAAAAGAGAAACTGAAAGCCACTGGTTGACTCCTACAGTTCATGTTTAAATCACACTAATGCATTATTAATAAACTACAGCTCATACTAGAAAATGACACTGCACTTATTCAGGCATTGGGTGACAGGCCCCTATTTGCATACAGACAAGCATCCAATCTGAAGAATCTCACAAGCAAAAGTAGGATAATGCCAACATAGGTACCAGACTCTGCAAAAACCCTAGATATCTACCTTGCTCCCACATCTGTATCAACAGTCCCATCATAAGACCCAAATAGTACATACCAGAGATGGCTTCACATGATATTTCTCCAATATAATTGTTACTATCAATGATCAGTACTATCCCTCTAGATTCTATGTAGGACAAGAAGAACAAACTTTACAGAAAATAATTTATTGGATACAAATTTTACAGGATTCAAAAGGACATAGGTCCCATTCGTCATCTTCAGGCTGGTGCTTTCAGCTTCGTGCTTTGAGCAGCAATGTGTGGTCTTAGCTGTTTATTCCTTTTAACTGCCAGTGGGGGTATGAACTGATTGGGTGGGAGCTTGGCTGTGTTCTGATTGGGTGGAGGTGTGTTCTGAATGGTTAGGGGCTTGGCTGTGCTCTGATTGGCTGGGGGAGTATTCTGTTTGGTTGTGCTCAGGTTAGTCTGAGTTGCAGAGGGGTTTAAGATTTTGGGCTGCCTTGCTATTTTCTGGCTTCGCGTTCGTGGTCGTGTCTCCTCTTCATGGAGGGTGTCAGTTTGCTTCATGTATGGATTGGAGGGGTTTAAAGTGGCTAATGATGCAGCTGTGGTCTGGCTTCTGGTTTGTGGTCGGGCCTCGTCATCGGTGTGGCTTTGGGTTTGTTTTTTGCGTGGATGTGTGGTGGTGACCTCCTGTGTGGTTTTTGTGAGTGTGGGTCTGGTATCATTTTTTGTGTTAGGGAGTCGTTTGTCAATAAGGGCGGGTTTCCAAATGGCTGGTAGGCGGGAGGTATCATCTCGCTTGTTCATGCTGTGTGGGCGTTTTTCTATCTCGATGGCTTCTCTGATTATTCTGTTATTAAAATGTTCACTTTTGGCAATGGTTCTGGTATTTTTAAAGTCAATTTCATGTCCTGTGGCTTTAAGTGTTGGACCAGGGAATGGACCAGGGAAGATGTTGGTTCCTCTTTTTTGACTGAGTTCTTATGTTCTTCAATGCGTGCACTTATTCTTCTGTTGGTTTGTCCGATGTATGTGGTGGGACAAGTGGTGCATGGGATTTCGTATACTCCTTGATTTTCTAATTCAATTTTATCTTTGGGGTTTCTAAGGATGGTGGATATTTTTCTGTTTGTGCAGAATGCTGTTTTGATGTTGTGTTTATGGAGGATCTTACTGATTCTGTCTGTGGTGCCTTTTATGTATGGGAGGAGGGCTTTGCCGTTTTCTTGTTCTTTGTCTTGGATTTTAGTGGGGGTTTCTTTTTGGATTAGGTTTGTAATCTTATTTCTATGGAATCCATTGGATGTTAGTACATTGGTGAGAGTGTGTAGTTCGGGTTTTAGGTGTTGTTCGTCAGCTAAGCGTTTTGTTCTGGAGATGAGTGTCTTGGCTACAGAGTTGATCTGTGCTGGGTGGTGGTGTGAGAGAGCGTGCAGATAGCGGTTTGTGTGTGTTTTCTTCTGGTAGATGGTGTGTCCTAGGGAGCCATTGGATTTCTTGTAGACTAAGACATCCAGGAAGGGAAGTTGGTTGTTAGCTTCTGTTTCCATGGTGAACTGTATTTTGGGGTGTAGGCTGTTGAGGTGTGTGAGGAAGTTGTCCAGTTTTTCTTTCCCATGTGGCCAGATTATGAAGGTGTCGTCTACGTATCTGAGCCAGAGTTTGGGTTTGTGATCCGATTTTTCTAGAGCTTGGGTTTCAAAGTGTTCCATGTAGAGGTTGGCAATGACAGGTGAGAGGGGTGATCCCATGGGTGCTCCTTCTGTTTGTTTGTATTTTTGTCCATTATAGATGAAGTATGTGTTGGATAGGCAGTGGTTGGTCAGATCTAAGATGTGTTTGGGGGGGTTATATTTGTTTTGAATAGCTGTCAAGGCTTCTTTGATAGGCACTTGGGTGAAGAGGGATATGACATCGAAGCTCACTAGTAGGTCGCTGGGCTGTAAGTTTTGTTTCTTTATGATCTCTATAAACTGGAATGAGTTTTTTACGTGTGAGGTGATGGATTCTGCATAGGGCTGTAGTTGTTTGGCGAGAAATTTGGCTAGGTTTTGTAGAGGTGAGCCTATGGAGCTGACTATAGGTCTGAGTGGGGTTCCTTCTTTGTGTATCTTGGGGAGACCATAGAGTTTGGGGCATCTGGATGATTTCTCTCTGGGAATGATTCTTTGCTGGATCTCTTCGCTAATGGGGGAGGCTTTTATTTTGGATCTGGTGGTTTTTTCCAGGTAGGTGGTGGGATCTGTATTTAGGGGTTTGTATGTGGAGTCTTGGAGTAGGTTGGTTAATTTGGTTTGGTAGTCAGATGTGTTCATAATCACCGTGGCGTTGCCCTTGTCTGCTGGTAGGATTATTATGCTGGTGTCTTCTTTCAGGTTACGTAGTGCTGTCTGTTCCTCTTTGGGTAAGTTGCTTTTGGGTGGCTTGCTGGTGCAGAGGATGTTGGTGATTTCGAGTCTGATTCTGTTAGCGTCGTCGGGGTTGATTTTGGTCAGGCTGGTTTCAACTCCACATATAATGGTTTCAGTGGGGATGTGTTTGGGAGCGACTGCAAAGTTGAATCCTTTGGAAAGGACATTGGTTTCGGCTTTGGTGAGGATCCTATCTGAGATGTTATGCACTGTTTGTTTCATGTGTGGCTGTGAGGGAGGAGGGGTTTGTTTCTGGCGTTCTTGTAGTCTTCGGAGTTTGTTGGTGTGTGTATCTGTCTTGAGGGTGGTCTGTGTTTCAGCTCTCCAGACGGCGAGTTGTTTGGATTTGTCCCAAAGTGCGGGGTGGATCTTGTTGCTGAGTTTGAGGTGGAGTGTGAGGAGATCTTTGTTAATTCGGTCTAGGAGGAATCTTTTTGTGTGAAGTTCATTTCTGATAGGGCCAATTCTGTTCTTTTCAGGATCCATCAGAAATGAACTTCACACAAACGAGGCACGACCACAAACCAGAAGCCAGACCACAGCAGCATCATTAGCCACTTTAAACCCCTCCAATCCATACATGAAGCAAACTGACACCCTCCATGAAGAGGAGACACGACCACGAACGCAAAGCCAGAAAATAGCAAGGCAGCCCAAAATCTTAAACCCCTCTGCAACTCAGACTAACCTGAGCACAACCAAACAGAACACTCCCCCAGCCAATCAGAGCACAGCCAACCCCCTAACCATTCAGAACACACCTCCACCCAATCAGAACACAGCCAAGCTCCCACCCAATCAGTTCATACCCCCACTGGCAGTTAAAAGGAATAAACAGCTAAGACCACACATTGCTGCTCAAAGCACGAAGCTGAAAGCACCAGCCTGAAGATGACAAATGGGACTTCGTCGAAACGTCGCCAAGACACTTCCAATTGTACGTGGGAGAAAACCCGAACAACCAAAGACCTATATATATATATATATATATATATATATATATATATATATATATATATATATATATATATATATGGTGAAGAAATAAAATGAACACCAGGGTGATAAAAACTGTAAAAGTTTTTAATTAATTAAAACTATGAAAGTTTAATTAAAAGCGCCAAGCTTTCGCCGTCACCTGCCGGCATCTTCAGGGCTAGCGCGCCAGAGAATGAGGAAGTCCTTTATAGGCGTGTCAAGGTTTGCGCCCGGCTCCTTGACCTTGTTATCGGGCCTGATTGATTCAATTGCGTACGGTTAACCTGTTTTTCCTTTCTCTTTTTGGTTGCATTTCTATCTTCATCCATCCTTATTTCTCTCAACCTTGGGGTGGTTGGGTGGCAACTCCAGTTGTTTCGGTTGTCTTTGCATTCTGACCTCCCCCCAGGTTCAGGTGGTAGTGCACATTCCACGTTCCTTTCACAGCCATGTCCTACCCAATTGTTCCTTTTAAAGTAACTTTCCTTTTTAGTCCCAATACTTTCATTTTTGGTGCGCCCGTCATCCGGATGGTCTTGCGAGCTGTTACGAGTCAAATACGGCGTGGGGGGGTGTTCAGCAAGGTGGAGGGGTCGTTTCCTGGTCATCGCCATACCCAGCTGTCTTGCGCGTGTCCTGCTTCGGGTACTCGGTCCGGGGGGTGTGTGTGTGGTAGTCGAATCACGCTCCTTCTGGCTGTCATAACGTTTCTCTTCGGCTCTCCCCCTTTCTGCACTGTTGGTGTTCGTGTGCATTCCATGGGAGT